CGGCGTGGCAATCGGTGTGCGACGGGCGCACTCCCGCGCCGGACTTGCAGGCGCAGATGCGCGGGTGCGCCACCTACGCCACCGACGTGGCCGCGGACGTGGTGTCGCAGGCGTTCCGCTACGGCGGGGGCGCGGCGCTGTTCGTATCGAGCATGTTGCAGCAGTGCCTGCGGGACATCAACGCGGCGGCGCAGCACCAGATGGTGAGCGACGCGGCCTACGAGAACCACGGGCAATTCCTGCTGGGACTGCCCGACGCAAGGGTGATGGAATAGCGGAGGTGTAGACATGGCTACCTATCTGTATGTATCGCTGCAAGATGACGATGTCATCGCCCGGTACGACCTTGATCCGGCCACGGGCGGACTGACGGGTCGGGTCGAGTTTCCGCTGGCGGGAATGCCGGCGCCGATGGCGACGGACCCGGAGAAGCGGTTCCTGTTCGTGGGACGGCGACGGCCGGGCGAATTCGGGATGACGTCGTACCGCATCGAGGGCGGCAACGGGGACCTGGAGCGGATCAGCGACGTCAACCTGGACGGCAATCCGGTGCACGTCTCGACGGACAAGACCGGCAAGTACCTGCTGTCGGCGTACTACTACCAGTCGCGGGTGGGCGTGCATCGCTTCGGCGACGACGGGACGTTGGACCCGTCGCCCATCGAGTGGCGGGAGACGGGCATCGGTGCCCATTACGTGCAGACGGACGCCTCCAACCGCTACGCCTTCGTGCCGCACATCGCCGAGGGTTCGCAGACCGGGCCCAACGCCATTTTCCAGTTCCGGTTCGACGAATCGACGGGGCGACTCACCGCCAACACGCCGGACCGTGCCGTGCCCACCTCGCCGGAGGGGCCGAGGCACGTCTGCTTCAATCCCAACCTGGACGTGTTGTACTCATCCAATGAGCAGGGGTGCAGCGTCACCGCCTACCGGTTCGACGCGGATGCCGGCACATTGAGCCCGTTCCAGACGGTGCCGACACTGCCGGAGGGGTTTGCGGAGCGCAACACCTGCTCGCAGATCCAGATCACGCCGTCGGGGCGGTTCCTGTACGCGCCCAACCGGGGCCACAACAGCGTCGCGGGGTTCGCGGTGGACGGAACGGACGGCAGCCTGACCGCCATCGGGCGGGTGTCCACGGAGGCGGTGCCGCGGGCGTTCAGCTTGGACACCACGGGGAACTACCTTTACGCATCAGGCCTGGAGACGGGCCGGCTGGCGTCCTACCGGGTGGACCAGGACAGCGGGGAGCTGCAGCCGCTGGAGGTGTACGACATCGGGAAGGCGCCGATGTGGGTGCTGATCATCGACCTGTGAGCGCGCATGGCCGGATGGCTAGGCTGGGTGATAGTATGGAAGGGCGGTCGCGCCGGCCGCCCTTTACTCGTGGGGGCTTAGCTCAGTGGGAGAGCACCTGCTTTGCAAGCAGGGGGTCACGGGTTCGAATCCCGTAGCCTCCACCATTTTGCGCATGATATCGCCCTCGCCCCAGAAATGTCAGGAATGACTGGCCAATGTCCAGTTTCCGATTGGATGGATGTTCTGGGATCAATTACGCTCCGGCTCAGGTGAAATCTGCTCTCGTGGACGGCACCACGGGATTCGTCGCATGACGAGTGCGACGGCAGTGTTCGGACGATGGGTTCGGGTCAAATGCGCGGTGGTTTCGCGTCCCATTGCCTTGCATAATCCGTACGGCGATTTTCGCAATCACGAAATCTTCGGGACTCCCGAATGGATTGCTTTACGTAACAAATATTAGGCGAAGCAAATTGGGTATCAATAGAACCTTTGCCCCGGGAGCAACGTATATTTGCTTGAAGGATAGGGGTCGTGACTACTTGTCAAAATACGGCGGTGGCATTAGCCTAACATCCCCAGACAACACCGACTTGCCTGACGAAAGAGTTGGAACCTCGGATGCTACTGGCAACGTTGCCCTGAATGGAGAGATGCCACTGTGAGCGGAAACAGTCAACGTCACGACGTTGAAAAGGCCGTAAGGGAATTGCTATCGAGCCGCGAACTGCGTGACTTCCGCGATTATTGGGCGTTGTATGAGCAGACGGCCGCGGTGCAGAACGTCGAAGGTTTTTACGTGCGGGATGACCCAGAGCACCAATACTGCAACGTCGCGGTGATCGGCGATGGGCGGGTTGTAGACGTCGAAGGAGATGATGGCGACAGGTCCGGGGGGGGAGTGTCTGTCCGCAGCCTTTCTTCAATTGACGGTGTTTCGATTATTCGCGGTCCGCTCGTGGGATTCCCTCGCACCGAAGGGGCATCGCTTGTAGCCATCGCCCTGGTTGTTGGGCAAACGAGTGCAGGGGCTCATTGGGCCGCGTGGAACGAGGATCAAGAACACCAACTTGCTTCATTTGTTAGAGCCTTGGTCATTGCCAGCAGTCGCACCTAAAGATCAGAGGGACTGAAGACCATGCAATCTACAACCATTTTTAAGCCGCCGGTAAAGGCGGCAGCTACTGTGCCGCGCAGAGAAAGCATTGCTTCCGCTGGTGCACGGGTGCACGAACTGCTCCGTTTTCCCGACGACTGCCGTTTCCTCCGGACACCGTTTCGCGAGCGGGTTTTGAATTACATATTTAGAACGGCCCTAGGCTCCTTGGGCTCACGATTGAATTCCGCCTCCGTGTCAGTTTCGAGCGTACCGGATGAAAAAGACACTTACGCGCTCGACCTAACGTTGGTGGTGAGTGGCGACTGGTCGATTGCCAGTGAGGCACGTGATGCGATCCTAGCCAAAGTAAGCGATTGGTCCGAAGAGTGGTCCAGCGAGCAACACCAGGACTATGGTCGTCGGATTTTCTTTAGTCTGATCCCGTCCGAGCTATGAAGCCCATTGAGTTTTATCATTGGGCTGCCCAGAAGGCCCAAGAGCCGCTCTCTGAAGCAGAAATTCGTACAGTCGTAAGTCGCTTGTACTATGGACTTCATCACGAGGCTTGTTGCCGATATTTTCGTGTGAACCCGAACGCGACGCCGTTGGCACGAACACGTAGGCACGCTGATTTGAGAGAGAGGTTCAATACAGGTGCTGATCTCACCCATAAGAAAATTGGCAATCTGCTGAACGATATGATCAGCCTAAGGGTACGGGCGGATTATGAATTGGGTCAGATCAATTTTCGTAACATGGCACTTTCCCCGGACGGTTTTCTGAAGATCTCACAAATCTATGCGATCGATCTGCTGCAAGCCTTGCAAGAGTTTTCCCCAGGCGAAGCCGAAGACGGATGCGCTTGTCCAAGCAGATGAAGTCCACGGCCGAGCCAACTCACATCACACCGCAATTCCCAGCTCGCGCAGCCTGGCTACCAGGTACTCCTGCGGCCCGTCGCCCTTCACCCGGTTGCAGTGGGCGCACAGCAACTGCAGGTTCTCGATGTTGTCATGGCCACCGGCACGTTGCGGGATGATGTGGTCCACCTCCAGAATCTTGAAAGGGAATTCGCTCCGACACCCGTTGCACTGGCCCTCCTGCTGACCGAACAGGACATGCTTGTTCTGGCGGTATGGAACTGGCGTGTCGATGTCGGTGCGCCTGGGGATGTCGGTGCGGCCCGTAACCAGACGGTTGTGGAACAGGTCGCCCATGGACTGCTGCAGGCGCATATTGACCAACTCGACGGCCTTGGGCGAGGTGTCAATACCTATCCATGGCCGGCCGAGGTTGGTGGCTCCCATGTTTATGACCAAAGTGCTCCGTCAGGCACGTTAAACTGTGGAATGCGGTTGTTCGACGGTGGTTGTTTCTGTTGGTTCGGAGCGCAGGAAGATGGTTACGACACCGGTAGCCATGGCGGTGAGTATCCAAGCCAACGCTAGGGTTGCCCCTATCGCCAGCAAAGGTTTTGCCGCAAACATGAGAGCGACCATACTGATCAGGAGCAACATGCCTAAGACGGTAAGTATTAGCGCACCCCATCTAAGGTGCGTCACCGCAGCATTAGATCCTCTCCGTCTGTTGATATAAATGGCACTGATCATAAAGTACAGTGCTGGGAGTAGGAACAGGAATAGCGGCAGCAACAGGAGCAAGCCTGGCGAGATCGTGATTGAGTATTCCGGCAATTTGTCTGGGATGACCATAGTTTTGCTCCGATATTTTTGAGCGTGGAAAATCCTGCTGCTTGAAATCCGAGACAGGACACATCGACTACACTGCCCGGTGCGGACTGCACCGCGAGACTGCCGTGCATTAGCAGTTTGAGGTAGTGTTCGGCCTTCGCATCACGATGCAGGTAGGACTGCATTCCCCTTCCGTAACCCAGTACCAAAGCCTGCAATACTTGGTGCATAGCTGGTTGCTCGTCGGCTATCACCCTATCCAGGCCACGTCCAGGTCAGGTGTCCTTGAAGGCGGTTCCGGCCGCGGCACTGCCCACCGGCGCGGCGTAGTTGCGGTTGGAGTTGAACGGCGGGTCCAGGTAGATGAGGTCGACCGACGCGGAGTTGAGGCCGCGCAGGATGTCCCCGGTCCAGATGGTTCGGTCGGCGAAGTTGGTCATCTTGCGCACATGCTGCACCGAGTCTAACGATGGCACAGTTCATTCGCAACTTTGCCAATTGGGAGACAACCGGTGTGCGCATCGCGACAAGAGAAGTCGTTCATGGCGAGGTTGTCGAACCACGTGGCGATCTTGTTGAGTAAGCGACGACGCCACCGGCAACGAGATTGCCGCGCTGCGCTTGCAATGACGGTTTGATGCAGAAACGGGTGCGCACGGGGCGCGCAGGAATATTGACGGGGAAGGCCGGGACCGCCGGGCAAGTGGTCGACGATCCGCACGGGACACAATCTGCTCGAGGTGTTAGGCTACGGGCGATTTGCGGTCACGGCCCGGCGGTCAACCAGTCACATGACTTGAGCATCCGGCCGACTTGCGCTTCAATCACGACACGCAACAATCGACCACGACACGCAACAGTCGACAAGCAACTGCAAGCAGAGCGTATCCACTGCAGGAGGCCAGAGCATGAAGTACGACGTCATCGTGGTGGGCGGGGGTTCCGCCGGGTGCACCATCGCCAGCCGGCTATCGGAAGACCCGGACCGTTCCGTGCTGCTGCTGGAGGCGGGCCCGGACTACCCGGTCTTTGAGCAACTGCCCGACGACCTGAAGCTGGGGAACAACGTGTGGCTCTCGGCCTACGGGCCGCACAACTGGGGCTACAACGCCCGGATCACGGAGGAGCAGGACAGCCTGGTGATCCCGCGGGGCAAGGCGACCGGCGGTTCCAGCGCGGTGAACGGGCAGGTGCTGTTCCGCGGCATCCCCGAGGACTATGACCGCTGGGCCGAGTGGGGCAACGACGAGTGGAGTTTCACCGGGTGCCTGCCCTATTTCAACAAGCTGGAGACCGACCTGGACTTTGGCGGCGACGACTTCCACGGCTCCGACGGGCCGGTGCCGGTGCGTCGCGCTCCCCGCAGCGAGTGGCTGCCCCACGCCGTGGCCTTTGAGCGGGCGTGCCTTGACGAGGGCTTCCCCCAGGACGAGGACCAGAACCACCCCGAGTCCACGGGCGTCTCGCCCCGGGCCCGCAACACCATTGACGGCGTGCGTATGAGCATGGCCATCAACTACCTGGACATCGCGCGGCACCGCCTGAACCTGACCATACGGGGCGGCGTGACCGCGCGGCGGATCATCTTCGACGTCAACCGTGCCGTCGGGATCGAGGCGGAGAGCGGCGGCGAGGTCTTCACGGTGGATGGCGGCGAGATCATCGTCAGCAGCGGGGCCGTGGCGTCGCCGCAGCTCCTGATGCTGTCCGGCGTGGGGCCGGCGGAGCACCTGCGCGGCATGGGCATCCCGGTGGTGCACGACTCCCCGGGCGTCGGCAAGAACCTGCGCGACCATCCCGCGGCGTCCGTCCTGTACCTGGCCAATGGCGAGAAGCCCGACGTGCAGGCGCCGGTGATCCAGGTGGGACTGCGCTACACGGTGGAAGGCTCAGACCTGCGCAACGACATGCAGCTGAGCCCCAACCTGATGACCAGCGAGCACCGCCCGGCCCACGTCGCCATCGACGAGGACCTGAACTACATCGGCATGGGGGCGAGCCTGCAGCTGGCGCTGGGCCAGGGCGAGCTGACGTTGGAGTCCACCGACCCCCACGTGCAGCCGTTCCTGAACTACAACTACTACCAGGAGCCGGAGGACCTGCGCCGGATGCGGGAGGCGATACGCCTGGGCGTCCGGATGGCGGAGCGGCCTCCCTTCTCCAGCCTGGTAGCGGAACGGGTCATGCCCACCGACGAGGAGCTGGCGTCCGATGAGTTGCTGGACGACTGGCTGCGCAAGAACTCGGGAACGTCGCACCACATATCGGGCACGTGCAAGATGGGGCCGGACTCGGATCCCCTGGCGGTGGTGGACCAGCAGCTAAGGGTCAAGGGCGTGGCGGGCCTGCGGGTGGCCGACGCATCGGTCATGCCCGATTGCATCCGGGCCAACACCAACGCCACCACGATCATGATCGGCGAGAAGGTGTCCGAATACATCAAGGAAGGCCGGTAGCCCACGCACTCCCCCCTCCGGGCATCCGGGTCCGAGCATCCGGGCATCCGAAAGTCAGAAGCAGGATTTCGAGGATTTGACGGATCAATCCGGCTAGTCCTGCTTCTGACAACGACGTTAGTGGGCACGCCTGACCACAGGGGAGGCAGACAAACATGGAAGTCCAATGGATGAACCACACCGGGTTCGTGGTCAGCGACATAGAACGGTCCCTGGCTTTCTACCGCGACCTGCTGGGTCTCAGCATAGAGCGGGACCAGGTATTGGAAGGCGACTTCATCTCGGAGGTCGTCGGTTATCCTGACGCGCGGCTGCGCATCGTGTACCTGGGGGCCGGGGATCAACGCCACTCGGTGGAGCTGATCCAGTACCTGAACCCGGCGGGGGATGCCGTCGCGCTGCCCCAGCGCCACCAGGTGGGAGCGACCCACCTGGGCATCATCGTCGACGATCTGGACGCGTTTTACGCCGACCTCAGCGCGAAGGGGGTGAGGTTCGTCAACCCGCCGGCGACCCGGCCCAACCCGGTGTATCCGGCGGCCAGCAAAGGCTGCTATATGCAGGACCCCGATGGGAACTGGCTGGAGCTCCTGGAGCGGGGGCCGGCGCCGCCCGACGCCACCTCGGTGTGACCGCCGGGGCGGCGGGCTGAAACTGAACTCGGCAGCAAGGGGTTCCGGGGAAAGGGGTTCCGGGGAGTGGAGATGACCACCGTTATCGCCAATGCGACCATCGTAACCGGCAACGCGGGCCGCACCGTTTTGCATGATGCGGGCATCGCCGTATCGGAAGGGCGGATTGCCGCCGTGGGACCGACGGCGGAAGTCGCGCGGAGTCATCCCGATGCCGAGGTGGTGGACGGGCGGGGCAAGGCGGTTTTTCCCGGCCTGGTCAACTGTCACACCCACCTGCTGGCCACGGGGGATCGGGGAATACTGGAGGACTTCGGGTTTCCGACCCGGCTGACCTTTCCGGTTTCGGCCCGCTCTCTCCTGAGCGCGGAGGAGCGTCAGACGCTGGCGTTGCTGGGCGCGCTGGAATCCATACGCAGCGGCGCCACCTGCCTGCTGGAAATCTCGTCCGACGTGGCGGGCTACGCCCCCGACCTGGCAGCGACCGGGCTGCGGCTGGCGCTCGCGGAGAACATCAACGACGTGGACGAAGCCCAGGCCCGGGAGGGAGTTTACCGTTTCGACGCGGCCAGGGCCGACGCCGGACTGCAACGGAGCGCCGACCTGGTGGAGTCCTGGCACGGCCGGCAGCAGGGGCGGGTCAGCTGCTTCCTGGCGCCCCACGCTCCCGAGACCTGCTCGCCGGACCTGCTGCGCCGAAGTCGGGAGATGGCCGAAGGCTACGGTGTCGGCTATACCATCCACCTGTCCCAGAGCAGCCAGGAGATCGAAGCGGTCATGCGCGTCCGGGGCGTGTCGCCGACCCATTACCTGTTCGCCAACGACTTCCTGGGGCCGAACCTGCTGGCCGCCCATTGCCGGTACGTCAATCCTGCGGAGATTGCATTGCTGGGCCAGTGCGGGGTCAAGGTTGCCAACAACGCCGCCATCGCCGCCCGACGGGGCGCGGCCGCGCCGGTACGGGAGTTGCAGGGAGCTGGGTGCGCCATCGGCATGGGGTCGGACAATATGGCCGAGGACATGGTGGAGGTGATGCGGGCCGGGCTGTTCCTGGAGCGGGTGCGGCGCAACGATGAGGTCTATCCCCAACCCGAGGACGTGCTGGAATGGGCCACCTCCGGGGGAGCCAAAGCGTTGGGAATGTCGGAATCCATCGGCAGCCTGGAACCGGGAAAGAAAGCCGACCTGTTCGTGGTGGACCTGCTGCGGCCTCACCTGGTGCCGAGCCTGCGCGTTGTGTCCGCCTTCGTGCACAACGGGCAGCCGGGCGATATAACCTCGGTGATGGTGGACGGCGACTGGGTTATGCGCGACGGCAAGGTGCTGACGATTGACGAAGATGACGTGGTGCGCCGGGCGGAAGCGGTGGGCCACGCGGTATGGCGTCGGTTGCTGGAACGCTATCCCCAACGTGCCCTTTCCCGTTGCGATCCCTCCGCCGATCGTCTGAACGCGGCGGCTGGGGAGCGTTTTCGCGGATCAGCCTACCTGGTCGGATCGGGGCCGACAAAAGCGGTTCGCGAAGGGGAATGCCAACCGGCGGCTTTGCGAACCATGTAGCGTTGCCGGTTCCGGCGAACCAGCCCGACTTCCGTGTCCGGTCAGGACAACCGGCGGACGCGGCCGAGGGTGGCGTAGCAGACCAGGGCCAACGCGAGGCCCAGGACCCCGATGATGGCCATGGCCGTTGACGGGGAGGTGAGGTCGGAGAGGACGCCGACGCCCAGACTCGCGACAACGAGGAATCCCTGGTCGATGCTCTGCAGGCTGGTGAGGCGGCCCCGAAGGCTGTCCGGGGCCAGCGTCTGTATCAAGGTGCCGCGAGTGGTGCGGAAGAAGGATTGGCTGAATGCCATGGCGGCGATGAACACGAAGGCCAGAACCATCAACTTGGAGAAGGCGAACAGGATCAGCATCACGGAGCTGGCTACCGCGGCCACCAGCGCCATCCTGCCCCTGGGGGAAGACGAAGCCGAAGGAGGCGATGAACAGCGCCGCGAGCAGGCCGCCAACTCCGGTGATTGAAAGCAGGTAACCGCCGACGTCGGCATCGCGCTGCAACACCTCGGTGGTGAACACCGGGAACAGGAACCAGGCGGGATGGAGGATGATGTTGGGGATCACCGAAACTATCATCAACTGGAAGAAGGCGCGCTCGCCGCTCCAGATGTAGCGCAAACCCTCGACCATGTTGGCCAATGCCGAACCGCGCTGGCGGGCGTTGCCGGGGCGGTGGTAGGGGGTGCGCAACGGGAAGATAATCGCCACGTTGGCCAGGTACAGCGCGGCCTCGATGACGAAGTTCCAGAAGTACCCGAGGGTGAAGATCAGGATGCCGCCGACGAAGGGGTCCAACGATGCGGGTGCCGGTGATGGTCAGAACGTTGGTGGCCATGGCGTTGCCCAGCATCTCGCGCGGCACGGTGCCGGCGATGAGGGACTGGCGCATGGGCTGGGTCATGGAACGGCAGGCGCCGGCCAGGATCACGTAGAGGTAGGCGTGCCAGACCTCCACGCGGCCGGATAACACCAGCAGGGCGAAACACAGAGCCAGCGCAGCCATAATCAGCTGCAACGTGATGACCAGCCGGCGGCGGTCGAACCGGTCGCTGAGCACGCCGCCCCAGGGTCCCACCACCAGGCCGGGCAGGGTGTTGATACCACCCACGGTGACCACCAGCAGACCAGCGACCGTGGAACCTTCGGATAATCCCGGACCAGCCATCCCACGCTCAACAGTTGGATCCACTGGGCGTTGTTGGCAAAGAAGTTGCCGCACCACAGCAGCCGGAAGTTGCGGTAGGTCAGCCAGGTGTCCAGCGTATGCAAGCGGGGCAGTGCTGCTCTCCGGAAAATCGCTCCTCCACGGGTGTCAAGCCTGGTGATGAGACTCGGCACGGCAGGCTGATTTGGCGGGTATTTTGGAATTCTCAATCACGCATGTCAATGCTGATCCGTCGACATTATTTGGATCGCAAACAAAATAGCCCGCCCCAGGGTCCCATTTCTCACCGCCGAAGGCCGTTACTCGACGTTTACACCGACGCAACGGTGTAGTCATAAACTTGCAATTTGCCGGCAACACCGTGGGACTAGCGTATCTGGCAGCGACACCGGGGCCCCGCGCCCGACCAAGTCGTTTTCCCACAGCTGACGGCGACCTGCCGCTGGCGAATTCACCCCAGAGGAGGAAACACCCACGATGTCTGTAACCGGTTTAGCCAAACTGCCTGTATTGATGCGGTTCGCGCTTATTGGGGCGGCCGCCGTTCTCATGTCCCTGGCGCTGGCCGCGTGTGGATCCGAGCCGACCCCGGCTCCGGCCGCCGCGCCGGCTGCCAGTGGATCCTCAGCCCCGGCAAGCGCGCCCGCCGCTGCCGAGTCCGACACGATCAAGGTGGGCATCCTGCACTCCCTGTCCGGCACGATGTCGATCAGCGAGACCGCGGTGCACGACGCCGAGTTGCTGGCGATTGAGGAGATCAACGCCTCCGGCGGGGTCATGGGCAAGCAGATCGAAGTCGTCATTGAAGACGGCGCGTCCGATTGGCCGACCTTTGCCGAAAAGGGGCGGAAGCTGCTCCAGGAGGACGAGGTCGCCGTGGTCTTCGGAGGTTGGACCAGCGCCAGCCGCAAGGCGATGTTGCCGGTCTTCGAGGCCAACAACGGGCTGCTGTTCTACCCCGGTGCAGTACGAAGGGTTGGAGACCTCTCCCAACATCTTCTACACGGGAGCGACTACCAACCAGCAGATTGTGCCGGCCATCGAGTACCTGCTGAGCGAGGGCAAGACCAAGTTCTACCTGCTGGGTTCGGACTACGTGTTCCCGCGCACGTCCAACCTGATAATCAACAAGCAGCTGGCCGCGGCCGGCATTGAGGCCGTGGGTGAGGAATACACCCCCGCTGGGGCACACCGAGTACAGCACCGTGATCACGAAGATCAAGGCTGCCGAGCCCGACGTGGTGTTCAACACGCTGAACGGCGACTCCAACGTTGCTTTCTTCAAGCAGCTCAAGGACGCCGGCATCACGGCTGAGGATCTGCCGACGGTTTCGGTGAGCGTGGCCGAGGAAGAGATCACCGGCATCGGCGCCGATAACATAGCCGGGCACCTGGTGGCATGGAACTACTTCCAGACCACGCAGACCCCCGAAAACGAGAAATTCGTGGCGGCGTTCAAGACCAAGTACGGCGAGAGCCGCGTCACCGACGACCCCATCGAGGCGGGCTACTTCGGCGTGTACCTGTGGAAAGCCGCGGTGGAAAAGGCGGGCACCACCGAGGTGGCCGCGGTCAAGGAAGCCGCCAAGGGCATCCAGTTTGCCGCTCCCGGCGGGATGGTGACCATTCACAACGATAACCAGCATGTGTCCAAGACGGTCCGCATCGGCACGGTGCGCGACGACGGACAGATCGACGAGATCTGGAACTCCGGCTCGCCGGTTGCGCCCGACCCTTACCTGGACACCTACGAATGGGCCGCCGGTCTCCGGGACCTGGCCCAGTAAGCAAGACCAACGTTCGGGGCGAACCTCACGTGGGTTTGTCCCGAGAATGGGTTCATACCGAGAACCAGTGGTCGCGGGTGACGTTCTGCTACGACGGCCGAGCGTCATCCGCGCACCCGCCAACTCAAACTCCTTGACGGCCACAAAATGGAAGTTTGGGCTCTACAACTGTTCAACGGGCTCAGCCTGAGCTCAATCCTGCTGCTGATCGCGCTGGGACTGGCGCTGTCCTTCGGGTTGATGAACGTCATCAACCTGGCGCACGGCGAGTTCATCATGATCGGGGCGTACACCACGTACGCGTTGCAGCAGGCGGCTCTCAGCTTCACCGGTGATACGCAATCTGGGATCACGTTCCTGATCGCCATTCCCGTTTCCTTCGTGGTTGCGGGAGCGGCGGGGTACGTGGTGGAGAACGCGCTGATCCGTTTCCTTTACCGCCGCCCCCTGGACACGCTGCTGGCGACGTGGGGTGTCGGCCTGTTCCTGCAGCAGCTGGCGCGAACGATTTTCGGCGCGCCCAACGTGCAGGTGGTAGCCCCGCCGTGGCTGGGCAGCGCGCTCACGGTCACCGGAGACCTCGTGTTCCCCGTGAAGCGCGTCTTCATCCTCGGGCTGGTCATCGCGTGCATTGGCGGTCTCTACTGGTACATGTACCGTTCCAGCGAAGGGCGCCGGATGCGCGGCGTGATGCAGAACCGGGACATGGCGGCCAGCCTGGGGGTATCCACCCGCCGGGTGGACAGCTTCACCTTCGCGCTGGGTTCGGGCCTGGCTGGCATCGCGGGGTGCGCGCTGACGCTGATTGGCCCCATCGGCCCGTCGCTGGGCACGTTCTACGTGGTGGACGCGTTTATCGTCGTCATCCTGGGCGGACTGGGTCAGGTCCCCGGCACCATCCTGGCGGCGTTGATAATCGGGATGCTGAACACCATGCTGGAGTTCGGTACCACCGCCGTGGTGGGCAAGGTGCTGGTGTTTGCGATGGTGATCCTGTTCCTGCAGTGGCGTCCGTCCGGCCTGATGCGGGTAAGGGGACGGTAGCCCGCCATGACGACGATGTCATCGATCATGACGGTGGTGCGCAACGCCTCGGCGCCGGTGCGGATGCACGACCGCATTGGTTCATGGCTGGCCCCGGCAGTCATGCTGGCGGTCCTGTTGGTCGCCCCGGCGGTGCTGTCAGAGTTCCGGATCGCGCTGCTGGGCAAATTCCTGACCTTTGCCATGCTGGCGTTGTCCCTGAACCTGATCTGGGGTTATGCCGGGATGCTCAGCCTGGGACACGGCGTGTTCTTCGGGCTGGGCGGGTACGCTATGGCAATGTACCTGAAGCTGGAATCGGCCGGCGGCAAACTGCCGGATTTCATGTTCTGGAGCGGCCTGACGGAGCTGCCCATCTTCTGGGCGCCGTTCAAGTACGCCTGGTTCGCCATTCCGATGACCTTCATCGTACCGGCAATGGTGGCGGGAGGGTTGGGTTACCTGGTGTTCCGCAGCCGCATCACTGGCGTTTACTTCGCGCTGATCACGCAGGCCCTGGCGCTGATCATCAGCATCCTGTTCATCGGGCAACAGGGATACACCGGGGGCACCAACGGCATCACGAACTACACGACCATTTTCGGCTACTCGCTGCACGCGCCGTCGATGCAGTTGATCCTGTACTACGCGAGCGTGGTTGCCCTGACCGCGGCCTACCTGCTGTGCTGGTGGCTGATTTCGTCACGGTTGGGACGGCTGCTGGTGGCGATGCGCGACGACGAGAACCGGGTGCGGTTTTCCGGCTACGACCCGGCGGTGCTGAAGACGCTGGTGTTTTCGCTGTCGGCCGGCATCGCGGGCGTGGCCGGGGCGCTGTTCACGCCGCAGGTTGGGATCATCTCGCCGACCATGATGGGCATCGTGCCGTCCATTGAGATTGCCATCTGGGTGGCCGTGGGCGGGCGGGGAGCGCTCCTTGGAGCAGTCATCGGCGCTCTGGTTGTGAACGGGGCCAAGAGCGGCCTGAGCGAGTCGTTCCCGGCCGTGTGGCAGTATTTCCTCGGCCTGCTGTTCATTGGAGCGGTGCTGCTGTTCCCCTCGGGCGTCATGGGGCTGCTGCGCGGCGAGGGCTGGAGGAGGCCGTGGTGGCTGTCAAGAGAGCAGGTCAAGAGCATGATACGCGAACGCATTCCCGGAGCGAGCCGATGATCCGCAACCGACCGCGTGGCGCCGCCGCCATGCCGAACGCCAACGGCGCGCGCCCGACGCCGGATACGAGCAACCCAATCCTGTCGGTGGAGGGCCTGACGGTGAGCTTCGACGGCTTCACCGTGCTGAACGAACTCGACTTTGCCATCGGGTACGGGGAGATGCGCTTCCTCATCGGGCCGAACGGCGCCGGCAAGACGACGCTGATTGACGTGATCACGGGCAAGTCCAAGCCCACCAGGGGGCGTATCATATTTGACGGCGCCACCGACCTGAGCCGGCGGCAAGAGTACCAACTGGTCCGGCTGGGCGTGGGCCGCAAGTTCCAGACCCCGTCGATATTCGCGAGCCTGACGGTGTACCAGAACCTGGAGGTCACCCTGGGCTTCCGCAGCAAGATCACCGGGCTGCTGCGTAAGCTGCGGGGTGGCGAAAGCGACCGGATCATGGACACGCTGGAGATGGTCGGGCTGCAACACCGGGCGCGGGACATCGCCGGCGGGTTGTCCCACGGCGAAAAGCAATGGCTGGAGATCGGAATGCTGCTGGTGCAGGAGCCCAAGCTGCTGCTGCTGGATGAGCCGGTGGCCGGGATGACGCGGCGCGAGCGGGACCGCACCGGCGAATTGTTGCAGTCCATCGGCGGCGAACGGTCGGTGCTGGTGGTGGAACACGACATGGACTTCGTGCGGCAATTTGCCCAGACGGTTACCGTGTTGCACTTGGGAAAGGTGCTCAGCGAGGGCACGATGGAAGACGTGCAGCAGGACCCGGAGGTGGTCCGGGCGTACCTGGGCAACAACCGGTCGCAGCGACCACGGGCGGGCAGACTCAACGGGCGGCGCGAGGCGGAGCACGCCGCGCCGGTGGCCGCGGATTGACAGTCAAGCCGATGTTTCGTCACACCGAACCGTTCCTGACCATCAAGGGCCTGTCCGTGGGCTACGGGCAGAGCCTGGTGCTGAACGACGTGGCGCTGGATGTGCCCGAAGGGCAGGTGGTGTGCCTCATGGGACGCAACGGCGTGGGGAAGACCACGCTGCTGAAGGCGATCATGGGCCTGCTGCCGCCGCGCGCCGGCCAGATCCGGTTCGGGCAGTCGGACCTGACCCGGTGGGCGCCGCACCGCCGGGCCAAGGCCGGGTTCGGCTACGTGCCGCAGGGCCGGCACATCTTCCCGTACCTGACGGTCCACGAAAACCTGCTGATGGGCCTGGAGGCTTTCCCGGGCAAGAAGGGGCGCGCCGAAGCCCCCGACAAAATGTACGGTCTGTTTCCGGCCCTGAAAATCAACCCGAAGAAGGTGGCCGGCACCCTCAGCGGCGGGCAGCAGCAGCAACTGGCCCTGGCCCGGGCGCTGATCCGTCAGCCATCCCTGCTGCTGCTGGACGAGCCCACCGAGGGCATCCAACCGTCAATAGTCCAGGAGATCGAGGAGCTGTTGCATCGCCTGCGGGAGCAGCAGGAGACCACCATCCTGCTGGTGGAGCAGTTCCTGGATTTCGCGCTGGGCATCGCCGATTATTGCTACGTGATGGAAAAGGGAGCCATAGTCCTGGAAGGCGCCGCCAGGGACCTGGACCAGAACCTGGTCCGGGAGTACGTGGCGGTATAGGTCCCGGCGCAAAACGCGAAGGTGAGGAATAACCATGACAGCTGACACAACCGCCGCACGGGACTTTGTACTGCGGACCGCGCGGGAACACGACGTGAAGTTCATTCGCCTGTGGTTCACCGACATCCTGGGCAAGCTCAAGGGCTTCGCGATCACCGCCGACGACCTGGAGGACGCGCTGGACCGGGGCGTGGGGTTCGACGGCTCGGCCATTGACGGATTTGCCCGGCACCACGAGAGCGACATGCGGGCCTATCCCGATCCGGCCACCTTCACGCTGCTGCCCTGGCGTCCGCGCCAGAACGCCGTGGCCCGGATGTTCTGCGACATCAGGCAGCCCCGGGGCCAGACCTTCCCCGGCGACCCGCGCCAGGTCCTGAGGCGGAACCTGGACAGGGCGGCGGAGATGGGGTTCACCTATAACGTCGGGGCCGAGCTGGAATTCTTCTACCTGAAGAACGCCAGCGCTCCGGAGCTGCTGGACCACGACGGGTACTTTGACCAGCTTTCCAGCTACCCCGCCTCCGACCTGCGGCGGGAGACCGTGCTCAACCTCGCGGAGATGGGCATACCGGTGAAGTACTCCCACCACGAGGGCGCGCCCAGTCAGCACGAGATTGACCTGGAGTACACCGACGCCCTCACCATGGCCGACAACCTGATGACGGCCAAGCTGGTGATCAAGGAGCTGGCACAGCTGCAGAACGTGTACGCCACGTTCATGCCGAAACCGATTTCGCGCGTCAATGGCTCGGGTCTGCATCTACACCAGTCCCTCTTCGCCGGCGAGGCCAACCGATTCTATGACGCGGACGACGAGCAGTACCTGTCGATGCTGGGCAAGCAGTTCATCGCGGGACTGATCGCCCACGCGCCGGAGATAACCCTGGTGACCAACCAGTGGGTGAACTCGTACAAGCGGCTCATCCCGGGTTACGAGGCGCCGGTGTACGTCTCCTGGACCCACGTGAACCGTTCCGACCTGATTCGCGTACCCAGCTACGAGCGCGGGGAGGAAGCGTCCATCCGCATCGAGTACCGGTCTCCCGACCCGGCGTGCAACCCCTACCTGGCGTTCAGCGCCATGCTGGCCGCGGGGCTCAAGGGCATCGAGGAGCAGTACCAGGTTCCGGCTCCCGTGGTGGGCAACGTGCAGGAGATGTCGCCCCAGCGCCGGCAGTCCCTGGGGATCCGCACCCTGCCGTCCAGCCTGGGGGAGGCCATCAACCTGGCCGAGACCAGCGAACTGCTCTACGAGGCTCTCGGCGACCACGTGTTCAACAGCCTGATCGAGAACAAGAAGCTGGAGTGGGACGAATACCGGTCGGAGGTCACCGACTACGAGGTCTCCCGCTACCTCTCCACGCTGTAAGGCCGGAGGCAACCCGTTATGATGCTGACCCCGCGCGAATCGGAGAAGCTGCTGATCTACGTCGCCGCCGACCTGGCCCGAAAACGCCAGGGTCGCGGGCTGAAGCTCAACGTTCCCGAATCGGTGGCCCTGATCACCGAGTCGATCCTGGAGGGAGCGCGGGACGGCAGGACCGTCGCCGAGGTGATGGAACTGGGCCGCCAGGTCCTGCGCCGGGAGGAAGTGATGGAAGGGGTGCCGGAACTGGTTGACCTGGTACAGGTGGAAGCCACCTTCCCCGACGGCACCAAGCTGGTGTCCGTACACGACCCCATCGTGTAGATGCAACCAGGACAGGCATGAGCAACCCGAGCGAACACTATATCATCGCGGACGAGCCGGTTGAGATCAACGCGGGCCGGCCGACGCGCACGTTGTCGGTCTGGAACACCGGTGACCGGGCCATCCAGGTGGGCTCCCATTTTCACTTCTTCGAGGTGAACCGGGCGCTGCGCTTCGACCGGGAGGCGGCCTTCGGGATGCGCCTGGACGTGCCGGCCGGCACCGCCGTGCGTTTCGAGCCGGGTGACCGGAAGGACGTGACGCTGGTGACCATCGGCGGCGCGCGGCGGGTGCGCGGGCTCAACGGCCTGACCGACGGCAGCCTGGACTCTCCCGTCGTCCGCGCCCAAGCCCGGGAAGCAATCGCCAGGCGGGGATTCCTGGATCAGACGCCGAAACCAACGGAAACCAACGAGGCATAAAGATATGGCCCGAATCAGTCGCCGACAATACGTGGACCTGTACGGCCCGACGGTGGGAGACCGGTTCCGACTGGCCGATACAGCCCTGGTCTGCCAGGTCGAGCAGGATCTGCTCACCCACGGCGACGAGCTGGTGTTCGGCGGGGGCAAGTCGGCCCGGGACGGTATGGGGCAGGCGTCGGACGTAACCAACCGCAACGGCGCGCTGGACCTGGTCATCACCAACGCCATCATCATGGACCCGATCCTGGGCATCGTTAAGGCGGACATCGGGGTGCGCCACGGGCGCATCGTCGCGGTGGGCAAATCCGGCAATCCGGGCGTGATGGATGGCGTGCATCCGGAAATGGTGGTAGGGCCGGGCACCGAGGTCATCGCCGGCGAGCACCTCATCGCCACCCCCGGCGGCGTGGACTCGCACATCCACATGATCGCGCCGCAGCAGGTGCACCACGCGCTGTCCAACGGCATCACCACGATGATCGGCGGCGGCACCGGGCCGGCCGACGGCACCAACGCCACCACCTGCACGCCGGGCCCGTGGAACATCGCGCGGATGCTGGAGGCCGCCGAGCCGCTGCCCGTCAATTGGGGGCTGCTGGGCAAGGGCAACGCCAGCGATCCGGCCCCTCTGGAGGAGCAGATACGTGCCGGCGCCAGCGGGCTCAAGCTGCACGAGGACTGGGGCACCACGCCGGCGGCCATCGACTGCTGTCTGGGCGTGGCCGACCGGTTCGATGTGCCGGTGGCGATCCATACTGACACGCTGAACGAGGCGGGATTTGTCGAGGACACCATCGCGGCCATCGGCGGGCGGGCGATCCACACGTACCACACCGAGGGCGCCGGCGGCGGGCACGCGCCCGACATCATCCGCATCGCTTCGGAGTTGAACGTGCTGCCCTCGTCCACCAACCCCACGCGGCCGTACACCGTGAACACGCTCACCGAGCACATGGACATGCTGATGGTGTGCCACCATCTCAGCCCCCGGGTGCCGGAGGACGTGGCCTTCGCCGAGAGCCGCATCCGGCCGGAGACGATGGCGGCGGAGGACGTGCTGCACGATCTGGGCGTCATCAGCATGTACGCCTCGGACTCGCAGGCGATGGGCCGAGTCGGCGAGAACTTCACCCGTCTATTCCAGACCGCCGACAAGATGCGGCAGTTCAAGGGCAAGCTGCCCGAGGACTCACCGGAGCACGATAACTTCCGCGTCCTGCGCTACCTGGCCAAGCTGACCATCAATCCGGCCATCACCCACGGCATATCGCACCTGGTGGGCTCGCTGGAGCCGGGGAAACTGGCGGACATCGTGCTGTGGCCGCTGGGCAGCTTCGGGGCCAAACCCAAGATGATAATCAAGGGCGGCATGATCTGCTGGGCCGTCATGGGGGATCCCAACGGTTCGATACCCACCGCCGAGCCGTCTTTCTACCGACCCATGTTCGGCAGCATGGGCAAGGCGGTGGCCAGCACCTCGGTCACCTTCGTTTCCAGCGCGGCGTACGACGCTGGCGTCCACCGTGACCTGGGGCTGACCCGGCGGGTCGAGCCGGTGCGCGGCTGCCGGACAATTACCAAGCGGCAGATGGTCCGCAATGATGCGATGCCCGTCATCGAAGTCGATCCGGACACCTATACGGTGAGGGTCGACGGCGAGATCGCCACGGTGCCGCCGGCAGAACGCCTCAGCCTGGCGCAACTGCATTTCCTGGTCTAAAGGACGCGGACGATGACGGGAGACGACGGCAGCGCGAGTTTTCTCGCCGCCCTGCAGCTTGCCGACTCTTTCTTTCCGTCGGGGGCATACGCCCACTCTCAGGGTCTGGAAGGGATGGTGACGAGAGGGTGGGTGAGGAACGCGGACGACCTGGGGAAATACCTGCACAACCTGCTGGTTTGGTCGATCCTGCCGTGCGATGGCGTCGCGTTGCTAAATGGCCATCTGGCCGCGCGGGACGGGGACCTGGCCACGCTGGCCGACATCGACCGGCACCTGCACACGATGAAGCTTCCGGAGGAGCTGCGGCAGGCGTCCTGCCACGCCGGCCGACGCATCCTGGACGAAACGGCGCCGCTGGTCTGCGGACGGGCCGGGTCTGCCGTTCACGGCGAATTTCGGCAACTGGTGTTGCAGCGCAGCACACCGGGGACGGGGGCCGTCGCGTTGGGCGTGGCTTCCTACGCGGCGGGGATCGCGGCCGAAGCCGCCCTGCTGGTGTTCTGCCACAGCTTCGCCGTGGGCGTGCTGGGCGCGGCCCAACGGATGCTGCCGCTGACCCATTCCGAGGTTCAGCACATCCTTCATGCGCTGCATGGGCCCGTGGCCGGTTTGGCGCCGGAGCTGAAAACGCGGCACTGGAGCGAGATGACATCCTTCACGCCCCAAGCGGACATCGCGTCGATGCTGCACGAACACGACGAGGTGCGGATGTTCGCCAGCTGACGGCGCGCCCGCCGGCGGGTAGCAGGTGGTAATTTCAATGATGTCCTTGCGCCAGTCAAACCCGGCACGGGTATAATCCAGCCAATAGGCCACCGCGTTGCCGACCGTTCGCCGACCCATCACGGAGAGTTTCAGCATGACCACCGCCAAAACGCCGAAATCTCCACCCCCCTTCCAACTCCCGGACCCTCCCAAAACCCCGGACGAGAAGATGACCGCCGCCCAACACCTGTCCATCACCGGCAGCGCACACTTCCTGGCACAACATCTCGGCAACCCCCAAGCCACCATCGTCGGATCTGACCGCTACATTACCCTTGCGCCCACCGCACAACGCGACGATATGACCGGAGTGGTTTACCCGGATCTCCTGGTGGCGTTCAACGTCGACCCGGCTTCCTACCTCGCCCACAACGGATACGTCATCTCGGAACAGGGCAAGCCTCCCGACTTGGTCCTTGAGGTCGCGTCGGCGTCGACCGGGCGGCGAGATGCTGTCGAGAAGCGGGTCATCTACGCCGAGCTGGGCATCGCCGAATACTGGCGCTTTGACGAAACGGGCCAATACCACGGCTCCCGGCTGGCCGGCGACCGGCTGGTGGACGGAGGATACGAACCCATCGAGATCACCGAGATGCCGGACGGCAACCTCAGAGGGCGCAGCATCGTCCTCGGTCTGGAACTCCGCTGGACCGACGGTCACCTGGGCTGGCATGACCCTGAAACCGGCGACCACATCGCCACCTTTGACACCGAGCGCGAAGCCCGCCTTGCAGAGCGCGAGGGCCGACTCCAAGCCGAAGCAAGGGTGCGAGATCTTGAAGAGGAACTGCAACAATTGAGGGGCAACTGATACCCGCCAAACGTCCGCGACCCGAGGAAGGCTGCGACACAAATATTGTGGCTCTCAGGTTGGTGGACCACAGACACCGCGATGAAAGCAAACGGCGGGAGCCGCCCTGATAGCAAAAGCCACGGACGGTAAACGAGCCGGCGCGGCCTAACCTGTGAAGGCTCATCCTGGCTCGGTGCCGCCTATCGCCAGTTTCAGGCCGGACGCCGGGGGTAGAGCCCGATGGTGGCAGGTAAACGGCTCGGGCTATGCGGGTTCCCCCGCACAAGTGGAGAAAAACCATGAGAAGAGTTCCTCGAATTGGCGTGGGCGGGCCGGTGGGCTCGGGCAAGACCACGTTGGTGGAAAAGCTGGTCCCCATGCTGATGGCAAAAGGCCGGCATCCGGTGGTCATCACCAATGACATCTTCACCCGGGAAGACGCGGAACATGTCACCAACACCCTGCGGGACGTGTTCGACACCGGCCGCATCCGGGGCGTTGCCACCGGCGCCTGCCCGCACGCGGCGGTGCGGGAAGATCCCAGCCTCAACCTGCTGGCGGTGGAGGAGCTGACCGAGGCTTACCCCGACTCCGATATCGTCCTGATTGAAAGCGGCGGCGACAACCTGACCCTCACGTTCAGCCCTGCCCTGGCCGATTTCCAGATCTACGTGATCGACGTGGCGGCGGGCGACAAGATTCCCCGCAAGCGGGGCCAGGGCATCACCCAGACCGACCTGCTGGCGGTCAACAAGACCGACCTGGCCCCGCACGTGGGCGCCGACCTCGACGTGATGCGCCGCGACCTCGACATGGTGCGGGGTGAGCGCCCGTTCGTATTCACCAACTGTCGCACCGGCGAGGGATTGAACACGGTGCTGGACCATATTCTCGATGCAGTCGGTAACCCTGAAGCGGGCTGCTGAACCTCCACGCCCCGGGCAGGACGGGCTAGCCGAACTGGTCCTGGAGCGGCGGGCCGGCCGCACCCGGCTGACCCGCTCGCGGACCAGGCCGCCCCTGCTGGTCCAGAAGGCGCTGTATCCGGATGACGCGACGCCGGACATGGCATACGTATTTCTGGCAAATCCCACCGGAGGGCTGCTTCAAAACGATCGCCACAGGGTGGCGGTGAGCGTCGGCGCGGGCGCGAAAGCCCACGTGACCACCCAAAGCGCAACGAAGATATACACGATGACGGAGGGCACCGCGGAGCAGCGAGTTCACCTGGAAATCGCGGCGGGCGGCTACCTGGAATATCTGCCCGACCCGTTGATACCCTACCGGGACGCCAGCCTGGCCCAAGAAGTTGTCATCACCCGTGAGCCGGGGGCGGCTCTGCTCATCAGCGACGTTATAACGCCCGGAAGGGTGGCCATGGGAGAATCGTTCCGGTTCCGGCGTCTCTCCAATCGTCTCACCGTAAATGGACCAAGCGGGCGGCCGGTCTATCGGGAAGCCTTCGACCTGGATCCGAGCGCGGGGGACCTGACCGGGACTGGCAACCTCACCGGGATAGGTGTGCTGGGCGTTGCGGAGCAGGGCGAAACAGATGACGCATCGGCACGCACGCTGGGTTCCGCGCTGATCCTGTGCGAAACCGAGGATGCGCGTGCCATCCTGGATAAGGTCAGGCATTGGCTGCCATGTTGCCGGGGCGTTCTGGCCGGCGCTTCGCTGCTGCCGGACGGCAACGGTTTGGGGATCAAGATGATCGGCCGGGATTGTGCGGCGGTACAGAAGGCGTTGCACCAAGTCTGGTCAATTGCCAGACGAGAATTGCTTGGTGTGGGAGCGCCTGCGCTGAGGAAGTATTGAGGCAGACGCTCATTTTCTGAGCATAGCGGACCGGTAAGCCAGCCAGTTGCATTAACGGAACCGCCGATGTGAGGCGGCGAGGGTGAACGGGTGCGGGGAAGAGCGAGCCGTGCAGCCGTCCTGTACGTCTAGACATACACACTTCGCGTTTGATGGTGCGCAATTCGTTGACAGGCAGTATCGCTATTGATATCATAAGTGTTGGCGGTCGTCGGGCATCAATTTGTCATGCCATATCAGCGTTGCCAAAGTTGCTGCCACCCCAATCCGTGACCGCTGGAGAGCAGAATCATGTGGGTTGTTCAATGTAAACGGATAGTAGGTACCCCACATGGAAATACTATGTGTAGTAGAGACTCTTCGGCGAAACCCCAAGGGGGTCAGGTTCAGCGATCTGGCTAGGATCTGCGACCGCTTTTTCGGGTCGCCGCGCCAGAGTGGGACGAGCCACCGGGTGTACCGCACACCTTGGCCGGGCGATCCCAGGGTAAACATCCAAAACAACAGGGGCATGGCCAAGGCGTAGCAGGTGCGCCAGGTGATCCGGGCCCTTGAGAAGCTGAACGACAATGGCTGATCATTACACGTACCGGGTTACATGGTCCGCCGAGGACGAAGAGTTTGTCGGACTGTGCACCGAGTTTCCGTCACTGAGTTGGCTGGCCCCGACCCACGAAGAGGCGTTCTCCGGCATCCGGCGGTTGGTGGCGGACTGCGTGGCGGATATGGAGGCCAACGGTGAACCGCCCCCGGAACCGATGGCAGATCGCGCCTATAGCGGGCGGTTTGTGGTTCGGGTGCCGCCGGAGACCCATCGGGCACTGGCCATGAAGGCCGCCGAGGAAGGGGTAAGCCTGAACCGGCTGATCAGTGCGCGACTGGCAGCCGATTTGGAGCGATGACTTCGGACGAGTTCTAAGAACCTGTCTACGATCTCTGAAATAGGTTAAGTTGAGACTATTATCAGGGGAGGGGTAATCAAGTCTCATTCCTATCCCAGCGACATCAGCCGGAAGCAATTCGCCCGGATTCTGCCGACGTTAGAGTCGGCCCGCCGTCGGACCAAGCCCCGCACCGTGGACTTGTATGACGTTTTCTGCGGCGTGCTGTACCTCTTGAAAAGCGGGTGCCAGTGGCGAATGCTGTCCGCGGACTTCCCCAATTGGCGCACTTGCTACCAGTATTTCCGGCAATGGAGCGAGCAGCCTGGCCCGGCGAAAGAATCCATTCTGGAGCAAGTCCTAAAAACAATCGGTTGGCGCGGTCCGGCAAAGCAATGGACGGAAAGAACAGACCAGCTTCCGCATCGTGGACTCCCAGAGCGTCAAGAACACGGACAGTGCCGATAGCAAGGGCTATGACGCGGGCAAGAAGGTGTCCGGAATCAAGCGTCACATCGCGGTGGACACGCCAGGATTGCCCCATGCGATACCTGTGACTACCGCCAATGTCACCGACCGAGCTGGGGCTTTGGCGATGTTTGACGAAAACCGAGCCGACCTCAACCAAGTCCAAAAGGTGCTGGTCGACGGGGGTTACACCGGGAAGCCCTTTGCCGCTGCGGTGCAAAGCCGGTTGGGAGCCGCGGTGGAAGTGGTGAAACGCAACGAACTGCACACCTTCGTGGTGCTTCCAAAGCGATGGGTGGTGGAGCGATCTTTCGCCTGGCTGGAAAAGTGCCGACGCCTCTGGAAGAACTGCGAAAGGAAGCTCAATACCAGCCTGCAAATGGCGGTGCTTGCCTTCATGGTGCTAATCCTCAAAAGATCGTAGACAGGCTCTAAGAAGCGCCGCACAAGATCGACGCAATGTGTCCGCTGGCTACTTTGCAGCGGACTTCCTTTTGCCAAGCCTCACGGAACCGGGAAACAGGCCGGCGGCATGGGCGGTCCCGCTGATGCCGGCTAACGGCAATGAACCAGTGGTGAAAGACGGGGCGGAACCGAACGGGATGGTCTGCGGTGGGGGTGGTCAGGCTCTGGTTGCGATGGCCGAGACGGCCTCCGCGCGCGAAGGGTGGATGTCGATGATCTGGTCGAAGCCGCTGGTCTCGAATACGGCGCGCACATCTTGGGAAAGCGAGCACAGGGCCAGGCTGCCGCCCTGTCGCTGCGTTTTCCGTACGACCTGCATGATGACGCGGAGACCGGCGCTGCTGATGTAGGCGAGGCCATCCATGTCTACGACCACGGCCCGGCGGGGGGTGTCAGTGGCGGATTCCAGCTCTTCGTGAAAGGCGTGGGCGTTGGAGCTGTCCAGGCGATGCTCAACCCGGACCAATACGGGTCCGCCGTGTGGGAAGTCGTCGATAGCCATGTTTCCATCCCTGCCAGGTGGTAAATATGCGGAACGGGGAACGTCAGCAGGCAGCCGGATGAGTGAACCGGAGCGAGATGCTGCCGTCGTTGACCGATTCTGGCGGCCGGGCGGAGTGAAACGCAAGGTAACGCCCGGCGAGTTTACGGTGATTTGCAGCGTGCGAAAGGGGTGTTATGGCGCCGGTCGGGAAACGCATTACGAACGCATCGCGGCGACCGGCGTTTGGGCGCGCGGTCGGTTGGCGCCGGCGACGGGATTGCCACGCTGCGCCCGCAATGACAGGGGGTTGCTGGCGATGGCACGGTGATGAAAGGGTTTGGTTGGGTCCCGGTAGCCGGGTTACGCATGGCGTCCCCCGTGATGGTTGGCGTACCTCTGCCCCTCCGGCGTTGGGGGACACAGTGTCAGCCGGTGAATGCGGACCACACCTCCGGCAGACGGGCCATGGCCTCGGCGGGAAGCGGACCAAGGGCGGCGATTTCGACGGCCTGATCGAGGTGCTCCAGGCTCGAATATCCCACCAGCACGCTGCTGACTCCGGAGTTGGTCAGCGCGAACCGCAGCGACGCCTCCACCAGGCTATCCGTATAGCCTTCCCGCAGCAGGAACCGGAAGCCCTCCCCACGGGACTGGTCCTGGTCGTAGTCGCGGCCCGAACCGATGGGAGCGACGGTGGGCACGGCGACAGGATGCCGCGCGGCCTCGCCGCTCAACGCGCCGGCAGCAAGGACTCGGATCACCAGCACCCCCATGCCGTTGTCGGCGGCTCGCTGGATCTGGTTTCCGTAGTCGGGCATATCGAACCCGGGCGGCACGCGGGCTCCGGCGCTGGGGTTGACCAGGTTGTATACCGACTGGATGGTGTTCAGAGTTCCCGAGTCGATGACCCGGTGCAGGGCAGCGGTCTCGCCGACGGCGGTCATCCCCCAGAACCCGACCTTGCCCTGGTCGCGCAACTCCCGCAGCGCGTCCGCCACCTCGCCCAGCGTCTCCTCGGGAGAGACCGACCCGCCCGCCGCCGTTGACTCGACGTGGTTGTGCATCTGGATCAGGTCAACCCGCTCCCGCCGCAACCGGGTCAGGCTCTCCTCAACCGAGGCGATGACGTTGCCCTTGACGCGCCCCGGCTCGTGGGTGGTGACCCGGAACTTGGTGCCGACGTAGACGTCCGCCGACAACTCCTGCAGCACCCGCCCCAGGTTGGTCTCCGACTGGCCGTCGCCGTAGGAGGAGGCGGTGTCGAAGTAGTTGATGCCCAGTTCCATGGCCCGGGCGACGGCCGTCACCTGGTCGCCATGTTCGCCTCGAATCATCAGGCCGCCAACGTTGCCGCAGCCGAACCCGATCTCGGACACGCTGATCCCGGTGCTGCCCAGTGGTCGATAGTCCATCACGTTCCCCCTGTCCAATCCGGTGTGTCTGCTGATGATATGCGCCGGTGGAGGTGAGGACAATGGCCGGACTTGCGGTACCGGAAGTGAGTGACGGAGTAGCCAGGACGCTGAAGGCGCTGGATATATCCCGAATGGAGTGAGACGAGCGACCATCACCATCCGCATGTACCATCTATCTAGCACGCATATAGAAAGGTGCAAGTGTATAATGCGCTGACAATCAGGGCCATCATAGATTGATAGGCAAATACACAGTGGCTACCACATGGAAAAATAGATCCAAGGACCGAGAGACGGCCAAACGATGCGGGAAACATTAGACGTGCAATTGAACGTTCCTGGTCGGCGGAACCTTGATCCAACGGCCAGACAACTTTTGGTCGATGCTCCGGAATTTGAGCCGTTGACAAACGACATGAGCGTACGGCTGTTCGCCCAAATGGCCTCCGGTCCCAATCATTTGACCGCCGACATTCAAGGTGCCGGAGTTCTCATCAACTACGATTGGGTAATCCAAATTCAGGCAGACACGATGATCCGCTGCGTCCAGACACTATTCATCGTCGTAAACACGGCAATGCAAGAGTTGGAAACTGCGGTAGCTCTAGACCTCATGACCCCGGTGGATGGCGACGATCGTCAACTGTATCGGATATTGGAACAAGAAGATAAGCGTTCAAAAAGTCGGGACCGTTCCAGGGACTGGAAGATTGGTTTAACGTCTAGCATTGTCGGCGGAATAGTGATTTTATTGGTTCAGTGGTTGATCTTTGGAGGTTGGTTCGTATGACGGCAATGTCACAAGCGGAGGTGGTCGAACGCGCAATCGAGGCTGCGGAACTTCATGGCTTTCGCGCAGAGCCGCCTGGCCGCAAGCCAGCTCGACGCTTATTTTGGCGACGAATGCATGAGCCGCAATCGATGCCCGACTTCCTGGTGAGCCACGGAGAAAAATCAGCTGCAGTTGAGGTTAAGGCATACACCCCGTTGCTTGGAGCGGTATCGCAAACGCGCGAGTACGCCGATCATTTCGGATCGCAAGCAGTCCTTTGCGTCTCGGATGCCTCCTTTGGGCGGATACCCAACAGCGTCCGGGAGTATGCAGATCGCGTCAACGTTCGCATGTGTCCGGTATCTGAGATTGGCGAGACGCTGAGAGTCCTGCTGGGATAGTCTTTCAGTTTGCTGCGCAGTGGAAATTCGCTGCTAGTCAACGGCTCTGCCCAGTCTGCAAAAGCGCCCTGTGTGGCGGGGCGCTTTTCATGTTGTCTTGCCCGCGTTCTTGTCATCGGGCCCATCAGTTGACGAGCTCACGTCGCGCTGATTAAGCCCATCACCGTGGTATCATCGCCCTGCATTTTGGGTTGCGATACGACACTTTGGAGGCGCACTGATGGCTACGAAACCGGCACTTACGACCGAACAGGTTACAGCGGCGATGAGCGCGATGCTGGCCAAGGCCAACGAGACCCCCGACGCGCCGGTGGCCATGGCCATCGTCGACGCCGGCGGCGAGATGGTGGCCTACCTGACCATGGACAACCTGCGGGTCTTCAGCCGCCGCCACGCCCGCCGCAAGGCCTACACCTCCGCCATAATAGGCCGGGACTCTGGCGAGCATGCCGCCGGCCTGGCGGCCCAGGGCCGTGGCATCGCCGACATGGGCGACCCCGGGTTCACCTACGGCCAGGGCGGGCTGGTCATCATGAAGGATGGCGTGATCCTGGGCGGCATCGGCGTGGGCGGCTACCCCAGCGGGCAGGCCGACGAGGACTTGTCGCGGGTGGGTCTGGAAGCGATGAACCTGTAACGACTGCATCAGCATTACGTGGTAGGGGCGAAAGATCTTTCGCCCCTACGATTTTTTCGACGGACACGCCGCTGGCGCGTACTCATTTTGTCATTGCGCGGAGCGAAGTGACGTGGCCGTCCGGTCGCCGGGACGACGACTCTTCGGCTAACGAGATTGCCACGCTGCGCTCGCAATGATGGTTTTTACGCAGGTGGCCACGCTTGGGTCACAATGACAGTTTGTACGCAGGTGGGTACACGTCACACAGGCCGGGAGGGTGACAACTATGGCGGATTGGAATTTCACGCACCGCACGGCGCGGGTCAACGGGGTCAACATACACTACGTGATCGAGGGCGACGGGTATCCGGTGGTGCTGCTGCACGGGTGGCCGGAGATGTGGTTCTCGTGGCGCAAGCAGATTCCCGTCCTATCCCAGGACTACCAGGTCATCGTGCCCGACATGCGCGGGTTCGGCGCGTCGGAGAAGCCGCTGCAAGACTACCGGACCCGGACGGCGGCGACCGACATCTACGAGTTGGTGCGGCACCTGGGGCACGACAAGATCGCCATCGTGGGGCACGACATCGGCGTGCGGGTGTCGTACCGCTACTGCCTGGATCATGAGGCGGAGGTGGACCGGCTGGCGCTGCTGGACGGGACGCATCCGCTGGAGCAGCTGGGCCCGCAGACGCCGGAGGGTGTGCGGGAACGCTGGCACTCGTACTTCCACCAGATACCGGACCTGGCGGAACACCTGGTCCGGGGCAACGAGGAGGCCTACCTGCGGCACTTCTACCGCAACTGGTCGGTGAACCAGGCGATGATGTCGGACGAGGAGGTGGAGGTATACGCCACAGCCTACGCACAGCCGGGGGCGCTGCGGGGCGGTTTCTCGTACTACCGGGCCGCGGCGTACGAGGATCCGCCGGACTGGCGGGCCGACGCGGAACGGGTGCTGGACATTCCGGTGCTGTACCTTTGGGGCGAACGTCGCCAGCGCACGTCTGCCGCCAGCGGGCTGGATCCCGAGGCGTCGTGGCAGAAGGCGGCGTCGAACCTTCGGACGCAGTTCATCGCGGGCGGCGGGCACTTCCTGCACGAGGAGAAGCCCGACGAGGTGAACGCGGCGCTGCTGGGGTTCCTGGGTGAGATCGGGGGCTAGGCGGAAGGTGCTATGCTGGGAGTGACCGCGGAGGATTGAGATGAGCACGCCACAGCCTCGCCCACTGCTGACGCGAGACGACCTGTCGCTGGATGCCATCGCGGAGATCTGCCGGCGCTGGGGGGTGCGGGGAGATGACTGCGTGCCTGAAACCCCGGCATCTGCGCGTCAGATAGCTATTGGATAACCACGATTGCTATACTGCTTTATGAGGCATACGTGAATTATTCGCATTGACCCCGCTGTTTCTAACGAATGGACGAGGTACATTATCTACGGTTGGTGTGCTAGGATACGCTGGTGAAGGCGTTCATCTGGGTGCTGGTAGCTATAGCAACAGTGGCGGTAATCGCCGTCGTCGCTTATCTACTGCTATTTCGCTGGCGTACCGCCATGGAACGCTTGAACAAGGCGTCGGCATGGCTCGATCATCGGTGGACTAGAATACACACGCTGGCTGCGCCATATGGTATTGCGTTTTCCACCTTGCTGTTGTCCGTTTGCGTTGCCGACGGCAAGTGGCGGTTTTGGCAATCGTGGGATACCATCCAAGACGCCGCAAGTTTAGGCGCTGTTTTCTATGCTGTGGCCGCGATTTCTTTGGAGGTACTGTTAACGATGGTCTTTTACGCATTGGGACAGATCCACCGCATAATGGAGAAGCGCGAGAGGCGGCTGAATGCCATTCGAGAGGAAGGACGGGAAGCCGAACGGAAAGCATGGCAAGAATGGTACGGCCAGCAAATCGCCAGTGGCGTCCAGTTGCCTGCACCGCCAGTGGCCGTAGGTGCAAATCCCGAATAGCGAGATGGACGGCCCACGAACAAGGCCCCGCCGGTGAGCGGGGCCTTCTGCTTTTGGTGATGCTACGAGAGGTCATTCCCGGAGGGCGGGGCCGACCTCCTCGGCGTAGAGGCGGATGGACTTCTGGACGCGCTCGGCGGGGACGCTGCCCCCCAGGTTGGGCTCCATGATGAAGCCGGTCAGGCCGAGTCCGTCGCGGATGGAAATGAGACGCTCGGCAACCTGCTCGGGGGAGCCGTAGGCGACCCGGTCCGCCAGGAGGTCGTCGTAGGTGGTGTTGAGCAACTGCTCGGCGCGTTGACGACGCTCCGCGCTGGCGTTGGCGCCCTCGGCTTCCACGGTGCGGATGTAGGTGTCAGCGGTGCGGCGGAAGGCGCGCATGGTGCTCTCTTCCGTGTCCGCGCGAACCTCCTCCATGGAATCGCCGACGTAGATGGGCATACGCACGTAGGCGTCGTCCACGTCGTTGCCCTTTGCGACGGCGGCTTCCCGGTAGAGCTTCAGGTTGGAGGCCACCTGCTGGATGCCCTGCCCGCGCACGCCGGTAACCAGTGGGAAGCCCAACTCGCCGACGATGGCGAAGGTATCGATGGAGTTGGCGGCGATGCGGATGGGCGGATGGGGCTGCTGGTAGGGGCGCGGCGTCACCACGACGTCGTCCATGTCGTAGTAATGGCCGTGGTGGTCGAAGCGATAGTTGTTCCACGCTTTGAGGATGATTTCCAGCGCCTCAGCGAACCTGACCCGGCTCTCTTCGAAGGGCACGTCGTAGCCCTGGTAGGAGCGGGGGAAGCTGCTGCGTCCGATGCCGAAGTCCAGGCGGCCCCTGGAGATGTTGTCGACGGTGGCGGCTTCCTCGGCCAGGCGGATGGGATGGGCCAGGGGCAGCACGCTGACGCCGGTGCCGACGCGGACGCGTTCGGTGCGGGCGGCGATGACGCCGGCCATCATCAAGGGGACAGACGATACCGAGGGGATGCCGGCTCCGCCCGGGTCGGTGGGTGTTCGCGGCGCGGCGAAGTGACGCTCGGCGAGCCAGACGCCGTCGATGCCCGATTCATCGGCCAACTGGGCGACGGTAAAGGCTTCGTCGAAGGCTTCGTCCTGGGTGCGGCCTTCGCGGTAATCGCATTCCATTACCAGACCGATGTGCATGATCATCCTCCTGCCGGTTCGTTGCCGGGACGCCATTCAGCGGCGTTCCGTCACAGGCTAGTTTCGGTGTAGGTATTGGGCGCCGTGAGGAACTTGGTACGGCACTCCAGGCTGCAGAAATAGTACCACTCGCCGTTGTAGAAGCTGCGCGTGCCGGCGTTGGGGTCAACCTCGTTGGCGCCGTGCATGGTCTGGCCGGTGGTGGCGCGGGCGCTGGATTCGTTGATTTCGGTCTTGCAGACGGGATCGACGGGCATGGTCGGGCTCCTGTTGGTTAGGTCTACGGTCGTGTCGTATCAGGCGACGGCTTTGATTCCGGCGACGGGTTCGGATCAGGCGACGGCTTCGATGTTCATACCAAGGCGAACCCGGCCGGGCTGGGCCAGCAGGGAGCGGGCGACCCGAGCGCGGTGCTCGAAACTGGTGCCCATGCGCATGGTCCAAGCGGTGACGCGGCGGTACCAGAGGTGCAGGTCGAACTCCATCATGAAACCGATGCCGCCATGTATCTGCTGGGAGGAACGTACGGTGGCCTGGCACTTGTCGTTGGTGAAGGCCTTGGCCTGGGACACCTCGACGCTGTAGGGCAGGCCGGCGTCCAGCTTCCACAGGGCCTCATAGGTGAGCAGCTGCGCGCCGTCGACCCAAACGATCATGTCGGCGCAGAGGTGCTGGATGGACTGGAAGCCGGCGAGGGGGCGACCGAAGGCGACGCGGTTCTTGGCGTACTCGATGGCCATCTCGGCGTCCTTGCGGGCCGCGCCGATGATCTGCGCGCAGAGCAGGGCGGTGCCGGTGTCCAGCATCTCGGACGTGGCCGGCCAGCCGGCGTTGACCTCACCGATGACGTTGCTCAGCGGGATGCGGACGTTGTCCAGCGCGATCTTGCTCTGGGAGTCCTTGGCCAATGTGGTGAGGCGGGTCTCGGTGATGCCGGCGGAATTGGCAGGAACGATGGCGAGGGTGATGCCGGCGCTGTCATCGGTGGGCGCGGCGGTGCGCAAGGCCATGACCACCAGCTCGGCGGCGGCGAAGTTGTCCACGAAGTGCTTGATGCCGTTGATGACGAGGCTATCGCCGTCCACCTCGCCGCGGCACTGGATGGCGTCGGCGCGAAGGCGCGGGTCCCGCTCCGGGATCGCCCAGGTCATGATGAGGTCGCCGCGGGCGACGCGGGGGAGGATGGACTGCTTCTGCTCGTCGGAGCCATGGTTGACCACGGCGAGGGCAGCGGTCGCAGTGCTGTGGAAGGGCACCGGAGCGATGGCGCGCCCGCACTCCTCCAGGAGGAGACCGAGGTAGGTGACGGGCAGTCCGCCGCCGCCGTAGGCTTCGGGCAGGGAGATGCCGAACCAGCCGAGGCTGGCCATCTGCTCCCATAGTTCCACGGAGTAGCCACGCACGTCCTGCTCGATGGCGCGGGCGAGGCCGGGCGGACACTCGCCGTCCAGGAACTCCCGGGCGGCGTTCTTGACCATCAACTCTTCTTCGGTGGGTAGTACGTTCATCGTGCCTCGGTTTGGGTTGGTTTTGAAAGGATAGCGTAAAGGTAAAGAACCACTGGGGTTAGGGGTCTACTGTTGGAAGGCCAGTCAGTTGCCGGATCAGGTTTACGAAGTTGGTCACGTCGTCCAGATAGTTAGCGATAGTATGAGCGTTCAGCCTATCTCTATAGAAGTTACGATGAAGTTCGTTGGCACTTCTCGCCCATATGTGCACTTCGTTCAGGCCGGTTTCCCGAGCTATCCTCGACACTACTTCCGCTGCGAAATCTCCGTGCTCGATGTAGGTCCACCCACGCAGGTAAGCTATCAACATAGCAGCATGGGCGGCCGCACCCCACCCTTTTTCGGATGCTTGCAGAAGGTTTCCTCTAGCCAGATATTCCCTGCTTAACCGTAGAAATTCGCTGCAAATCAACCCGTGGTCGGAACCGTATTCGGACATCCTCGAGCCTAAGCGATCTGCTTACTTTGCATCAGTTCGCTGATCAAGGATATCAATCTCGCGGCCGCGTCGAGGTCTTGCTGAACCCAAAAGGCGTCCAGCGATTTTCGCTTGGGGTCCGTGTTTTCTAACAAGTTCAGGACTTCCAACGACCAGGGACCTGCCGGTTCGCCTCCCGGTTCTCTCACCAACAGAGGCGTGACCTGGTCCAGGTAATTGCTACGGATATGGTCGTGCCCCGTCTCTTCCGCATACGATTTGGCGGCTCGGGTGACGGCCTCCCAGCCCTTCTCCGACGCCACCGCCAGGGACCCGTTTTCCAAACATTCCCGGCTGCGGCTCAGAATGTGGTCCGCAGTCTGAGGCGGGTCAGCGACGTCCTTGACGAGCAGCACCAGCCGCTGCATGTCGTCGAGCCGTCGGTCTATTCCGTCCCGGTCGAGCCAGTCATCCTCAACGTTCTCCGACAGCGTGATCGCGCTGACCACCCACTCGGCCACGTTCACGTGCGCCCGGTGGTCCTTGACCAGGATGCGCGCGGCCGCCTTGAATTCGGTTTCCGCGTTGGACTCGGTTTCCGGCATATTGCCGTCAACGTACTCTTCCAACGCCAGGACAGCGGCCCGCCAACCCGCGGCGGAAGCCGCAACGAAGTTGCCCTGCGCCAGGAGCTCTCGGCCCTGGCGCAGGAATTGGTCGCAGGTTTCGGCGGCTACGGCCAGCGGTTGCGTCACGACGGCAACTCCGGTGATTGCTAGACGCGGGGCATGCCCAAACCGCGGCGGGCCACCTGGTCGCGCATGACCTGGACGCTGCCGTGGTTGATGCCGCTCTGGAAGGCGCCCATGAGGTTGTGGGCGAAGACGCCGCTTTCGATGGCGTCCTCGGAACCGTTGAGCAACTGGCCGTAGGGACCAAGCATCTGGGCGATGGTCTCGGTGGTGCGGACGCCGTGCTCGGGGGCGAAGACCTTTTCGGCGGAACCCTCGTAGGTGAAGTTGCCGTCGCTCTCCACGATGGACATGCTCCGCAGGGTCATCAGCCGGCAGACCTGGCCCTCGATCCACATATCGGCGAGGCGGTCGCGCATCGTGGGGTCTTCGCGCATGGCGTAGCCCTCGATGTCGTTGTCTTTGACCCAGTTGACGATGTCCTCGTCGCGCTGAATGGAGATGAGGTAGCGGGACGCGCCCACGCGGTCGAGGTTGAGTCCCATGGCGCCAACGTACCAGCCCTGGTTCTCCTCGCCGAGCAGGCAGGAGGCAGGGACGCGGACGTTCTCAAAGAAGGTCTCGTTGGTGCGGTTATCGCCGTAGGTGGTGCCCAGGGGAGCCGGCGGGTCGTTCTGGATGGTCCACAGGGGACGCACGGTGATGCCCGGCGTGTCCATGGGGATGAGGAAGATGCTGATGCCCCGGTGACGCGGCGCGTCGGGATCGGTGCGGGCCATCAGGTAGATGTGCGTGGCGTAGTGGGCGGCGGTGGTGTACATCTTCTGGCCGTTGATGACGTACTCGTCGCCGTCGCGGACGGCGCGGCACTGCAGGCCGGCCAGGTCGGCGCCCGCCTGGGGCTCGGTGAAGCCCAGGGCGAAGGAGATCTCGCCGCGAATGATGCCGGGCAGGAACTCCTGTTTCTGCTCCTCGGTTCCGGCGGCGAGGATGGCGGGAGCGCCGGAGCCGGCGCCGCCGACGGTGATGCCGGCGCGGGCGAATTCCTCCTCAACGACGTATTGATCGATCCGGCTGCCGTCCTGACCGCCGTATTCCTGGGGCCAGGACATGCCAATCCAACCCCGCTGGGAGATCTGCTGGTACATCTCGCGGGTCTTGGGTCCGCGCCGGCGGATGCCGGTGTCCTCAAGCTCGGCGACGATCTCGGGAGTTACGTTTTCCGCAATAAATTGCTGGACTTCGGAGCGCAGGGCTTCCTGTTCGGGGGTGAATGCGAATTCCATAGCAACGCTGCCTCGTGAAAGAGTGTGCCGTTCGTTTACGCCGTGCAATTATAGCGGGTTGGGTCTGCGGTGTCATTCCGGGGAGTCGCGCGGCCGTCATCCAACGTCGACGTTTCGCACCGCCACGCCGAGCACGCCGGCCGGAGCGCGGGATAGATGACCGTCGCACGTGAGTATCGCGGCGTCGTAAACCCGGGCGGCGGCAACGTACAGCGCATCATAGGCCGTCACGTTCTGGTAGTACGGCCAGGCCAAAGGGATTAGCGGGCCGTGCGATACTCGCTCAACGGGCATGGCCGCCAGGTCGGCCAGCGCCGTGAGCGCCCGGGCCTCATCGATCTCCCCGTGAAGCACCTGACTGCGCAGACCCGACATCACTTCCGCGTCCAGCATTTCCGGCGCGATTAGCCTGGCCCCGGCTATCATGGCGGCCACCTGCACCCCCGCCGGCCGATCCAGCAGGTACTCCACCGCCGCCGATGCGTCCAGGATGTAGGTCTCCGCCGGGGCAATCTTCGGTTGGGGCGGGTCCTCAGGATTGGGAGTTGCCATCAGCTGCGACGCCGCTCCAGCCACCGATCCTGCTGCACCTCACGCTCCAGCCGCGCCTCCTCCAGCGCCGCCGCCGCGCTCAGCACCAGCCGGCCGCCGGGCCGGCTTTCCCAGCCCTCCTTCCATCCCGGTCCACTCGGAGACGGTCCACTCGGATCCGGTCCACTCAGAGACGGCTGGCCGATGAGCAGGTGCATCAGCCGCTCAATCACCGCCCAGTCCAGCGAGTTGCGCAGCCAGGCCCGCAGCTCGCGCCGGGCGATGGTCACCGTCAGCCTGTCGCCCCGCTCCGCCCGCAGCTCCGCCAGCCGTTCTGGCCACGCCGGCCGCCGCCCGCTCCCCAGCCTTCGCCAGGCTTGCGTGCAGCACATTGCCAACGTCAAACTCCGGTATCGGCAGCTTCCAAGTGCTTGTGCAAATGGCGCGCCCGAACTGGCCTTTGGACATCAACGGTTGCACCGCTTCGTACAGTGTATCGCTGTTGTGATGCGAGCAGATAGTGGCTTCTGGTATCTTTGCAGGTATCCAATACAAGCGCTCGTCGACCAAAGCGTTTGTCGTTTACGAGGAGCAGCCGTTGGCTGACCACCTTGCGATTGAATCACCTAATTGGCCTGTCGTCGGTCACGCTTGCCATTCCAGCTGCGATGATAATTTTCTGAGTGGTCTAAGATTATCCAGATAGGTTTCAAACGAGTGCTCTCGCCTTGTTGCTTCCCACATCGGCTGATAGTCTGCCAGCGTCCACGCATTCGCCGTTCCATCCCCATCCGTATGCCACCGGGGCCACTTGCGTCGAAGGCATACTCGTGTTCTCCTGTGTTTCACAGGCAGCAGGCTCGAAGGCTTCATGTGGCGTAGGGAACCACTGATTCCTTCAAGTACACGTCTAGAGATGCTGGCTCTATTGCCTGCTCGTTATGGTCGTCCAGTTTAGGTCACGCCATAGGCACTCGGTCCTGGGAGCCCAGGCGGGGTTTACGTGATAGTTGGCGGCGCTGCACGACTGGGCGTTGTTCCCTGTTTCTTCACGAAGAACAACGCCGCGGAAAGACGGTAGCGCCTGTCTAGCGTCGACCGGAAGGGCGATCTCCGCCCATGACGTATCGGTTATCCCGCTGGACACCCGCCGCACGTCGTCGGAGCCGGCCGCGCCCTCCCAGCGTTCCACCGAGCCGGCCAGCGGGGTTGCCTCTGCGTTTTCTCCCGTCCGCTGGGCGAAGGCCACGCAGGACTGCGATGGGAAAGAAGGTGTTGGGTTCCAGTCGCTCCAGATCCCACGCCGCCTGGTGTCCGAAGTTGACCGCCAGGGTGCGCGCCACTGTCTTGCTGATGTTGCCCTTGGGAGTAAACGGGTGATGTTCCCATTCCCCGCTGCGCCACTTGGCGTACTGGCCCGACTGCAACGCGCTGTGGGGCAGCACCATGCCGATATGCCGCCGTCCTTCAGGTACAGGTCGACGCTGCGAGCGAAGAACAGCCCGGCCACGTCCTGATGGGTGGCGTAGCGTCCACCTGCCAGATCCGTAGAGGCTCTTGCTCTGCCTTTCCAACTCGTCGCGGAGGATGTCAGCCGTCTGGTTGTAGTTCAGCCAGGGTGGGTTGCCGATGATTACGTCGACCTTGGTGCGGCCCAGGGCGACGGGGCGGACCAGGTTGCGGGTGTAGTAGGCCCAGATGTGGTTACGGCCCTGGTCGTGGAGTTGTTGCAGGGTGGCGATGGTGGCGGCCAGGATCTGGCGCTCCCCGGCCCGCTGCGGGTCGGCGTCGATGACGCCGTGGTCGTCCAGGGCGAGCAGTGGGTCATCGCCGCGTTCGATGTCGGCGGCGACCTGGCTCATGAGGGAGTCGAAGGTGTCGGCCCGGTCCACCAGGGAGATGGGAAAGGTCAGCTCCGTGTTGGCGCTGCCGGGAATGGGGTCCGGGTCCACCTGGATGGTGACCTGCTGGCCGGCGAAGAGGTCGCCGGCGTTAAACCGGAGCTGGAGGGCGTCGCCAAGATACACGGGGACGGAGCCGGAGGCGTCGTAGCCGGCACCCACGGTGGCCTCGATGGCCGGGCGGGCGGCCAGAGCCCAGGCGGCGCGGGCGAGGTGGACCGCCACCGGATGGACGTCGATGCCGGTGACGGCGACGCGCAGGCGTTCGAGGAGTTCTTTTGGGTTCCAGGGGCGCGTCGGCAATGGAGGCGAGGAAGTGGGCGACGGCGGCGGCGATGAAGGTTCCGGAACCGCAGGCAGGGTCCAGGACGCGCTGGTTCAGGGGGTCATCCACCAGCTCTTTAACCATGGCCTGGGCGAGCCAGGCAGGGGTGTAGTACTCGCCCAGGGTGCGGCGTTCCTCGGGCGGTATGACGGTCTCGTAGAGGATGGCGGCGATGTCGGGCGGGGCGTTTTGCCAGTCGAAACGGGTCACGCGGCGGGCCAGTGCCTTGAGCAAGTCGTGGCCGCCCACCTCGTCGGGCCAGGCGAAGAAGTCAGATTCGATGATGCCGCTGAGTCCGGTGGCGTCGCGGAAACGGCGTCCCTGCAACAGGTCGGAAGGGTCGGATGCAGCCACCTGGCGCAGGTCAATACCGAAAGAGGCCTGGACGGCCATGCCGATGACGAGGCTGAGGTAGGTGTGCCGGATGAACAGGTGGTCAAGATCGGAAGGGTCGCGGGCGATTTCGCCCAGGGCGGCGCGGAGGAGGTTCTCCCAGAGCCGGCGCTTGACCTTGACCGTTTCGTACTGGGCGGCCTGGTCGTAGAGGCGAGCAAGCACGTCGATGTCGCGCTGGTAGGTTGGGCTGCCGGGCCCGAGATACCGCTCCACGTTGAATCGGTCGGCCGGGATGCTTTCCAGCGACAGGAGGGCGCTGTCCCGCAGCCACTCGTAGAGCAGCAGCCAACGGTCCGCCGATTCCAGAACGAAGCCATAGGGCGGCGCCGTCTTCACCACACCGGCTTCGGGCCAGCGCAACAGCCAGTACTTGCCATCGGTGAGGATGCCGGTGCGGATGCCCTTACCTGCAACCTTGGACGCTTCCAAGTAGTCATCCAACTGCTGAACATTGGCCGGGTCGGGGTCGAAACCGCCGACGGTGCCAATGCGACGCTTGAACTCGATGAAGGTATCGAGGGCGGTCAGGTCGACGGCGCGGCGGCTGTCGTCGGCAGGCGGGTTTTCCTCGACTATCGCCTCAGGCCGGGCCAACTCGGTCACGACGAGGAAATCGCGGACGGCGGTGGTGATGTTGGCCTCGGGCTCGAAGTTTTCGTGGCGACGCAGGATGGAGGCCGTCGCTTCCAGATACTTCGGGTCGCTCATGTCGAGGTGGGTGGTCATGGGTGGATTGTAGCATCGCGGGCTGAGGCGGCCGGCCTGCGGCGCCTGTGCTAAACTGGCGCTAAGTCATCCAAATCGGTCAGGACAGTACCGTGCAAAACACAGCAGTTTCGCCCTCAGCAGGTGTATCTCCAGCCATTCTGGACGCCGCCGCCGTTGCCCGACGCATCGCCGACAATATCGCCACGGTGATTGTCGGGAAGAGCGAAGTGATCGAGATGGCGCTGGCCTCCCTGGTCGCGGAAGGACACATCCTGGTCGAGGATGTTCCCGGCGTCGGCAAGACGATGCTGGCCCGTTCCATCGCGGTCTCCATCGGCGGCACCTTTTCGCGGATCCAGTTCACGCCGGACCTGCTGCCCAGCGACGTGACCGGCGTATCGGTGTACAACCAGTCCTCGGGGGAGTTCTCCTTCCGTTCGGGGCCCATCGCGGCCCACCTGGTGCTGGCCGACGAGATCAACCGGGCCACGCCCAAGACCCAGTCGGCGCTGCTGGAAGCCATGGAGGAGCGGCAGGTCACGGTGGATGGGGTGACGCATCCCCTGCCGCCGCCGTTTCTGGTCATCGCCACGCAGAACTCCATCGAGTACGAGGGGACGTTCCCGTTGCCAGAGGCACAGTTGGACCGGTTCCTGATGCGCATCAACGTGGGGTACCCGCGGTTCGAGGAAGAGATCACGATCATCGCCCAGCAGGAGCACTCGCATCCGATCCTGGACCTGGAGTCCGTGGCCACGCCGGAGCAGGTTCTGGCGCTGCAGCAGGCGGCGCAGGAAGTGTACGTTGACAGCCTGGTGCGCGAGTACCTGGTGGCGCTGGCGGAAGCGACTCGGGGACACGCCGACGCGGCGTTGGGAGCATCGCCCCGGGCGTCGCTGGGCCTGTTCCGCACCGGTAGAGCGCTGGCGCTGGTCCGCGGACGGGACTATGTACTGCCCGACGACATCAAGGAACTGGCGGTGGCCGTGCTGTCCCACCGCATCGTGCTCACCCCGGCGGCGAGGATGCGCGGGGTGCGACCGGAACAGCTGGTGAGCGAGCTGCTGAACAGCGTGCCCGTGCCGGGGGCGAGGTAGGTTTGGGAACTTGGGAGGACGGGGTATGTACACCTTTGACGTACTGGTTTCGAAAGGCAAGTTGTCTGACGGATCGACCTGCTACGCCGCATCGTGCTCCTACGTCTACGGCGTGTGGTCGCAGGGCGATACGGAGGAGGAGGCGCTCGAGGTCATCAGGTTGATCATCACCGACGTCATCAATGACCCGGAAGACCTTGCTGAAAGCCTGGTGGATCCGAAGGCCGCAGCGGATGAAATGACAGAAATGATCCGTGAACGTGAGGCCGAAGGCATCGCCTGTTGGACGCGGATTGTATCGGTAGCAGACGCCGAGCCAGCCAATATCTGATGCCCAGATACGCCAACGTACGGCCGACGGAGCTCCACCGTCTGCTGTTGCGGATGGGGTTCATCGAAACCTTAAGAAATCATCATCGCCACTATCGCCACGATGGGCTAGGTTTCCGTACCCGGATGTCTTTCGGAAACAAAGAGATCAGACCGGATTATATGAGTGACATTATCACCAAGCAGCTACGAATGACTGTTGACGAATTTCGCGAAACTATGAACGGGAATGTTACCGAGCCGTTTACCCATCCTGAATTCTGGAACAAATGAACGGCATAGGCAGTTAGATTCCTGACACCTCTTGACAGGCAGGGAGCCGATACGTCGAAGTAGGGAAGTGATCATGCATACTTTTGATGTTGTTACCTGGGAAGGGGCCCTGTCTGACGGGTCAACATGCTACGCTGCGTGGTGTTCGTACGTGCTGGGTGTCGGAGCACAGGGGGACACCGAGGCAGAAGCACTCGAGAGCATCACTGACATGATGGTCGACGCCATCACCGACCCCTGGCCCGACGGTTCTGGGCTGGCTGATAAACAGACTGCCAAAGCGGCAATGGCCGACTTGATACAAGAACTGGCAGACGAGGGCATTTCTTACCGCGTTCACCACGTAACCTTGGCTACCCCAGAACCAGCAGACGTCTGATGCCTCGCTACGGCAATGTCCGGCCCAGAGAACTTCGAAATTTGCTTTCGCGTATGGGGTTTGTCGAAACAGCACGAAACGACCACTGGCGTTACCGTCATTTTGGTTTGGGCCTGCACACCTTCGTTTCTTTCGGCAACAAGGAAATAGACGCAACTTTCATGGGCCGGATTATTGCAGAACAGCTACTTATGACCGTTGATGAATTCCGCGATTCAATGAACGGGAATATCCCCGAGCGGTTCACCAACCCGGAGTTCTGGAACAGCTAAACGGTAGACCATCATGACCAACATCAAGTCTCTTATCAGCCAGCACCGGCGCAAGATACTGTTCAGCCTGCTGATTCTGGCAGTGCTGTTTTACTCGTTGGGCACCGGGTTTGCGTTCTTCTATCGGTTGCTGTTCACACTGGTGCTGCTGGTGGGGATCGGTTACGGCTGGGCCTGGCTCAACCTGCGCGGCATCGAGGTACGGCTGACGCGGCTGGGAACCCGCGGCAGGGTCGGGGACTACCTGGAAGGCCAGATCCAGCTGATCAACCGCACGCGATTGCCCAAGTCGTGGCTGGAAGTGGTGGAGAACACCGACCTGGCCGAACCGGGCGGACGCACGGTAGCGATGGTCAGGGGACAGGTGCGGTCCTTCCGCATCGCCACGTACCTTTCGCGACGGGGCATCTATCGCACCGGGCAGGTGCGCGTCACCGCCCGCGATCCCTTCGGACTGTTCCGCCTGAGCCGGATGTTCCTCAACGATCAATCGTATACGGTGCTGCCCAAGACCGTGCCGCTGCCCGACCTGGACCGCCGGTTCGCCAACCTTCCCAGCGACTCCGTCCTTTCGCGGCGCACGCCAGCCATCACACCCGAGTCATCCACGGTGCGGGACTACGCCCACGGCGACAGCCTGCGCCGCATCCACTGGCCGTACACCGCGCGCATGAACCGCCTGATGGTCAAGGAGTTCGACATCGGCGTGTCGGCGCAGGCGTGGGTGCTGCTGGACATGGAGCGGCGGTCCCACCTGGGCGAACCACCGGACAACACCGAAGAGCTGGCCGTCACCGTTGCGGCCTCGCTGGTGCAGCACTGCGACGCAACGGCGGTTCCCGTGGGGCTGGCCGCCAATTCCTCCGACCTCTGGATGATGAACCCGGACCGCAGACCGGCTCAGCTGGGCATACTGATGGAGACGCTGGCGGGCATTCGCGCCGACGGCGTCCTGTCGCTGGAGCGGTTCATCTACGACCTGCGCCCCCACCTTTCGGGCTTCAACACGCTGATGGTCATCACGGCCTCTCGCCGGCCGGAGTGGACCGCGGCGCTGGTCAGCCTGCGCCGGCAGGGGATCAACGTGACGGTATGTTACGTCGACCACACGTCGTTCACCGACGCCGACGGGGGATCGAGCACCGGAACCACCGGCCAGGCCGTCGCCGACTACTTGGCCCAGCATGACATACCCATCTACATCGTGCGGCGCGACGGAGACATCAACCAGGCCCTGTCGCGTCCGCTGGCCGCCGGCGGAGCGAGCGCATTCGACGGCAGCGGCGCGCCGGCGGGTCCGGCGCCGGTCACGGATCCCGGGCCGGTGGCCGTCCGGGTGGAATAGCGATACGATGGGTTCCGTACCGAAGAGATATGTAAAGTAACCAAGTCATGGCTACCATCGCGGCTCCATCCACTCCCTTGACTCCGCCCTCGCCGGGGGCCAATCCGACGTGGAACGGCGCCGGCGCGGGCCGCTGGCTGCTAGCAGTCCTGGCAACGCTGCGACCGCCGGACGGCTGGGTAGCCGCCAGCCTGCTGCTCCTGAACATGATCATCGTCGTATGGTCGGTGGAAGTTGCGGATTGGGCGCCATCGCCGTCGTTGGTCCTGGTCACGGTGCTGGCGGTGCTGACTGCCATACCGCTTACCCGCATTCGCCTGTGGACCGCCGCGGTGCTGCCGGTGGGGTTGATCGTCGGCATCGGCGTGATCATCTGGCAGATGGTCGTCGCGGCTCCGGTGGAGCTGGAGGTCACCAGCACCGGGGAACTTTTCGAGCGGCTGGGCCTATGGGTGCTGGCGGCCCGCAACGAAGGCATCAGCGTGGACCCACTGCCCTTTGCGGTGGGACTGATGATGGCGGCGTGGCTGTCGGGCTACCTGGCCGGGTGGGTATTTTTCCGCTATCGCAACTTCTGGGGCGTATTCGCCCTGGGAGCGGTGGGCCTGATGTCCAACCTCACCTTCCTGCCCGACACCGCCAGCATCTACCTGGCCATCTACGTGTTCACCGGCCTGCTGCTGGTGGGCTGGGTGCAGTCGGTGCGCTCCCGCCAGCGTTGGGACGCGCAGGGCCGAGTCTACGACGGGCACCTGGGCATCCTGACCGTGAGCGACACCTCGGTGGTGGCGATCATCGCGCTGGTGATCGCGTTCCTGCTGCCGGTGGGCGGCCAGTGGGGTCCGGCCAACTCCTTTTACTCGCTGACCCGGGCGCCCCTGGTGCAGTGGGAGGAGGACTTCAACCGACTGTTCGCCGGCCTGCCGGCGCGGCGTCCGCTGCCTACCGCATCTGGGGCGACACCATGGCCTTCCAGGGCACCATCAACCCCACGGACACCCGGTGCTGCAGGTCAACTCGCCCGGTGCCCATGTACTGGAAAGCGCGCTCCTACGCGACCTACACGCACGAAGGGATGGCTGTCCGACGGCACCGTGCTCCGCGAGCCCGGCTGGAAACCCAAGCACAGCGTGCCCAACCCCTTACCAGGAACGGTTCAACATAACCTTTGAGGTCATACCCAACTACGACAGCCGCAGCCTCTTCGCCGGCGGGCCAGGTGATCGGCGCCAACCGGGACGTGCGCGTCGAGACCTTCGATTCCCCCAGCTACGTGATTGACCCGCACCTGGCGAGCGAGACCGACCTGCTGCCTACAGCCCTTCGACTGGCCGTGGACGGCCTGCGCGACGCCGTGTCCGCGGACGCATTCGCCGCGGCGGAAACCGTTCAGGGCGTGCTGCCCGCGTCCTTCGTGCTGGAATCGATCGAGCGCGACCCCTCCGGCAGCGTTGTCCACGCCGTGATCGGCGAGATAGTGCCGGCCGAGCCGGACGTGCTGGCGGTGCGGGCCGCCGGCGGCGCGGCGGAGGCCGGCGACCCCTACCAGCTGACCGCCTCGGTGTCCTCCGCGGAGCCGGAACAACTGCGCACCGGCGGCGAGGAATACGCTCCATGGCTCTGGGCCCGGTACACGCAGTTGCCCGAGGATATGCCACCGCGCGTGGCGGATCTGGCTCGCCAGATTACCGCCGGGGCGGAGACACCCTACGACAAGGCGGCGGCGGTTGAGCAGTATCTGAAGAGCAACTTCACCTACAACCTCGCCATCGATCCTCCCTCCTTCGGCGCGGACGGCGTCGACTACTTCCTGTTCGAAAGCCGCGAGGGTTACAGCGAATACTTTGGTTCCGCAATGACCGTGCTGATGCGGAGCCTGGGCGTGCCGGCACGCATGACCACCGGTTATACCACCGGAAACCTCGCGGACGGATCGCATATCTACGTGGTTACGGATCGCCACAGCCACGGCTGGACCGAGGTGTTTTTCCCCGGCTACGGCTGGATCCCATTCGAGCCCACTCCCGGCAGGGATATACCGTTGGCCATCCCGCCGGAGGAGCAGGCCCGCCGGGCGTTGGCCGCCGGAGACAGCAGCGACATCGACGATCTGCTCTGCGAGATCGAAGAGGACTGCCTGGACTTCGAGGACGGGCTGGAAGATTCCGACCTGGTAGCCGACAATGCCACCGGTACGGGTTGGACCAACACCGCCCGTAGCTTCCTGCCCTGGATCGTCGGCGCGTCGGCCGCCGCGGTAGCGCTGGCGCTCGTCGCCGGGGCGCTGTGGCGATGGCTGCTGGCCCCGCCCAGCGACGTGCCGGGCGCGTATAGACGCCTGCGCCGCCTGGGCCGGTTCGCGTCGGTTCCGCTGCGGGAGCACCAGACGCCAAACCAATGGGCGGGGGCGCTGGCCGCGGTGGTGCCGGAGCGAGGCCACGAGATCGGCCGGATCGTCAACGCCTACGCCCGCCACAGGTATGCCGGGCGCGAGCATTCCGGCACGGAAACGGACACCGGCGTGGTGGAGGCCTGGAAAGCGGTTCGCGGGCCGCTGGCGTGGTATGCTCTGCGCCGCCGGGAAGGCTGATTTAGGGCAAAGGCCCGTGCTGCGGCAACGAGATTGCCACGCTTCGCTCGCAATGACGTTTTCACCACTTATACGGAACGACGGCGCGATGACCTTTCGGGAAATCGCGATTGCGGCGCTTCGTTCGCAATGACATCTGGGAATATCGCGCAACTCTGTCGAAACGGCGGTGCAATGAGTTCAACCACGGGGTCATGTGAGGCGCTCTGCTACTGCCTGGAGGAAACTCCCTTCGGGTGGTTGGCACTGCTGGGTTCGGCGGGCGGACTGCGCCGGGTCAGCCTGCAACCGGAGCCGCAAGAAGCCCTGGATGGCCTGGGCGATGCGGTGAACGGCGCCGAGGGTAATCCGGCCGTCTTCGCAAAGGCGCTGGTTGCGTTCAGGGAATACTTTGCGGGCAACGTCATAGCGCTGGATGGGATTCCGCTAGATCTCTCCAATGCTTCGCCGTTCTTCGGGGCGGCCTGGGCCGCTTGCCGCGGCATACCAGCGGGCGAAACACGTTCCTACCAGTGGCTGGCAGAGGCCGCCGGGAACTCCAAAGCCTCTCGCGCCGCCGGCCAGGCGATGGCCAGAAACCCCTTCCCCCTGATCATTCCGTGCCACCGGGTGGTGGGCAGCACCGGAAGCCTGCACGGTTACGGCGCCGGCGGCATCGGCGTGAAAGCGCGCCTGCTGGAAATGGAGCGGCAGCAGGGGACGATGCTCTAATCACTCGGCCGCTCCGGCAGGGAAGTAGCATACGGGCTGCCGCCTGGCAGCCCGTGTCGTCTCCGGCCACAGTGATCCTCCTGTAGGCAGGAATCCAGTACAAGACCCCCGTCCCGTCGTTTTTTGGACTCCGGATTTCGCCGGAGTGACGGGCCGGCAAGTTCCAAATGCGCTTGCCCTGGGCGTTCCCGAGAGTCATTAGGTTGTCGCCGTCCGGAATGGAATAGCGCGGCAGCAACGGAGCGATGCGACCGCTTTCGGCGAGGGGCTGCGCTGTGGCGACGGGATTGCCACGCTGTGCTCGCAGTGACAGGGGTGGGTGTTCGCAATGACGTTCGGGCTTCGGGGCCACGGCATTCAGGAAAACCGAATGACCCTGGCCGCTCCTGGGACGTTGTTGCGGTCTACCCGCCTGACGGGTATTCTGTACCGTGATACGATCCCCTCTAACCAATCGCGACAATCACGTTTTCCAACCGCGCCGCCGCCAGGAGGTTACGACGATGGCAGGACAGAAATTCACATCCTGGGTACACGGCTCCGCCATGACCGGAGAGTACCTGAACCGCATCACCGCCGTGCGTCACTGCGGGCCGTTCGTGCGCATTGAGGGCAACGAGGGGCAGAACACCTGGCTGCACTTCGCCATACCCACCCCCACGGTGCAGAACGGAAACCGCACCAAGGCCGAGTCGGTGTCGGTGTCCTTCCGCGCGCGCTCGCACGCCAACGTGGCCGAGGTGCTGGTGTACGACGGCGAGAAGATCATCGCCGAGCACTTGGGCATGGCCATCAAGGGCGACAACCTGGACGCCAGTTTCGAGATCCCGGGAACTCCCGAGGTTGATCGCGGGATCAACGTGGTGGTGGGCGTGACCTTCGACGAGGGCGCGCCGGACATCCGCTCCATGCAGGTGGAGATAGTGGGCGTGGGCGTGGACTTTGAGGGATAGCGCACCCTACGCCATAGATAAGCGCATTTGAGGGGCGGGTTTGACACCCGCCCCGATTTTATTCTTGCCCGGGCCGGTCGCGGTGAACGTCACTCGGCATCGGGCATCAGGCCGTGCTGTCTGAGCCGATCCTCCAAGGCGAGGGCGCGAGCTTCGGCGGCAGCGCGGGCATCTTCGGCGGCATCCCGGGCATCCTGGGCGGCGTCGCGGGCGTCCTCGGCGACATCGCGAGCATCCTGGGCGACAGCGCGGGCATCTTCGGCGACAGCGCGGGCATCCTCGGCGGCCTGGCGGGCGGCCACTTCTTCCGCAAGATAGCTGAGCCAGGTCAGGGTTTCCGGGTCGTAGAGGCGTAAGTCACCGTTGGGACGCTGGCAAACTTCCAACCCCAGCACCACGCTGAATCCGCGCAGCATCCCGTCATCGCCCGCCCCGATTTCGATGGGTTCGTATTCTCCATCCTCGGCCAACTGCTCGCCGACCAGAGTTGGGGCGAAAAGTTGCCCGGTGGGGTCGAAGCGCCAGTATTCGGTCACACCCAGCGCCGCGTAAAGCGCCCGCTTTTCGGTCATGTCGCGCACGAAGGTGCTGGGCGACGCGATTTCCAGAACGAAATCCGGGGTTTTGCCTTCCTCGCGCCAGATGATGTAAGAGCTGCGCAGGTAATCCTCCACGCCGAACACGACGAACACGTCCGGAGCGAGGCGTACCGTGTTGTCGTTCATCCGGTAGTAGACCAAGAGGTCGCCGGAGACATAGACATCGTCCCGGTCGGCATAGTGTTGGCGCAGGGCGAGTACTGTTTCGGAGAGCGGGTAGAACTGGGCGTCGGTTTCTGCCATGGGGTTTCCGTCCGAATCAGGGTAGTAGATGTCCGGGTCATCCTCGGACAGCGGGCGATCCAGGCCCTGCCGGACGAACCGGCTAACCAGTTCCTGAACCCTGATGCGCGGACGGGTTTTATTACCGGTTGCGGTGGTCATGCTGGATTCACTCCCAAGCCGTGGGGCGGTCAGACCCCTTCCACGATCGTCACATTGGAGATGGTGGAGGCGATCCGCAGTTCCTTGGGGCCGGCGTAGTCATCGGAGTAGTACCAGCCGTTGGCCTTTTCGAGGCTGTCGAATTCCAGAATGACGGTGCGGCGAGTGGGCTGGTCGCCCTCGACCACTGTCACCTCGCCGCCACGGGCCAGGTAACGGCCGCCGTGGTTTTCGATAGTGGCGGGGACCTGCCCGCGGTAGACCTCAAACTTCTCGGGGTCGGTAACTTCAATCGTCGCAATGATGTAGGCGGCCATGGGGCGTCTCCTTGATCGATCAAAACTGGCCGGCAGCGAGCAGACCGTTGCGGGCAATGTCATTGTAACCCGCCCGTGTCGCTGGCTGCCACGACGCTTGCCGTGGGTTGCGCCCGGTAGTATTCTGCAACGCACTTGCAAGCCGCCGGAGGCGGACGGACACAGGAGTTCCAGCCACGATGCCCACCCCGAATTCTTCACCAAGCGATGTTCGCACGCACAACAACTTTATCAACGGCCAGTGGACGCCCTCCGACTCCGGCCGTACCTATTCCGTATATAACCCGGCCCACAAGAACACGTTGCTGGGACACTTCCAGCTGTCGAATCCCGAGGACACGCTGCGGGCTGTGGCGGCCGCCGCCGAAGCCGCTGCCGGCTGGGCCGACACGCCGGCGCCGGTGCGCGCGCAGGTGCTCTTCCGCGCTCTGGAGATCATGGAGCGTCGATCCGACGAGATCGCGCGGACCATCACCGAAGAGGAGGGCAAGCCGCTGCCAGACGCGCGGGGCGAGGTCAAGCGGGCCATGAACATCATGGAGTACGCGGCCGGCGAGGGTCGGCGGATGTTCGGCTACACCACGCCGTCGGAGCTGCCCAACACGGTGGCCTACACCGTGCGCCGACCCCTGGGCGTGGTGGGCATCATCACCCCGTGGAACTTCCCGATCGCCATTCCGGCGTGGAAGATGGCGCCGGCGCTGATCTGCGGCAACGCAATGATCTTCAAGCCGGCCTCGAGCACGCCGTTGTGTGCCGTGAAACTAACTGAGGTGTTCGAGGAAGCCGGCGTGCCCCCCGGCGTTTTGAACCTGATCACCGGCCCCGGCGGCAGCGTGGGCAACGCGCTGGTGGAATCGCCGGACGTGACCGGCATATCCTTCACCGGCAGCACGGAGATCGGTACCGAGCTGTACACGCGAGGGGCCTCCCTGCTGAAGAAGGTACAGGCCGAGATGGGCGGCAAGAACGCCGTTATCCTGCTGGCCGACGCCGACCTGGACAAGGCGCTGGGCGGCATCGTGCAGGGCGCGTTCGGCTCGACGGGCCAACGCTGCACCGCCACCAGCCGGGTGATTGTGGAGGACGGGGTCTATGACCAGTTCATGGAGGAGCTGATCGAGCGCACGTCCAAGCTGACCATCGGCGACGGGCTGGACGAGGGCATCGACGTGAGCCCGCTTTCCAGCGAATCGCAGCAGCGGACGGTATCAGACTACATCACCGCCGGACGGGACGAGGGCGCGACCCTGGCCTTCGGCGGCCGCACCCTGCACGGCGGCATCTACGATGAGGGCTGGTACGTGGAGCCGACCATCTTCACCGACGTGGACCCCGAAATGCGGATTGCCCGGGAGGAGATATTCGGGCCGGTGCTGACGGTGTTCCGCGCCCGCGACCTGGACCACGCCGTGGAGATTTCCAACAGCGTCAAGTTCGGCCTGTCCTCGTCGGTGTACACCCGTGACATCCCGCGGGCCTTCCGGTACATCAACACGGTGGACGCCGGAATGGTCCACGTCAACGCCCCAACGCTGGGCGGCGAGGTGCACCTGCCCTTTGGCGGCCTCAAGGCCTCCGGCGTAGGCCAACGGGAGCAGGGCGTGGAGGCGGTGGACTTCTTCAGCGAGGTCATCACGGTCTATATCGACTACGCCGACGAGGCGCGGGCGCAGGCGCGGTTCATCTAAGCTCCTCCACGCCGGCGTTGCGCGACAACCGCGGCAACCTCGCTGTCCGCGTGGCCGCGGTCTGGGTTGCCGCGCTTTTTTTGGTATCGGTAGCGGCGTGCGGCCCCAGCGACGCCGAACTGGACGCACGGGTACAGCGTGCGGTCGATGCTGCGCTTGCAGCAAGCGCTCCTTCTAATCTGACTGGTGTATACCAACAGGCCTGGCCGGCGGTGTTCTACATCGAACCGGAAGGGGGGCAGCACGGCACGGGCTGGCTGCTGGAGCCGGGGGTAATCGTCACGGCGGCGCACGTGGTATCCGACAGCGCGGAGGTCACCGTCCGGCAGTCGGCCGCCCCGGCATTCGCCGCGATGGTGGCCGGCGTGGACAAACGCCGGGACGTCGCGCTGCTTGAGTACGACGTCCCGGCAACACGGCTCGGGACGGGCGCGGCCCCGTTGGTCCTCGGTGACGCCGACATCAACGACATCGCCGGGGATCTGCTGGCCCTGGGATACTCGGGCAGCGGCGTCAAGGGTGACGGCGAGGTGGGCTCGCCCAAAGCCAACGCGGGCATCCTTTCGCAGATCACCAACTTCGGCGCCCAGAGCTACGGGCGGAACCTGGAGATGGACGCGCCCATCGACCCTGGCGACAGCGGCGGGCCGGTTCTCAACATTGCCGGCGAAGTGGTGGGCATGGTGCGCGCCGCCGCGCGTCGGACGCCGGGAGGCGGGCAGGTGGTGGGGACCTTCTACGCCGTCCACGCCGATGAGATACGGGCGGCGGTGGAGAGTATCAGAAGTCGCGAAAGTCCGGTTCCTCGGCAATAGCGTTGAGGATGCCAGGAGCGACATATAGTTGGGGCCGACGTCGTTCTCCGACCGGGGCCAGTATTCCAGCATCCACCAGGCGCGACAAGTGCCCCTGAGCTGACGTGTGGGACAGGCCGAGGAGGGACTGGACTCGGGGAGATGTTATATAAGGCAGTTCGAACAGCGCCGCGATGAGTCGAAACGCTGTGCCAGCGGTACGGTGAGACCTGACCCGGCCCCGATAATCTGAACTGATATTGTCCAGATTTTCTATTCGTGCCAACGCGTCAACGGCTACCGCCGCTACAGCCATCAGAAAAAATCGAAGCCATGAATCCCATTCGCCGCGCAGGCTCACGCCCAGAAGCAAGTCCAGGTATTCTTGACGATACTTAGCGAAATAGTCACTCAGGTACAGCCAAGGATGCTGTAGGTAGTCGCGTTCGCAAAGTAGCAAAGTTATCAGCACCCTACCAGTACGCCCGTTGCCATCCTCGAACGGGTGAATAGCCTCGAACTGGTAATGTATCAGCGCCGCCTGGACCAACATCGGAAGCGGGCTATCGGATACGGTGAATTCCTCCAGCGCGTACAGCGCGGTTGTCATCTCACCAGGCGGTGGAGGAACGTATCTCGCATACCGTATGCCACGCCGCCCGCCGATCACCACCTGACTGGCCCGAAATTCCCCCGGCCGGCGGTTGCCACCCCTGGCGCCGGACATCAGCTCTCGATGAACGTCACGTATCAACCGCAAGCTCATGGGCAATTGCTGCAACCGCTGCAAGCCCAACTGCATGGCCCGGACGTGATTATCCACTTCTTCGGCATCATCCCGGTCGGGCGCCGTTCCGTCGAGCTGAAACTGGTAGAGATCTGGAAAATCAGAAGTCGTACCTTCGATACTGCTGGATGCCACTGCTTCGCGTGTTGTCATCGGCCCGATCAACAAATGTGGATTAGGCATACTTGCTGCGCGTCCGTTGAGCCGGCTCAACGCCCGGTCAGCCTGAGACAGTAAGGCAACCGTTGCGTCGGTCCAGGTCAATTCAGGCGGCAAAGGATGAGGCACGAAAGCAGGCCAATAACTGCCATCGAGCGTTTGCGCGGCCACCAGTTGTCCCGGGCTGGCATCGGTGAAATCAGTGTCTCGCATCAACGTCCTCGAATGAAGCAGACCAATTGTGGAGGTCTGTATGGTAATGCAAGGATAGCACGGCAACCTTGCATTACCGCGAAGTCAATGCAATTTTTTGGTATTCAACCTTGCGTTACGACGTTGCCAATGCAAGGTTCCTTGCACTGCTGCAAGTTTACTGCAATCTTTGGGCCCCAACCTTGCGTTACAGTGTTACCAATGCAAGGTTCCTTGCGCTACTGCACGCTTACTGCAACCTTTGGGCACCAACCTTGCGTTACTGCGTTGCAAATGCAAGGATCCTTGCATTTGCAGCCGGGCAATGCAACTTTACGTCGCCATCCTTGCATTGGCGGAGGCCAACGTGGGGTGTTACAACGGTCTCCGGCCGGCGAAGCCGGTGTCGGTGGGGTGCCACCAGTCGATGGACGGCTCGCCGCGCTGCCAGCAGAGGTACACGATTTCGCCCTCGTGGCGGGCCGGGAAGTCGACGAGGCCGCGGCCGATGTCGCGCACCTGTATCCGCGGCCGGTGATCTCGGCGACGGCTTCCTGCAGGCGTTGGGTGAGCTGGGAGACGATACGTTCGGACTCGGAGATGTCCTCCTCGCTGCTGGAGTGACCATTGCTGCGGCGGCGACGGAGCAGGGACAGCAACTCCTCCTGCTGACGCACCAGCTCGGCCCGCAGCGGCGCCATTGCCTCGAACCGCTCTTCGAGCCACGGCACCAGATCGTTGGCCTCTTCCAGGGTAAACATCCGCTCCTGCATAACGGCGGTATAATACACCAATGACATCCCCCGACAACGTGACCTCCCCCGACAATGACGACAGCCAAGACCCAACGGTCGAGGCCTTCGACGACACTGACCGCGGCCGGTTCAGCGCCGGAGAGTTGGCGTTGTTCCTGGACCGCAAGGGCCGCACCTACCAGGAGAACCTGGCCCTGGGCGGCGAGTTCCACTGCCACCTGGGATGGTTGGCCCACGACGCCGTCATCGGCCAACCCGTGGGCGGCTGGTACACCACCAGTCGCGGTCACGTGTTGCTGGGCATCCGGCCGACCCTGGGCGACTACGTACGCCTGATGCCGCGCGGCCCCCAGGTGATCTACGCCAAGGACCTGGGCAACATCGTGTCGATGGCGGACATCTTCCCCGGAGCGACCATCGTGGAAGCGGGGTTTGGGTCCGGCGCGCTGACCACGGCCCTGCTCCGCGCAGTGGGACCCGACGGGCGCGTGCACTCCTATGAGATCAACGAGGCCGTGGTCTCGAAGGCCATGTCCAACGTGCGTTCGGTGATCCCCGACACCTCCCGGCTGGAAGTGACGGTGGGCGACATCTTTGAAGGCATCTCCGATACCGACGTTGACCGGGTGATACTGGACCTGCCGGAGCCGTGGCAGGCCGTGGACGCGGCCGCGAACGCGCTGATCACCGGGGGCATCCTGCTATCCTTCCTGCCCACGGTCCTGCAGGTGCAGGAACTGGTGCTGGCCCTGAACGCCGACGGGCGGTTCGCTCGTGTCGAAACTGCGGAGACCCTGCTGCGGGGCTGGAATGTTTCGCGGCGCAGCGTGCGTCCGGCCCACCGGATGGTGGCCCACAGCGGCTTCATCACCACGGCGGTGCGCTGCGTACCGCCGGGTCGAGAGGGTTACACGTCCAGGCCGTGAACCGGGAGGCCGTGAGCTGGGAACACCGCGTCCCGGATGGCGGCGACGCTTTCGGCGGCCAGGGCCCGGGCGTCGGCGCGGATGTGGTCGGGAACTTCGGGTATCTCGGTATCCCGTAACGTGGTGCGGCCCAGCCGCTCGATGGCCGGCGTTGGGATGCGGTCGGGCCACTCGGTACCGCACATGACGCCGTAGGCCAGGGTCCAGCACCGGGCCACCGCGCCGATGTCGTACCCGCCGCCGCCGGTGGCCAGCCACGGGTAGCCGAGCCCGCCCAGCCGCGCGACGGCGGCGGTGAAGCCCCGGCTGGTGACCTGCAGGTGGGTCAGCGGGTCGGTGTGGTAGGAGTCGATGCCCAGTTGGGTGAGCAGCACGTCGGGGGCGAAGGCCTGCAGCAGGGGCGGGACGACGGCCTCGAAGGCTTCCAGGTATATCTCGTCGTCGGTGTAGGGATACAGGGGCAGGTTGACCGCATAGCCGGCCCCGTCGCCGGAACCCGTCTCGCCGGCGAATCCGGTGCCGGGGAACAGATATTGTCCCGACTCGTGGACCGAGATGGTCAGCACGCGCGGGTCGTTGTAGAAGGCGTCCTGCACGCCGTCGCCGTGGTGGGCGTCGATGTCCACGTATGCCACGCGCAAGCCGCGCTGCAGCAGGTACATGATGGCGACTACAGGGTCGTTGAACACGCAGAAACCGCTGGCGTTGCGGGCCGCCGCGTGGTGCAGGCCGCCGCTGATGTTGAACGCCGCCGCGACCTCGCCGTCGGCCACCATGCGGGCGGCGGTCAGGGTCGCGCCGGTGCTGAGCATGGCGGCCTCGTACATGCCGGGGTAGGTAGGGTTATCACCGCCCTGGGCGAAGCCGAAGCGCTGGGGCTGGGATCCGGTGAGGCCCAGGCTGAAGGTGCGGACTGCGGCCATATAATCGCGGGAATGAAACGCGCCCACGGTGGTTTCGTCGGCCAGGGTCGGGGTGACCAGCAACGAGTCGGTACCGTCGAACGCGCCGTAAGCGTCCAGCAGCTCGAAGGTGTGCCGGAGGCGCATGGGCCGCATGGGGTGGTCCTGGCGCAGCACGTGCAGGCTCATGGCGTCGTCGTAGACGAAGGCGGCTCGGGGCATGGATTCGCCTCTACTCTTCCATCAGGCCGGAACCGTCGCGCTGCAACAACTCGATGCGGACGTCGTCGGGACCGCGGACGAAGGCGATGCGGACGCCGGGGCGGATGGTGCGCGGCTCGGTGTAGATCTCCGCGCCCTTGCTGCGCAGGTCCTCTACGGCGCCGTCGATGTCGTCGACGCGAAAGCCGAAGTGGTCCAGGCCCAGGTGCGAGTCGCGGGGGCTCAGGTCGATGTGCTCCTCCGGCGGAACGGAGGCGATGAAGATAGCCAGGCCGTTGACGTCGAGGTCGACGCGGGGCACGCTGTCGCTCTGGGTCAATCGCAGCACCTTGGCGTTGAACATGGTCTCGAAGAAGGTGGCCATGCCCTCGGGGTCCTTGGTGCGGACGTGGATGTGGTCGTAGGTGTAGGTATAGACGGGGGCGGTGGACATGGTGGCGTGGCTCCTTGGTGGGGTGATCGGGGGTAGATCGTACTACACCTGTCGGGACTAAGTCACCGCCATGATAACGGTCCCAATGAAGGCGGCTAAACTACTGTCCAATCTGATCCCTTGAATACATCGATTGTCCAATTGTCGATTAATGTACGACTGGTCATCGCGGTGTTTATCTGGCTCCGTTCGTAATCGGTCAACATACCCCACGAATCCTGGCTGAAAACGACGTCGTAACAGGACGATAACACTGCTCGTGTGACTTCACGCCCGGTCACCTTTGAGCGTCCTTTCGCAAGACTGGGCAATGCCATATCGAATGTTTGTGTCCCTGTTGCAGATGGATAGTGTATGACTAAAGCATTCGTGGAATACCCTGGTATCAACGTTATTCCCCATTGCCCAAGCCCCGTTGTTCTTTCGTTTCCCGCCCTGTCGGTTTGAACCTCCAAAACTCCGAAAACGGCGGCTGCCAGCGTCGGTTTGCCTTGAGATGTGAGGACCAGGTGCGAGTATGTCTGCTCATCCCCGTTACGCAAGCCGATGGACGGTTCGATCGCTAATTGCGATTTCAGAAATTGCTGGTCATCGGCCAAAAGTCGCTCCGCAATTCTGTACTGCCTTTCGAGACCGTGCTGGTATTTGACGCGACGTGACGCTTGGGCCCACAATCGCATCCACCAACGGTTATACAGAATATTGCGGTAGCACATGAGGTCCAGTATTCGTCCCTCTGGCATGCAGGACAAGTCTAACAACTGATCTACCTCATAGAACAACTTGTCATGTGTCTCGCAAGTGAAGTATCCGACCGTCGCCTCACCTATGCCTTCCTTCATGGGAAGAGACTCTGGCGGCCTGCCGAACCTGTGATTTGTAAAAACCGCCATGTTGTTTTCGCCTGGCAATCGTTGCAGATAGTTTCTAGGTATCAGGTGCCCACCAATTACCTGCTCATTGGTAGTGCAATTGTCATTGACCAAGCATCGTTTGTACTCGGTCTTTCGAGTTTCTCGCATTAGGCTGTTACGCAGACGGTGGTATTCGCTTGTACGTTGATTGACTTTATCCAAGATTAGTCTCCATGATGTCTAAGCCATCGATGCGCGGTATCCTCGTGGGGTTGGACAGGTGTCACCCCCGATCGATGGTCTCGCAACGCCCTGGCTGAGAGCTCCAAAAAGTATCAATCCTGCAAGGCTGGGTCATAGGGTCGTTCTCGGAACGTGCGGATGTCAAACGGCGGATGTCCCGGTTTTATCTTGTCTTTCAGCGTACCGAGACGAGAGTAGTCGATGCGGCTGGGGCGCAGGATGAAACCGGCCTGGCCTTCGACAAGTTCCAGTCGGTCGCCGGGTTTCACGCCCATCGAATCGAGCACCTCTACTGCGGTGTGACCTGTCGCTGGGAAGTCAGCCGTCGCGCAAGCGTTGGAGTTCAGCTTCCAACTCACGCACCCGGGCTTCGGCCCGGATGCGGGCGGCCCGTTCATCCTCGTAGGTCAGGATGTGCCGGCCCGTCGACGGGTCGTGCCACGCCAACTGACCTTGCTGCCACCGGAGTTGGAGGTTCAGGACGGGGCTGTAACCCTGCACGATGCCGTCTTCCATTTCCTCGACCGGTATGGGCTCGTACACTCCGGCCACGAGCCGGTCTCCGGCCAATCGCGCGCCGTGGTATTCGCCCGTTTCGTCAAACCGCCAGTACTCGGGTATCCCCAAAGCTGCGTAGTCGTCGCGCTTCGCGCCAACATCGATATGTCCGGTGTGCGGCGACGCGATTTCCAGCACGAAGTCCGGCGGCTTGCCCTGGTCTTCGATGATGTAGCCGTTGCTGGCCTTGTAGAGGGCCGGGTCCACGCCGAGGGCAACGAGGAGGTCGGGATAACGGCTGCCGGCCAACCGGCGAGTTGGCCGGACGACCATGTATCGTTCGCCGGCGACGAGGGTGGTGTCCGGGTTGCCAAGATGCTGGATCAGATGGTGTACGCTGCCAGTGGCGGCCAGGTGGTCGAAGCTGGTCATGTCGTCAGGATGGCGCTCGGGAGGGTCCGGCAACCGGAAGGGAGTTTCGGGTTGCGGTATCCTGGCGAAGGGATTGGTGGCGGTCATGCTGGACCTCTGGAGGGTTAGCTCCATTGACTGTCACGTTGTGCGGGTGCTAAAGCCTGTGGACAAATTGATTGCGGGGCTCTTGCGCGGGGTGTTTTCGAAGTGCCCGGTGCGGTCAGTAGCGGAGCAGGGGTGTGGGAATGAGGCGGCGGTTAACTGGATCGACGGCGAGACCGGCTTCTTCGAGGGTTACAACTCCGAGGAGGTTTGGCTCGTTCTCTGCGGCGAATATGACCGATGTGTAGAACTCGAATCCCTCGAGCCTTACGATGGTTTGGCCGATGTCTACTGAGATGATCCTCCCGTCCGCGGTCTGTGATGGCATTGACCGTTGGATGGGCACTCCCAATCGTTCGAGCATGGCCCGGGGTACTGCCGTGTAGGTGGAGCCGGTGTCGACGATGATGTCGAGTTCTTCAAATTGGTGGCTTTGGAGGTCGCCGACCTGAATGGTTACTGTTACGGTTCCCAAGATTTTTCTCCGGTGGTTTGGCGCCGTCTGCCCAGCTTGCGTTTCTCCATGCTAGTGGGCGGGCGTATTATTTGTCCACAGACCCTCGGCCTCGGATTATATCTGAAGCCGCCTCGGGATCGTCATCATGGCGATGGGGGCTCACGCGTACACAATTTGTCATTGCCAGCAGCGCAGCGACGTGGCAATTCCGTTGCATTACTGACCCACCACGCCCCAAATGCCCTTACTACGCCGACGAGATTGCCACGCTGCGCTCCAATGGCAGGGGGCAGGGCTGCCACGCTGCGCTCCAATGGCCGGGGGCAGGGCTGCCACGCTGCGCTCCAATGGCCGGGGACAGGGCCGCCACGCTGGCAAAGTGGGTATGCGTGAGCGATGGAGGAAGTTGACACCGGTATCCCTCGCACTACAATCACCCCAACCCAGACTCCCCGGAGGATCGCCGTGCCCGACAACTATTCTGAAGAGGAACTGCTCGAGCTGGCGCGGAAGTACAGCTTCCGCAGCCGAATGGACCGCAACGGCGTCACCGGCCCGATCTTCGTGTGGGGCCGAGGGTCGGTGGTGCGCGACATCAACGGCAAGGAGTACCTGGACTTCAACTCCGGCCAGATGTGCGCCGCGCTGGGGCACAACCATCCGCGCATCGTGCAGGCGCTGCAGGAAAGCGCCGAGACGCTGATCCACAGCCACATGACCATGTTCAACGACCGGGAGATCATCCTGGCCAGCCGTTTGGCCGAGATCACGCCGGACGGCCTGAACCGCAGCATGTTCCTGGGCTCCGGAAGCGACTCCAACGAGGCGGCCATGGCCATCGCCAAGCGCTACACGGGGGGTTACGAGGTGGCCAGCCCGGTGGTCAGCTTCCACGGCATGACCGACGCGGCCCGGGCGGTGACCTTCTCGGGCTGGCGCCAGGGATATGGCCCCTTCGCGCCGGGCAACTATCCCATCATCGCGCCCTACCGCTACCGCTGCTCCTTCTGCCAAGACAAGGGAGCGTGCGACTACACCTGCCTGGATACCAGCTTTGAACTGCTGGATGCGCAGGCCGACGGGCGCATGGCCGCCGTCATCACCGAGCCGCTGTTCAGCGCCGGCGGCGTCATCGAACCGCCCCCGGGCTGGCTGCAGGAGCTGAAGCTGCGCTGCGAGTGGCGAGGCATGCTGCTGATCCTGGACGAGGCACAGACCGGATTGGCCAAGTTGGGATCGATGTGGGCCTTTGAGCAGGAGGGGGTGGTGCCGGACATCTTCACCATTTCGAAGCACTTCGGCGGAGGCATCGCCATCAGCGCGACCATCACCACGGACGAGATCGAGGAGAAGGCCGTCGAAACGGGACTGGTGGTGGCCCACTCGCATTCCAACGACCCGCTGACCTGCAACGCCGCCATCGCCAGCCTGGACATCATCCTGGAGGAGAGCCTGGTGGACGTTGCCGACCGCATCGGCCGGTATTGGCAGGGCCACCTGCTGCGGCTGAAGGAGCGGCACGAGCTGGTGGGCGACGTGCGGGGGCGCGGTCTGCTCCAGGGGATCGAGTTCGTCACCAACCGGGAGACGCGGGAGCCGGCCTATGAACAGGGCCAGCGGATCGGGCGGATGTTGCTGGAGAACGGTTTGATCGTGAGCATCCGGCGGCAGGGGTCGGTGCTGCGGCTTGTGCCGCCGTTCACTACGACAGAGGACCAGATGGACCTGGCGGCGGAGATTCTGGACGCCGCGATTGGGGCGGTGACGTAGCACTGTATCGCCTTCCACAAACGCGAGGAGCGCGGCCGCAATGCGGCCGCGCTCCCTTTTTCAGGCAGTTTTACAGGTTGTAGCCCCGCGTCGTCCACTTACTGGATGGGACTGGGCGGTTTCACCTGCTCCATCAGGTCGTTGTCCCATTCGCCTTCAGCAACCAGGATGGCCTTCGCGTCAAAGGCAAACGCCTCGATCAGGTTGTGCGACAGGTACACGTAGGTTCCCGACTGGCGAATGGTGTGAATGGACGCACCGGCGGAGCCGGCGGCGATGACCCACGTTTCAAGACCGGTCTCCGGCGCATCCGCGAAGCTGCCGCGCTCCCACACGTAGTCACCGTGGCCTCCGATCAGGTGGGGATAGGAATGGCGGTTGGACTGCGAGTGGACTATGAGGACGTTCTCGCCCACATTGGCGGTCAATTGGCCGTCGCCCTGCAGGGCTCCCGTGACGCCGTTGAACACGATGTGGGTCGGGATCAGGGTCTTCATCACTTCCAGGTCGTCCACCATGGACGCGGAAGGGCTGTCGTAGCGCTTGAATTCCCCGTTCTCGTCCTGCGGCAGGTAGTAGTCCTGTTCGCCGACGTAGTAGGCCCGGTCATAGGAGATGGAATTGCCAGCGGGGTCCTTCAGGCCGCCGCGAGGCAGCACCATGATGGCCCCGTTCATGCCGTGGGTGACGTGCCACGGAACCATGGTCCCGCCCGGCGCGCAGTGGTAGATGAACACCCCCGGCTTGGTGGCGCGGAAACGCAGCACAACCTCCTGACCCGGACCCACCTGGGTCAGACTGCCGCCGCCCAGCGCGCCGATGGAGGCGTGGAAGTCAATGTTGTGCAGGAGTTCGTTGCCGTCCGGGTTGACCAGCGTCAGTTCTACGTAGTCGCCCTCGTGCACCACGACCATGGGGCCAGGCACGGAGCCGTTGAAGGTAAAGGCCCACATGAACACGCCCGGTGCGACCTCGATCTCTTGCTCGTCAACTTCCATCCGGATCTCAACCACCCGCGGATCGCCGTCGTACACCTGCTCGTGCTCCGGGAAGAAGGGCGGAGCCACCAATTCTTGGGTTACCCGTTCCAGGGTGCTGACGTCTTCCGGTTCCCAGGTCCTGGGCTCTTGCCAGGCGGATGGGACCGTAGCGGCCGTGGCTTCGCTACCGGCGCCGGGCGCGGGGGCCGCCTCAGGGCTGGGGAGCGCCGTGGGAAGCGAGAACTCAGGCGTGGCGGTCGCGGCCGGTTCGTCTCCGCCGCAGGCGACGCCGGTCACCAGCAGCGCGGCCGCCAGCAATGCGAGCAGTGGTATCGCCACCCGGGGAGTTTTCCATATCCGAGAATTCTTTAGCATATTGTTCGCTCTCCTTATGCAAGCTGGATCACCATGTGGATCACCGCGCGTGAATACTCATGAAATTGTAGTGGAAATTGTATCCTTGCAATACGGAATTGCACCGCAAAAGTTTATCTATCCCAAGCGCGGACTGCGCTGTTGTGGCAGGCCGCTCTCATCACAACACCCGCTGACCTGCAACACGCCAAACGCCAGCCTGGACACCATCCTGGAGGAGAACCTGGTTGACGTGGCCGACCGGATCAGCCGATACCGGCAGGGTCACCGGATCGGGCGCATGTTGCTGGAAAACGGGCTGATCGTGAGCATCCGGCGGCAGGGGTCGGTGCTGCGGTTCGTGCCGCCGTTCACCACGACGGAGGAGCAGATGGACTTGGCGGCGGAGATTTTGGACGCGGCGATTGGGGCGGTGACGTAGCGGCGCGGTTGAAAACGGCGGTCACGCGAAACGCTGTATGAACTCCGTCACGTTCAGCACCGGAAAATCCCACAAGCCGTTACAATCCAACAAATCGAGGTCGGCGCTCACAATGGCGTCGGCTTCTTTGGCCATCGCCAAATCCACGAAAGGCTTGTCTTTTTCGTCACGGCATTCCGTGTCACCCGAGTCGGGAACGTCCCGAGTGTACTCGGCATAGTGCAAGTATTCGGCCAAAATGGTGTCACGCGCGGCTGGGGAGATGCCGAACCGCGGGTCTCCCAATTTACCTCGAAACTCTTCGTAGGTGGCCGGAGAAACCAGTGGGATCGCACGGCCATTCCTGATGGCATCCCAGAGGCTGCTGTCAGTGATACCTGTCTAGCCTGGGTCAAAAGCGAGCTCGTATCCGCGACTATTCGCGGGACGGTCAAGAGCGGGCAACCTGGATAATCTCATCATCGGTGAGATTGGCAGCACGGAATGACGCCATCGCGTCATCGAACGGAAGCCCATCGAACGGGCAGAGGGTGGAATGGCCATTGCGGCGCGCCACCACCCGGAACCCGTCGGAGACAAAGTCTCCGGCAAAATCATCGGAAACCGTGAACGTCGGGCACGCCCTCGCCCGCGTGGTCCGCAGCGCTCCAATGAAGAGGTCCTGTATCAACTCGGCGACATCCAGCCCAACCTCGCTGGCGCGGGCGTGCAACTCCAATGCCAGACTGGACGTAATGGGCACGGATACCACTTCGTAGCCACCGTCCGGATGAGCATGGTCAATCATGTCGCAAACTCCCCGCTTCTGGATCAGAAAGGGTCTGCCGGTCTCCTACGGTTGAGACGATATTATACATACCTGCTGCGGTGGTCGAATACGGAACGAGTTTATCTGTCCCAGGCGCGCACGACGCCGGTGATGTGGGAGGTGTCGTTGTAGAGGTGCATGACGGCGTTGTCGGGGTAGGTGTGGATGACGGTGAGGGAGCAGTTGTGCATGGCGAACTTCCAGTTGGCCTCCAGAGGCAGCTCCAGCAGGGAAACGATGCCGGCGCGCAGGCTGCCGCCGTGGCCCACGAGCAGGACGTTCTCGTCCATGTGATCGCGCTTCACCCGCTGCACGATGCGGGCGAGGCGGGCGCTGGTGTCGCGGATGGTCTCGCCGTTGGGCGGCGCGAAGTCGAGGTTGTTCTCCATCGACGGCTCGTACAGCTCAGGGTAGGCTTCACGGTACTCGGCCTCGGTCAGGCCCTCGAACACGCCCTTGCTGTACTCGCGCAGCTCCTCGGTAAAGGTGATGGGGATATCTCGCTCGCCCATGGCAACGCGGGCGGTTTCAGCGGCGCGGGCCAGGTCAGACGAGTAGGCGACGTCGATGCGTATCGACGAGATGCGGCGGGCCAGCATTTGCGCCTGTTCGCGGCCTCGCTCGGACAGGGGTACGTCGGTATGGCCCTGGATGCGGCCCTCAGCGTTCCACTCGGTCTCGCCGTGCCTGGTGATGTAGATGATGCCCATTTTGCTCCCTTATGGCTGGGTTTCTTCTATCGTTGGGGTTCTTCGCTCCAGACGTCGGCGATGGCGTCGGCCAGCCGCGCGCAGTCTTCCACCGGGCGCAGTCCGATGCGGATGCAATCCGGCAGGCCGAAGGATGTGCAGTCCCGCACGAACAGGCCGCGCCGGGCGAGGCGGTCGCGCAAATCCGCGGCGTTGCCCACTTGCGCCAGCACGAAGTTGGCTTCCGTGGGATAGCAGCGGATGCTCAGGCCGGAGAGCCGTTGCACGACGCACTCGCGGGACGCCGCCACGGCCTGCCGCGCCCGCTCCAGGTATGCTTCGTCCGCTATGGCGTCCAGGCCCGCGGCCTGGGCTAGACCGTTGACGCTCCAGTCGGGCTGAAGGGCTGACAGGCGGGCGATTACCGCCTCGCTGGCGACCGCGTAGCCCAGCCGCAGGGCGGTCAGGGCGTAGTCCTTGGTCATGGAGCGCAACGTGATCACCGAGCCGTGACGCGCTGCCAGTGCGATGACATCGGCATCGGCCCGGCGCTCGGACAGGTTGATGTACGCCTCATCGACCACCAGCAGGCCGCCCGTGTTCGCGACCGCGTCGGCAATCGCCGCCAGTTGATCGCGTCCCATGAGCACGCCGGTCGGGTTGTTGGGATTGCAGATGAAGGTCAAGGCCGGCCGCTCGGCGGCGACGGCGGCGCAAAGGGCTGCCGTGTCCCATGCGAACCCGTCGCTGTGCCGCGACGCGGTCAGCGTCAACACCTTCCCGCCGCAGATACGCACGGCACCATCGTACTCGCCGTAGGTTGGCGTGAGCACCAGCGCGGTGTTGGTGCATCCCGTGGGCGGAGCCCCGATGTACGAGCGGGTCAGCAGGTGGATGATTTCGGTGGAGCCATTGCCGACGATGACGTTGCCGACGGACAGGCCGTCGCCGGAGTGGTGGGCGGCGATTGCCTCGGTCAGCACCAGGCAGTGGGGGTCGGGATATGCCGTCAAGTCGACGGCGGCGATGGCGGCGGCAACGCCTTCCGGCGGACCCAGAGGGCTGACGCTGGCGGAGAAATCGAGGCAGTCCTCCAGGCGCAGGCCCAGGGCCCGCAGCTCGGCCTCCTTGATGCCGCCGTGGATGGGTCGGGGCAACGGGTCGGGGTTGAACAATCGTCCAGGGGCCGTCATGGGCGGTCGATTAGCGCTGGCGACCGGGGAGATAACGAGCAGCATTATCGAACAGCATATTCAGTGGCAGTTCGAATCCCGGAATCGCGGGCGTAGTCAAAATATCTCCACGACTTAGAGCCGCACGCTGAACATATCCCGTTTGCGTACGCTCTAGCACATTGATCGAGTTGTTAACCGGATCCACGGTCCAGTATTCCGGTATGCCAGCTTCATCGTACCAGCCTCGTTTCAGCACGAGGTCGCGCGCTCGGTCGCTGGAAAGTGCTTCGATCACAAGGTCCGGCGCACCTTCGACAAAACTTCCCTGGATCAGGTGCGCTCTTTCCGCCCTCAAATATACTGCGTCCGGCGTGGGCGCACGGGTTTCCGACAGGATGACCCCAATCCCGGACACTATGGTGCCCAATAAGGGATTCGTGGTGTCAAGGAAATTATTGATCATCCGAACAAGGTAGTCGATCAAGATTTGATGGTCGTAGGTAGGCGGCGCCATCTCAAATAACTCTCCATTGGACAGTTCCCACACGCCTTCGTCAATCGGTTCCAGGGCGCGGTATTCAGCCAGGGTGAGCTTTGAGCCATGCTGTACGGTGGTCATTGTGGACCTCCCTGGAACTTCATCAGCCTCATTACCGGCATTTTACACTACGGCCAGAAGGCCCACCGCAGCCAGAGGATGCCAATGGCTACGGCGGCGGTCAGCGCGGTGGTGACGTAGAGGGCGCGGTTGGCGCGGCCGATGTGGTGGGTTTCCGGCTCCGGGGCGGGGTCGCCGAGGCGGTAGTGGCCGACCTTTTCCAGCGTCACACCGAGGCCGCCGGCCATGGCCGCCATGGTCCAGCCGGCGTTGGGCGACTCGGTACGGCCCCGGTGGGCGAACATGATGCGCCACGCCCGGCCTCCGGCCATTCCCGGCAGCGCTGCGGTGGACAGCCACAACAACGCCGCCGCCAGTCGCGCGGGGAGCAGGTTGACCAGGTCATCCAGCCGCGCCGAGGCCTTGCCCAGGTACTCATAGCGGCCGTGGTAGCCGACCATGCTGTCCAGGGTATTGATGGCGCGATAGGCCACCGCGCCGGGGAGGCCAAAGAGGGCAAAGGCCAGCAACGGCCCGACGATGCTGTCGGTGATGTTCTCGGCTACGGACTCGATGGCGCCGGCGGCCATCTGCCCGGCGGTCAACTGAGAGGTGTCGCGGCTGACCAGGGCGGACATCTGCCGCCGCGCCTCGGCGATGTCGCCGGCCGTGAGGATCCGGCCGATGCCGGCGGCAACCCGATGCAGCATCCGCACCGAGAAGGTGGTTTTCAGCAATGCGGCCACCACCAGCAGGTAGGCCAGCGGGTGGAGTTGCAGCAGACCGTAGCTGACTGCCCAAGCTGCCGCGCCCCAGGCTGCCGGTATCAGCAGGGCCATGCCGATCCCAAAGGTGAGTTGCAGGGGCGGGGCCGTTTGTGGGCCCGGCGCTATACGTTCAGCGAGGGCGACCGTGTTCCCGATCCACACCGTGGGATGCAGGCGGTTGGGGGGCTCGCCCAGCGCGAGGTCCATCAGGAGGGCCAGCAACAAAACCAGCACGTCCAGCGGGACGGGCAGCCCGCCGAGCGTTTCCGCTACTGCATTCATGGGGAGTACGAGTACCAGCCGGCCTGCGGGGCCAGCCAGTTGAGGTAGTGGAAGACGATTCCCGCTCCGTACCCCGAATCAAGATATGGCGGCTGCCCGAACCCGGGCCATGCGGTGAAACAGGCGAGTGAAAACGCCTCCACAATCTCGTTGGTCGCGCCGTAGCAGTCGCCGGTGAGCCCGCCGCCCAGACGACGGGCGGTCCAAAGGCCCAGGGCTAGGGTCAGCAGCGAGGATATGGCCAAGATAGACACGCCCACCACCCCCAGGCACAGCCAGCACACGCCAGCAGCGGTCAGCAGGGCGATTGCGGTTGCGAGCCAGGGGCGATCGCCGGCGAAAAAGGCGCTGCCGATCCCCTGCTGCCGCCCGTAGGGAAAGGCGGTAAGCAGCAGTGTCATCGACCAGCGGGATATTACCGGGAATGCCAGCAGGGATGCGGCGAAAGCCGCGTACGACATCAGCGAGGACAGGGCGGCGAACTTGACCAGAAGCACGCAGAAACAGCCGGCCACAGCGAACGAGCCCACGCGCGAGTCCCGCATGATCTCGAGCCGGCGCTCCACGGTGCGCCCGCCCCACATGGCGTCACAGAAGTCCATCAATCCGTCCAGGTGCAGGAACCGGTTGACCAAGGCCGGGATGACCACCAGCAAGGCCGCTGCCAACACAGTATGAACGAAGGGCGGCGGGACCATCGCGAAGAGCACCACCAAGCCCAACACCATGGCACCGTAGAGCAGGCCGACGAAGGGGTACCAGCCCCGGGAGCGAGATATTTCGGCGTCGGTCGGGTTCGTCACCCCGACCGGCAGCAACGTCAGGAAGGACAGCGCCACCAGGAGCGGGGCGTAGACGGCCCGTATCACGGTGGCGGCGGCGGGCTAATCGTCCCCGTCGGAGACGCCAGCCTCGGTGAAGGTTGCCATCTCCGCGAGGCACTTGGCCGCCGCCTCCACGATGGGCATGGCCAGGGCGGCGCCGGTTCCCTCGCCGAGGCGCATCTCCATATCCAGCAGCGGCGACAGCCCCATGGCCTGTAGGCCGACGTTGTGGCCCGGCTCCACGGAGCGGTGGGCGGCGATATAGCGTTGGGCAATATCGGGACACAGCCGCCAGGCGATCAGGGCCGCCGCTCCGCTAATGAACCCGTCGACGACGACGGCGCAGTTGCGCGCGGCCGCGCCCAGCATGACGCCGGCCAGCACGCCGATCTCGAAGCCTCCCACCTTGGTGAGCACGTCCATGCCATCGCTGCCGTCGGGTTGGTTGACCTCCAGCGCGCGCCGGATGGTGGCGATCTTGGCCTCCAGGCCGGCGTCGTCGACGCCGGTACCCCGGCCAGTGACAGAGGCCACGTCGGCGCCGGTGACGGCGGCGGTTATCGCGGCCGATGGCGTGGTGTTGCCGATGCCCATGTCGCCGCCGGCGATGAGGTTGGCACCGGCGTCGGCCTGCTCGTTGGCGGCGTTGATGCCAATTTCGAGGCAGCGGACGGCGTCCTCACGGCTCATGGCGGGGCCGCGTGCGATGTTGGCGGCGCCGTAACCGACCTTGGCGATGGTCAGGCCGGGCTGCGGGTCGAGGTCCACGGCCACGCCGGCGTCGATCACGGTGATATTGGCGCCGGCGTGGCGGGCCAGCGCGTTGATGGCCGCGCCGCCGGCCACGAAGTTGAAGACCATCTGCGGCGTGACTTCGGCGGGAAACGCGGACACGCCCTCGGCGGCGACGCCGTGGTCGCCGGCGACCACGATGACCGCCTTGCCGGTGATCTGAGGGATGGGCTGGCCCAATATGCCGGCCAACTGGATTGACAGAGATTCCAGCCGTCCCAGGCTGCCGGGCGGCTTGGTGAGCACGCCCTGCCGGGCTTCGGCGGCGGCAACCGCGGCGGCATCGAGGGGGCCGATGGCGGCGATGGTCTGGTCAACCAGTGGCGAGATGGTCATGGCGCTTTCACGACTCCTGTCATTGCGAGCGTAGCGTGGCAATCTCGTCGCGGCGAGAACGTGGTTGCTGGAACGGGGTTGCCACGTCGCCACGCTCCGCGCGGTGACGACCGTCCCACTTGGAAGGTGTGGCGGATCAGAACTCGATGCCCGGCTGGGCCTTGATGCCGGCGTCGTAAGGGTGCTTGACGACGTTCATCTCGGTGACCAGATCGGCGTATTCGACCAGTGCTTCGGGAGCGTGGCGGCCGGTGATGATGACATGCTGCATCTCGGGACGGGCCTTGAGCGCCTCGACGACGTCCTCAACGGGGAGCCAGCCGTAGTGCATCGGGTAGGTGAACTCATCGAGAATGACCAGGTCAAACTCGCCGGCGGCGATGACTTCCTTGGCGTCCTCCCACAGGGCGCGGGCCAGATCGGCGCTGGCGTCGAGGTCCTGGGAGCGCCAGGTGAAGCCGTCACCCATGGCGCGCACGGTGATGCCCATCTTCTGGGCCGCCCGCTGCTCGCCGAAGTTGGCGGTGGTGTGCTTGATGAACTGGAGCATCACGACCTTCATGTCGCGGCCCCAGGCCCGCATCAGCACGCCCATGGCCGCAGTGGTCTTGCCCTTGCCGTTGCCGGTGTTGACGATGACCAGGCCCTTGTTGATGCGGGGGCCGCGAACGGACTGCGGGCCGTGGCGCGTTTCCTGCGTTGTCATATCAGCATCACTCCTGTATGTCTTTCATCCCACTGATCGATGTCAGGGTACGTTGTCGAAGATTCGTTCCCGCACGTTGAACGCGAAACCCGGCAGCACGTCGCCGCCACCCAGCATATCGGGGTCACCGAAGGTCTCCGGATCCGAGCCGGGGCGATGGACGGTGACGGTCCGATTGGGCGGATGGATCACCCAAACCAGGCGCGCGCCGCCTTCCAGGTACCGCTGTACTTTTCCTACCATCTCTGCGTGCCGGTTGGACGGGGAAACAATCTCGACGACGAAGTCAGGTACGACAGCAGCGAAGGGCATGCGGTCGCCAGCCGGAAGCGCGTCCCAACGTTCTTGGGATATCCAGTAGGCATCGGGTCCGAGACGCGAGCCATCTGGCATGATGAAACGCGCCGTGGCTCCGCCGGCTCTGCCACCATAGCCACGCGCCCACACCAATACAGCTGACGCCATTTCGAGCTCAAACCATTCGCCGGGCACCCCAGTGGGCGGCATAATCTTCAATTCTCCCTGCGCGGTGATCTCGAAATCACCAACCGCGTCCTTGTTTCGTTCGGCAAATCCCTCGAACCACGCATCCAGATCCGGACTGTCCAATGACCTCCCGAACTCGGAGAGAGGGATGAGGAAGTAGCCGTCGAAATCGGACGGCGGCCTCGCGTCGCTCGGTGCTTTGACAGGAGCCTCGGCTTGGATAGCGACCATCTACGGCCCTCCGTTTGCGGCGGCGCAGGTGTCGACGAAGCGCTGCGCCAGGCCGGGGCGGCTGCCCAGGTGCACGTGGATGTAGGAGGCCCACACGCTGCCGGCGCGGAAGCCCTCGGGCCGGCCATCCTGGTTGACCACCTGGTAGGCGGCGCTGGCGGCGTCCGGGCGGTTCCTGCAGGACCGACCAGTGGAACTCGTGGCCGCGCACCTGCTGGCCGGCCATCAGCAGCGGGCCGTCGCCACAGGCCGCAACCTCGCGGTAGCCGAGGTGCAGCCGCCGACCCTCCATGGAGGATACTACGGGGATCGCGCCAACCATCGGGAACTGCCGGCCGTCCAGATCGGAGAGGCTGCGGCCCAGGTACATCAGGCCGCCGCACTCTGCGTATACCGGCAGTTCGCGCGAAATTGCCTCGCGCATCGATTCCAGCATACCGGCGTTGCCGGACAACTCCTCGGCGAACAGCTCGGGGAATCCACCGCCCAGGTATACGCCGCCCACGCCGTGGGGCAGGGATGCGTCGTCCAGCGGCGAGAAGGGGATGATCTCCGCTCCCCATGCCGCCAGGAGGTCGAGGGAGTCCTGATAGTAGAACGAGAAGGCGCGGTCCTGGGCAACGGCGATGGCGGTTCGCGCAGCCTGGGGCGTCTGCGGGAAGACCCCCTCCGAGGTCGCGTCGGGCCGGCCGGCGGTGGCGGCGATGCGGGTGATGGCGTCCAGGTCGATGGTCTGCTGTATCTGGGCGTTGAGGGCGTCGTACCAGTTGTTGAGAACAGTGCCTTCGGCGGTGGGGATGAGGCCCAGATGGCGCTCGGGTTGGACCAAGTCGTCGCGGCGGGGAAGCCAGCCCACCACGGGCAGGCCGGTGGTGGCCTCGATCTGCGGCTGGCAGAACTCCAGGTGCCGCTCGCTGCCCACGCCGTTGAGGATCACGCCGGCGATGCGCAGGTCGGGGTCGAACTGCTGGTAGCCCAGGATCTCGGCGGCCACGCTGCGGGCCACCTTGCCGGCATCGGCGATCAGGATCACCGGAGCGTCCAGCAGCTTGGCCAGCTCAGCCGTGGAGCCATCCTCGTCCAGCGAGGAGTGGCCGTCGAAGACGCCCATGACACCCTCGACCACGGCGATGTCCGCCGCGCCGGCCGCCCGGTGGAACAGCTCGGAGACCACCGGATGGGGCAGCATCCAGGTGTCCAGGTTCCGCGAAGGCACGCCACAGGCGATGGTGTGATACGAGGGGTCGATGTAGTCGGGGCCGGCCTTGAAGGGCTGGACCCGCAGACCACGGCGGGCCAGGGCGCCCATGACGCCGCTGGCGATGGTGGTCTTGCCGACGCCGGAGCGAACGCCGGCGATTACGACGGCCGAGGTCATCTCAACTCCATCGGGTCAACTCTATCCGGTCACGGCGAGCGCAGCGTGGCAATCTCGATGCAACCCTACGGGTGCTCACCGGCCGACCCGTAGGCCTCTGCAGGGAGGGCGATTTTGTTCGGATACTTGTCCAGCAGGGCCATGAAGAAGCTGTGACGCGGCGGGTTGGTGGCATCGACATCCGACTTGCGGAGGTAGACGCGCATGGCCGGATTGCCATCGCCGTCGCGCATCCACAGCTGGTACGAGGGGAGGCCCTGGTCGTTGGTGGTGTGAATGAACTCCGCCTCGCGGATTTTGGACATGTCCAGGTGCATGTGGGTGCCGCCGGGCACCATGAGGGTGACGATCCGCCCGTCGGGGGTGAATCGCAAGTCGTCGAAATCCATGTAGACCTCGGCGGATGCGGCCGTGCTTTCCAGCATGACCACGACCTCGTTGAATCCGATGCCGTCGGCCCCATCGCGGCATTCTTCGAGTATTTCGCGGAGCATTAGGTCCGTCGCGTCGCTCATCGTTTCACCTCTGCGTCGGCGTCGAATGTCTGGTTACAACTATGTCAGCGTTTCCAATTGCGCCGCCGCAGTGATTATCACCCAGCGGCGATGGCAAGGCAAACGGTGAAAAGCGCGCCCCGACGAGACGATGGAGGAGGAACCGGCCCGCCGGAGCAGCGCGGAAGAAGTGGTCGATCGCTGCCAAAAGAAAAACCCGACTGCACTTTTGCGGTCGGGTAATGGAGCCTACGGCTGGAGTCCGGTGGTCTTCTGGATATGCCGGCAATCCGCTCACTCGTTCCACGAAGTGCAGCTGGAATACACCCGCTGGCAGGCCTCCTGGCTGATGGCTGATAGCGACGCTCCTCCGCCTTCCCACCCGCCTGAAGCGGGCAGTGGCTTGCTTTTCACGTCAGGGACGTGACCAGGAGGGCGTCTCACCAATTACAGTGGCGGGACCGCACCGGATTCTCACCGGATTTCCTTTTCAGCCCGTTGTACGCTCCGGAATGTGGGCGCGACAGACGGGACACCGGCGGGCGATTGCGAGGGTTCAGTTGTTAACGGTTACAGGTTAGCAGATTGGAGGGGATGCGTCAAACGTTGGGTATTCACGTTTCGCGCCTCCAGGCTAGCCGTTGTGTAGTCCGCCCTACCGATCAGGTGACGCGCCCGCACTGCGGCACGCAGCCGGTTAGCCTCGGGTCACGTCTGATTCGTTCGTACCGGTGAGCTCGTACGCTCGGTTGATGAAAGTGCCGACGGCCAGGTTGATCTCTCTGATGAAACGGTCTTTATCAATGTCGTCCATGCGGAAGGACGCGCCGCTGTATCGATAGGAAACAGCGTAGCGGGTAAGCCAGTTGTCCTGTTCCCCGGGACGGTCAGGGTTTTGGAACGAGGTATAGTCGATCAGCGATCGGAGTTGTGCTGCTGCCAGGGTGTTGGCCTGAGTAGGGTCGCGCAGAATTTGGTCGGCGACCTCCCTGAGGTCATGGACGCTGCGGTAGTTCAGGTTAGCGGCGGACAGCCACGCCTTGATGGCATTCTCCACGGCCTGCTGGGCGTGGAAGCCGTACATCTCCTGGTCGCTTTCCTCAAAATCTATCAGGTGATTGAACGCGCGCGTGTGTCGGTAGGCGGCCTGCAGCCGCTCTCTGACATCCGGCCAACTGTCGGGGTAACCGTCCTCGTGCCGGCCGGAAAGATCCAGGTTTCCCTCGCTCATTAGTACCCCGTCTCGGAACGCCTGCGCGGCCACGTGGTTCTTGGCGCGGCGGCAATAGTTGAACCGGTGCACGTCCATCGTCACCACGTCCACGCGGAGCCAAGGGGGATGCAGTCGGAAGTACTCCGTTGCCGCTCGCGTGGCTCGCCCCGTGGCTACGACTGAGCCGGAGTTGGATATGATCAGCAGATCGACGTCGGAGTCGGGGCGATGATCTCCCCGGGCCCGCGAACCGAACAGTATCACCGTGTCCGGGGTCATCACAGACTGTACTGCCCGGGCAACCTCGACGGCGGTTCGGTCGGGGGCGGTCATTTGCCCGGTGGTGCTGTCCATTTGCTGACCATGCGCGAGAAGAAGTCGTTCCCCGACTACGGCCGGTGAGGATCTGGCCTCGCTGCTTTTTCGCCAATTCGGGCCTTATCCGAATTCGATTCTATCACCGAGCCTTCACACCTAACACATTCGATTAGTCAGTGCCCCAGCATCCAGTCAGTACTCCAGCATCATGCGCTGTAGCTCGACGGGGTCTTTGGTTTGGGTCAGGCCGAGCATCAGCAGGATGCGGGCCTTTTTGGGGTGCAGGTTGTCGGCGACGATGTAGCCTTCCTCGGTGAAGCGGCGGGTCTGGACGACACGGCCCGTGCCGACGTGGGTGGACAGGACCACCGGAACCCCGGCGGCCTGGGCCTGTTTCAGGCCGGCCATGAACGTGGACGGCGAACCACCACTTCCCAACCCGGCGGCCACTATCCCGTCCACGCCGTCCGCGACCAGGGCGTCGATGACCGTGCTGCCGGCGCCGGCGTAACCGTAGGCAATGTCGACCCGCGGCAACTCGTCGATGCTGGACACGTCGAACTCTGAATCGGCCGTATGGCGTCGTTCCGGCCGGCGATAGTAGGTTACCTGGCCGTCGGCGTCGGCGTACCCGAGGAAGCCCATGTGACCGGACTGGAAGGTCTCCACCCGGTAGGAGTCGGTCTTGGTCACGTCGCGGGCCGATTGGACCTCGTTGTTCAGCACCACCAGCGCGCCGCGTCCGGCGGACTGCGGCGCGGCCGCGACCCGTACCGCATCGAACAGGTTGTTGTCGGCGTCAGTGCCCATGGCGGAGGGCGGGCGCATGGCGCCGGTCACGGCCACCGGGCGACGGTCCCGCACGGTCAGGTTGAGGAAGTAGGCCGTTTCCTCGAGGGTGGCGGTGCCGTGAGTGACTGCGGCGCCGGCGGCGTCCGGGTCGGCGGAGAACTGCTCGTTGATGCGTTTCGCCAGGGTGAGCCAGTGGGGCGGATAGACCTCGGTGCTGCCCACGTTGATCACCTGCTCCGGTATGACCTCGGCGAACTCTGAGGCCTCGGGCACGCGGGCCAGCATCTCATGTATGGTCAGTTGCTGTCCCCGGTAGCTGTAGTTGAAGAAATCCATGCGAGATTCGCCGACGAATGAGATGGTGCCCCCCGTGCCAAACAGATACACTCGGCGATTAGGTTCGTATGCCATTTGAAACTCCTTTTTCGACTGTACGGATGAATTCGACCAGCCAGGTGAAAATACCATTCTACGCCGGCCGTTGCGGTTACCAGACGACGAATCCCGATTATTGACAACGAGATTTCGTGACTCGAAATTCTCCTGACTTACAACCGGAAAAGCCCACGGCCGCGACGGAGTTCCTGGCGGCCGTTTCAACAGTGAACGGTACTCCCAGGGGTAGATGCGGAACCTGAGGTCAAGCCTAACCCTCTGGCGGAGCAAGGCACAGGAGCGTAGGAATGAACGCACCCGCAATAGCCGCGAACGTAATCACAGGCGTCATTGCCGGCGTTTCCGCGGGTGTCATCCTTGCCATCATTGTCGAAGCCAGGCGGTATGTTGACTTCAAGATGAAAAGGCGTGGGCAAATCAGGTACATCAGGCGAATAGTGGAAAAGTCCCAAGAGTTGATACTGTCCGCGCAAGCTATCCCACCCACGGACAGCGCGCGCAACGACTCCCCTGCCGAACTACCAAGAATGGAGTTCCCGCTGGACATGGTTCGTGGGGCGTACTTCGTCGAAATGTACCGGGAAATAGCAAAGACGCTGGAAGGTAGGGCGGACACGCTGACGTTTGACGAAAAGAGAGAGGTTCGCGGCGCATTCAGGGCATACGACCTGATCCTGCCGGGAAGCGACCCGTTTCGCCCGCCCTCCGTGCCAAACGGAGCCGAATACCACAACATATTCGACGCATTTGAGGCGATCAAGTGGCTCAAAGTAAAGAGCACCGACCGCACATCTCTCGGGTCAAGACCGCCCGAAGACGGAGCTTGAACGTTACCAGACTAGGAACGCCGCGACGGCGGAGAACTCCCACTACTGCCCACGCGGATCCCGAGTAGCGAAATTTCCAATTATTGACGACGGCAACTTTGCAAATTCACCCGCACGCGGTTAGTATATTGGGCTAGTCTGGGTGATTTATTTGCGCCGCAGCACAGCCGTGCACACTCCAACGGCAGGAACGTTATGACCAACAACCGCTGGGTTCGCAACAGCCTGATCTATCTCCTGATCATCATTGGCGTCATCGTCATCTTCTACACGCTGCTCCCGAGTTTCGGCAGCAGCGAACGTCTGGCGTTGACCGAGGTGCTCACTCAGGCCCGAGCCGGCCAGATCGATCGGATCATAGTGGACGGCGAGAAACTCACCGTGATACCCACGGTGGGCCGGCAGGGAGATGAGGCCCAGAAGTACAGCAGCCGCATCGGCAAGAACACCGACCTGGAGAGCTTGCTGATCACCACGGGCATCTGGGACCAGGTCAGCGCGCCCGACGTGGAGTACAAGGGATCGAGCGGGTTCGGCAGCGTTTTCGGCATTCTGCTCAACTTCCTGCCCCTGATCTTCTTTGGCGGGCTGATACTGCTGATGATGCGGCAGGCCCAGGGATCCAACAACCAGACCATGAGCTTCGGCCGCAGCCGCGCCCGCATGCTGTCCACCAACCGCCCGTCGGTGACCTTCAACGACGTGGCGGGAGTGGACGAGGCCAAGGCGGAGCTTGAGGAAGTGGTGGACTTCCTGAAGTACCCCGAGCGCTTCCTGCAACTGGGCGCGCGCATCCCCAAGGGAGTCCTGCTGGTGGGCCCACCGGGCACCGGCAAGACCCTGCTCGCCCGGGCGGTGGCCGGTGAAGCCGGCGTACCCTTCTTCCACATCTCCGGCAGCGAATTCGTGGAGATGTTTGTCGGCGTGGGCGCGGCGCGGGTGCGCGACCTTTTCGAACAGGCCAAGCGCAACGCTCCGTGCATCCTGTTCGTCGATGAAATCGACGCGGTTGGACGCCACCGTGGCGCCGGACTGGGCGGCGGACACGACGAGCGCGAGCAAACCCTGAACCAGATCCTGGTTGAGATGGACGGCTTCGAGACCAACACCAACATCATCGTCACCGCCGCCACCAACCGGCCCGACATCCTGGACCCGGCCCTGCTGCGGCCCGGACGTTTCGACCGCCGCGTCACTCTCGACCTGCCCGACGTGCTGGGTCGAGAGGCTATTCTCAAGGTACACATCGCCGGCAAGCCCCTGTCCCGCGAGATCAAGATCGACGTGATCGCTCGCGAAACCCCCGGCTTCAGTGGGGCGGATCTGTCCAACCTGGTCAACGAGGCGGCGCTGCTGGCGGCCCGCAAGAACCAGTCCAGCATCTTCATGCAGGACTTTGAAGAGGCCATCGAGCGCGTGATCGCCGGTCCGGAGCGGAAGAGCCGGGTCATCAACCAGCGCGAAAAGGAGATGACCGCCTACCACGAGGCGGGCCACGCGCTGGTCGCCTGGCACCTGCCCCACGCCGACCGCGTGCACAAGATCAGCATCGTGTCCCGCGGCAACATGGGCGGACACACCACCCTCCTGCCCGATGAGGACCGCTACCTCTGGACGAAGAACCAGTTTCAGGACATGCTGGGCGTCATGATGGGCGGCCGCGTCGCCGAGGAGTTGATCTTCGACGAGGTCACTACCGGCGCCAGCAACGACATCGAGCGCGCCACCAAGACGGCCCTGGGAATGATCAAGCGCTACGGAATGTCCGCCAGCCTCGGCCCGCGCACCTTCGGCAAGCGCGAGGAGATGGTATTCCTGGGGCGTGAGATCAGCGAGGAGCGCGACTACGGCGACAAGATCGCCGAAGAGATCGACGATGAGGTCCGTCACCTGATTCACAACGCCTACCGGCAGGCACAGCAGTTGCTGATCGACCACAAACCCAAGCTGGTGCAGGTTGCCGAGTACCTGATCGAGCACGAGGCCATCTCCGGCGATGCCCTGAACGAGCTGTTCAACGACGACCTGCCGGGCACGGAAATGGAACCGGCCGTACCGGAGGCGCCAACGCCCTCCCCTTACGCACCGCCGGCTCCTCCGGTTACCCAGGGTGGACCGCTCCCCAACCCGGCGCCAGCCTTCGGCAGCGCCAGCACTGCGGAGCCGATACCGGGACCCTCGCCGGCAGACGACTGACCCATCACCCCACAGTGCGACCAATCAATGGGGGCGGGATCTAATCCCGCCCCTACGCATTTTCTGCCTCGCCCTCGGCCGCTGCAACATCAAGGGGCAGGCTGCGGTAGTAGAGCCCCCACTGCTGCATCAGGGTCTCCACCCGCGGGTCTTTGAGCGCGATGAGCTCACGCAAAAACCCGGCCATGGCGTGGGCGTGGCGCAGTTCGTCGGTGCACACCCAACTGAGGTCGCCAGGCACGGCGTAGATGAGCCCGCTCTGGTGCGGGCAGGTCACCTGGATCCGCGCCATATCCTCGCTTGTCTTTACGGTAAGCCCCTGGGGTTGCGGGGCGGTCTCCCCGCCGTCCGGCGTTGACCGAATGGGTGTAGTCATACTGCCAATTTCCTGTTGTTGACCGCCCTGCGCGGCCTGCGGCGTCGGCCTCGAAACACCGCTCAACGCGGCCGGCCAATTATAAACCAGCCCGCCGGCGTTGGTGTTATACTGTGTCGGCCAACCGCCCGAAAATCGTACTGCCCAGCGGTGATTGCGTGGGTCAAACCAGATAAACCGGTTGACATTGATCAGGAATCATCGCGCACATTTGTAAAGGACCGTTTTATATGTTCACACCCGGCGGAGGTCAACAACCGCCTCGTCAGCCTGAATTCGACCTTGAACAACTACTCGGTCGCGTACGCGGCATATTTGGTGGCGCCGGTGGACGCCTTAGCGGCGGAAACCTGAGCATTTTAATTATCGCCGTGGTCGCCTTGCTCGCTATCATCTGGGCGGCCACCGGAGTGTACACGGTGAGCCCCGGTGAAAACGCCGCACTTCGGTTGTTCGGAGCCGTGCAGGGCGCGCCCGTATCGGAAGAAGGTCTCCACTGGTGGTGGCCCACGCCGGCGGGCAAGAAGGACGTTCTGCTGGTCACCGAGACGCGGCGCATGGAGTTGGGGTTCCGTTCCAACGACGCGGCCGTCAACACCCCATTCCTCGATGAAGCCTTGATGATTTCGGGCGACCTGAACATTGTTGACGTCCAGATGGTGGTGCAGTATCGCATCAGCAATTTGAACAACTTCCTGTTCAAGGTTGACGATCCTGGCGAGCCGGTTCGGTTGATACCAGAGGGACGCCCCGACGGGCGCACCCTTAAAGACGGCGCGGAAGCCGCCCTGCGTTTAGTGGTGGGGCAGCGCTCCATTGACGACGTGCTGGTGCGGGGCCGCGAATTGGTGGAAACCGACACTCGCGAGCGGTTGCAAGACATCCTTGACGAGTACGAGGCCGGCATTGAGGTCATCTCAGTGCAGTTGCAGGACGTGAAAGCGCCGGAAGAAGTGCGCGACGCATTCGACGACGTGCTGAGAGGCCGCCAAGAACGCGAAACTCGCATCAACCAGGCCCTGGCCTACGAAGCCGAGATTATACCGAGAGCCAGGGGTGACGCCGAGCGAATCATCGAGGCGTCCGAGGCGTTCAAGCGCGCCCGGATCGAAACCGCCAACGGTGAAGCCCAGCGTTTCGAGTCGGTACGTAACGAGTACCAGAGTTCACCCGAAGTGACTCGCCAACGTCTCTACCTGGAGGCCCTGGAAAACGTCTTCCCAAGGGTTACCAAGATCATCGTTGACCCCGACACCGAACCGGTACTCATTCTGGGACAGGACGGAAACGTCATACCTGCCCCCATCGGTCCTCCCGGCCCGTAGCCGCAGGTAATCCAGACTGACCGTCTCATACTCCCGGAGAATCCCCAATGCGAAATTTGATCATAGTAGCCATCGTCATCATCGTAGGACTTGTCGTGCTGCGTCAGGCCCTCTACGTGGTGGACGTCACCGAGCAGGTCATCATCCTCCGCTTCGGCGAGGTGGTGGACACCCGCACCTCTCCCGGGCTGAGCGTCAAGGCGCCCTTCGTGGACACCGTGGTCCGCATGGACAGGCGGATCTTGAGAATTGACGCGGCGCCGGTTTCCATGCCGGACCAGGACAAGGAAAACCTGGTGATCGACATCTACGCGCGCTACCGGATCACCGACCCGGTGCAGTTCCGCAAGACCCTGCAAACCGAGAACACGGCCCGCAGCCGCCTGGGAGACATCGTGACCTCCACCCTGCGTGACCGGGTGGCCCTGCGCGACCGGACCGACATCATTGGCGCCAAGCCGCTGGTTGACGAGAACGGCACCCCCGTCCTCGACGCCGAGGGACTGCCGCTGGTGGAAGCGCAGACAACGCGCACGCAAATTCTGGATGAGGTTCTGCAAGCGGTCCGCGAGACCACGCAGCGGGACTCTTTCGGCATTGAGATGATCGACGTGCGCATCAAGCGCGCCGACTTTCCCGAGGCCGTAACCGCGTCCATATATACCAGGATGCGCGCCGAGCGTAACCGCATCGCCGCCGGTTTCCGCGCCGAAGGTGAGGAAGAGGACCGCAAGATCCGCGCCGCCACCGACCGGGACCGCGATGTCATTCTCGCCGAGGCCGAGCGCGAGTCCAACAAACGGCGGGGTGAAGGTGAAGCCGAGGCCATCAGCATCCTGGCCGAAACTCTGAACCGCGACCCGGAACTCTTCGCCTTCCTGCGCAGCCTGGAGGCCTACCAGCGCATCATCGGCCAACAGGACACGGTCATCCTGTCGTCCGACGCCCCGCTGTTCAACTACCTGGTTGGACCCATCTCGACCGCTGAGGGCAATTAGAGCGGATTGCCGGGCGAACCCGCGCGCCGTTCGGCATCCTTAACGCCGCATGACTACCCGACCGAAAGAGCCGTCGGTTGCTGCCGAGACCGTGGTTGGCGCCGAGTCGGAAACGGAGCCGACCGGTTCCGTTGTGCTGAGCCTCGACGCGCTGGGGGTTGATTTTCGCGCCGCCGATTTCCCGACCCGGTTCATAGAGTTCTGCGAAGCCAACGGCGACTACGAAATTGAAGTGAACGAGGCCGGGGAGCTGGTGATTCTGCCTATGGTTGGCTTCAGAGGGAACCGGCAAGAAACGGAGCTGAATACTGAACTAACCATCTTCCGGCGCGCCAATGGCGGCATCAACGCGTCGCAGACCAGCCGGTTCCGCCTGGCCACCAGAGCCATCCGCGGGCCCGATGCTGCCTGGATCACCCAGGAGCGTTATGACGCCGCCACCGCGGAAGAACGGGAGACCGTCTTTCCCGGTGCGCCCGATTTCGTCGTCGAGATCAGGTCCCGCACCGACAACCTCGCTCCGCTGCAACGCAAGATGAAACTGTGGATGGACGGCGGCGCGCGGCTGGGTTGGCTCATCGATCCACCCAACCGGAGGGTCCACGTTTACCGGGCCGGCCAACCGGAGCCGGAAGTGCTCGAAGATCCAGTAGCCCTTGACGGCGAAGGCATTCTCCCAGGGTTTTCCTTCCAGGTCCGGCAGTACATATTCGACATGCAATAGGGCTGGGTCTGGAACATCCGAGGCAATCAACAATCAAGAGTGGGGCGGGTTTGAAACCCGCCCCACTCTTTGGGATCCGATCCGCACCTGCCGTCAGCGTCCGGCGATACGCCGTCCTTCCTGTAGCCCGCCGGCAGTCCGCGTGGGCGCGGTGATCAGGATGCTGAACCCCTGCTCCAACCGCATCTCCACCTCCTCGGCGGTGCAGCCCACGGCGCAGGGCACGCCGGCGTCCTTGCAGGTGGCCAGGATCCGCAGCAGCATCTCCTGCACCTCGGGGTGGCCGGCGTTGCCCTTGTGGCCCAACGCGACTGACATGTCGCCCGGGCCGGCCCAGACGGCGCCGATGCCCTTGACCTCGCGCAGGATGTCCGGCAGGTTGCGCACGCCGGTGGGTTCCTCAACGATACCCATGAGCAGCATGTTGCCGTCGGGGTCCAGGGGCCACAGGTCCGCGGCGTCGTAGTACTCGCCGGCAGACAATCCCCAGTAGCGAGGCGCGATACGCTGCCACCAGCCGCGTTCGCCGTGGGGCTCGAAGTCGGCGACGCCGGGGACCTGCGGATACCGCGCCGACTGCACCGCCGACATCGCGCCTTCCACGGTGTCCAGGTGGGGCAGGATGAGACCGTACACGCCGGTGTCCAGGGCCTGCTTGATGACCCACTGGTTCTGCTCGCGGGTGTTCGGCGGGATGCGGACCACAGGGGTGGGATCGGCCATCAGGCCGCCGCCCTCCGCGACACGCTTGCGATTGAGCAGGAACTGGAGCGACGCGCGGAGGTTGTTGAAGGACAACCCCTCGTGCTCCATCTCGATCATCACCATATCGTAGTCGGAATCGGCAAAGTACATCATCTCGTCCAGGTTGCCGTTCCAGATCAACCCGGTGCCAAACACCGGCTTGCCTTCTTCAAGCAACTGGATGACCTTGCTGTAGCGTGTTGCCGCCATGCCTTTGCCTCCTGTGGTGTCAGTGCAAGTAGGGGCGGATGATTGTTCGCCCCTACTACTATCCTTCGTTGATCGCGGCAGCGAACTCTGCGGCGTCCTCGTGGGGGCCGACTATGGCGAGGCGGAACGCCTCGACGTCCACCAACCGCCGGGCGGCGTGTAGCACGTCGTCGGGCGTCACCGCGTCGATACTGGCGGCCGTTTCGTCCGGCGTGGTGATCTCATCCATCAACAGCTCTTGCGAGGCCAGCCACGAGGCCACCGAGCGGGAGTCCTCCATGCGCATCAGCATCCGGCCCTTGATATATTCCCTGGACTTGTGGACCTCCGCTTCCGGAGGAGCGGTCAGCAGACCCTGCAGTTCCTTCCGAGTTGCGGCCACGGCCTCCGCCGCCCGCGCCGGCTCGGTGCCGCAGGACACCACCAGCGCGCCGCAGTCACGATAGCTGCTCAATGAGCTGTGACAATCGTAGGTCAGCCCCAGGTTCTCCCGCAGGTTCTGGAACAGGCGGCTGCTCATACCGTCGCCGAGGAGGCCGTTGAGCACAGTGGCGGCGTAGCGATCCGGGTCGACCAGGGCGAAGCCCGGCAACCCGATGCAGATGCTGGTGTCTTCGGTTACGCGATTGTCCAGGAGAATGGCGGGGGAGTCGGCGGGAGTCTCGGAAACGGGTTGCCAGGTCAGGGTGTCCGCGGGGTGCCACTCGCCCGTGCCTTCGGCAACCATGCGCACGGCCTCATCGTGGCTGATTGCGCCGGCGATGCCGATGACCGTGTTGTTGGGACGGTACTGGCGGTCCATGTACCGGGACACGTCGTCAAGATTGATGGCGGCCACGGACTCTGCGGTGCCGCCCACGTCGCGGCCCATGGCCTGGTCGGGCCACAGGGCCCGGTCGATGAGCAGATCGCACACCTGGGCGGGATAATCGTTGGTCATCCGCAACTCATCCAGGATGACCTCTCGCTCCTTCTCCATTTCGGCGGGCTCCAGGAGCGGGTGACGGATCAGGTCCAGGATCACGGGGAGCGCCCGGTCGGCGTACATGCTGGCCACCTTGCACCAGAAGGATGTCATCTCCCGGTCGGTGGCCGCATTCATCATGCCGCCGACGCCCTCGACAGCCTCGGATATTGCCAGCGCCGTGGGCCAGCGTCGGGTCCCCTTGAAGGGCAGGTGCTCCAGGAAGTGGGACAGGCCGGCCAGTTCATCGGGTTCGTAGCGGGAGCCGGCGCCCACGGAGACGAACATGGAAACGCTGCGGGTGTGCGGCATTTCTGCCGTCAACACCCGCAGACCATTTTCCAGCACCGTCCTGCGGTACATCGGAGTCGCGGCCGGCCCCACTAGGTGTTCAGCCAGTCTACGTCGCCCTGCAAGTCCGACGGGTGAGACTTGGACATGAAGACGTCGTAGCGGCGCTTCGCCTCGCCGATGGTGGTGTTATCCGGACCGTGGCCGGGATACACGTAGGTGTCGGCCGGCAAAGTGAGCAGATTGGCGCTGATGCTGTTCAGCTCCTGCTGCAGGGCCTCGGGGCTGCGGGATCGGCCGGGCCCGCCGGGGAAGAGGGTGTCGCCGGAGAACAGGAACCCGCCCACCAGGAAGCAGGTCGAGCCATCGGTGTGGCCGGGCGTGCCGATGCACTGGATGGTACGGTTGCCGAAGGCGACGGTGTCGCCATCGTTGAGTTGGCGCTGCGGCGGGCTGGGCGGCAGGTGCGCGTCCGCCGTGCCGATGGCGGCCGGCGCGCCGATGGTGCCGGTGATCTCGGTGTAGCCGGCCAGGTGGTCGCCGTGCCCGTGGGTCACCAGGATGGCCTGAACGTTGACGCCGCTGGCCTGCACCTCGTTGATCATTTTCTCGGGCTGGTCCGGCGTGTCGATGCAGACGGCCTGATTGGTCTCGGGACAGATGACGATGTAACCGTTGTTGCCCAGGGAACCCATATTCTCGATCTTGTGGACGGTGACGTCGCCCGCCCCCTGCGCCTGATGATGAACTGGCATGCTTTGCCCTCCTGTGGATAGTAGAAAATCGTGCCGGCATTGTAACAAACCGCGAGCGTGGGTTGTGACGTGTCGCGTTGGAGCCGTATTTCGCGCGGCACTGAGGTGGGTGATATGATTCCGGGACGGCTGGCTCTCATGGACCTATGCGCGCATCGCAAAGATCACGCCTCAAGGAAGGAACGGGACATGGAAGTTCACACCGGCAAACTGGATCAAGGATTGACGCTCGCCATCCCTGAGGCGTTCGCTGCCTAACTTGGTTTAAAGCCGAACTCGTTGGTCGACATAGCGCTTCACGGCTCAACGATCATCATCTCCCAAGCAAGACAACCACGAGCGCAATTAGACGATTTGTTGGCAAGGGTCACCGAGAACAACCTGCACAATGAGATCGAAACCGGCGGCGCGGTGGGCCGGGAAGCATGGTGACGCCTCAATAGGTGAGCGCAGCCGGAGCTTCACGCCGGACACTCCCTGGATCACCGGCGAACAGCAACTGGTTGTCGAACCGAGCCTGGAAGACGTAGCCGGAAATTCGCCGGCACGGGTTTTTGACCGGGACGTTTCGAGGCCGGAGGATGTGCCATCGCAAAGGGAAGCAGTGAAGGTCAGATTCTCGTGCGCCCCGACAACGAGTTAGTCTCGGAAACGCTGACAGCTAACCAACCCCGCAGCATCTCCCACTGCGCGTGTGACGCCAGGCCCGCCGGCACATGCGCGAAACCGCTTTGTCCGACCACTCATTATCCAGGGGTCGCCAGAAGACTGAAACGGTCTGGCGATGGGAACGGGATGAACAAAATTGGGGAATTTGGTTGCAGGTTCCGAGACGCCTGTATTACCATCGTTAACCAATCACCCGCAGGCGTTTCATCGCCCGAATCGAGGTCTTTAAATGGTCACTCCTACTGAAGAACTACTTGTTGAAGAAACTGAACTCAATGACGACGAAGAAGCTCAAGATATCCGGTATGAGATCTCGACCTTCCCCACGGATTTCACCGTGAAGGTAATGTACGAAAAATGGCAGTCCGGGCAGATTGTAATCCCAGATTATCAACGCCGGTACGTTTGGACGTTGCCCCAAGCGAGCCGGCTGATAGAGTCATTCCTCCTGGGGTTGCCCATCCCGCAGGTTTTTCTTTATCGAGAGCACACGGGACCTGAACTATATGTCATCGATGGCCACCAACGGCTCGGTACTATCGCTCAATTTTATGATGGCAAATTTTCGGACGGCAGAGAGTTCCGATTGCGTGGCATTCGTGCGGCATGGGCTGACAAAACGTACGAGGAACTGAGTGAGGACGATCAAATTACACTGGACGATGCGACCTTACGGTCAATCGTCATCCGGCAGATACTACCTAACGATAGCTCCAGCGTTTATCAAATATTCGAAAGATTGAACACTGGCGGCACTCAATTAAACCCCATGGAAATCAGGCGGGCCATTTCGCGCGGCGGAGCAAACGCTTTCCTGGATCGATTGAACGGCAACTCAGACTGGCGAGCTCTAATCGGAAGGACCGATCCAGACCCTAGGTTTCGAGACCAGGAGATGCTTTTGCGCGTGGTAGCACTTGCTGACGACTGGCGCGAATACAGTAAGCCCATGAAAAAATTCATCACAGCCTATATGGCTGTTCTCGATAAGAAAGACGCGGACTCGATCCAGGAGTTGGAACGACGGTTCACGCTGGCTTGCAACGTGTTGAGAAGTCAGCTGGGAGACCGGCCATTTCATCTCAGGCAACGAATTAACCTGGCCGCCCTAGACTCGGTGATGGCGACTGCGATTGAATTTGTCGAAACGATCGACCCAGAGTTGAACTGCGCCTATCAAGAATTAAAGGCCGATTCAAAATACGACGCTACCGTAACGTACAACACCAGCGACACTTCGGTAGTGCAAGAAAGGCTTACGTTAGTCCACAAGGCCTTCGGGGTGTCAGAGTGACTACCCCGGTATTACCGCTTACGCAAACGGCGATTTCCGATTGCCGTGACCACCTGGCCCAATTTCCTGGGGCCGATCCGGCGATAGGAGCATATCTCACCAGGTACGCTAATGGATTGATGTGTGCTGAAATAGAAAAGGTCGTGAATGGTCTGATTCGGGATAGGCTGGAAAAGGGGTGCAGCGATAGCGCAACGTTTAATTATTTGACCTCTTTCCGCCGAGGCACGATAAGAAATGCAACCTTTTCGGAAATCCGCAGCAAAATGAAAATTTTAGGACCCCAATACGATTCTACGTTCCAAATGTTGTTCGAACAAACAGTAGACGAAGGCGGCAAGGAAAAACTAGGGATAGCGGTGGAAAACAGAGATACCAATGCGCACGACGATCCAGTTGACATCACGTTGAGCGAATTAGAGGACGCGTTTGCTGTTGCTGTCAAAATGGTGGACGCTGTCAAAAACGTCTTATCCAAATGAGCGTGGAAGAACGCGTGCTTGCACAAGCCTTTGGATGATGTCCAGCAACATGCAGAAGAGAACGCACGCCCCGCGGCATCCCGATCGAGGGCCGACATGGGGAAGCAGGTGTTGATCGCGGCAGGGCAGCCCTTCTCTAGATCGGAGCTTTGCCAACGCAGTTACATGCCCCACTTATTGTATGTCCGCCAGTTATCAAAGAGGGTCGCCAAGCACGCGTACGTTCTAGCGAGAACCGCAGGATTGGATGCTTGGTGATAGATACGGCGTCTAACCTGTCACTCATGCACCAGCGCGCCTCCGTTCCTCGTGCGGGCGGCCAGCCAGACCAATATGGCACTGGCTGCCAGGTATGCCGCGAAGACCCGGAAGGCGGTGTCCAGGCTGCCGATTTGGTCGTAAACGAACGCGCCGAACAGGGGCCCGCCGATGCTGGCGATGAGGTAGAACGGGCTCTTCACTCCTCCGATCGTGCCCTGGTGCTGCCGACCGAAATGCGCCACCCACAGCAGCGGCCCGATTACCACCAGCGCGCCGCCGGTGAGACCGTACATCACCCCAAATGTGCCGTACAGTTGCCACCCGCTGGTTGAGCCGACGCCGGCGAATATGCTGATCGCGCTCAATATCAGGGCAACTATCGCCAGCATCCAAATCGAGTAATGGTCGTCCAGAAATCCCCAGGCCAGCTTGGCGGCGAATGCGCAGACCCCGTAGAACAGGACCAGATGCCAGATCTCCCGGGTTTAGGACAACAGCATCAGCGATATGCCCAACACGACGGCGCTACCCGCCATCAGGAATCGGGGGCCGTAGCGGTCCACGGCGTATCCGAAGAAGGGAAATGCACTGGCGCTGACCAGGTCTCTGGCGAGGAACGCGGAGGTCATGACGGTACGGCTCCATCCCAGCTCTTCGATTATGGGCTTGAAGAAGAAGCCGAACGTCTGGGCTCCCAGGCCCACGCGCATACCCTGGCTCAGGACCCGCAGGCGACGATTTACCACCCGTGAAATATTCTCGGTCTTGAGCCCATGGTGGTTCTGATTGAGCCGTTATGAGACGGCGAGCGCCGTCGATTGCGCCGGCGGGACATTCAGCCGAACGAAAATATATTTGGCCTAGACCAGTGTCCAATCCGGGACCGTCCTCATGCGTACTCAGTCTGGCGGAACTGCCATCGCGACCAGCCGAACTGCCTCTGCGAGCGCAGCGTGGCAATCTCGTTGGGAGAACAGCGTGTCTTTAGTCAACGAGATCGCCGCGTCGCTCCGCTCCTCGCGATGACGAAGTGGGTACGCGTGACATGACGAAGTGGGTAGGCTTGGGCGGCGGAGACGGCTTTGGGATCAAACCCACCTGAGCACCTATGGGTTTGGATCGGATCACGGGTTTAGCATCCGCAACGTCTTGCTCGGTGTACGCGCCTCTTCAACATTTGACGCCGCCGCGGGCCCACGATCACGCGGTGGAACAGCACCTATCAGTGAGAGCCCGCTCTGCGATGTGGCGCGGATACTCGGCCGGGGGGTGGCTGGCGAAGTCCCGGTTGGGCGTAACAACTTTGTAACATTTCCGTCATTAGTCCGTAACACTGGAAATCTACACTATCCCGGTAAATTTTTGCGCCGACAAGTGCATCCCAATACCACCGTTGACGGTATGGTCACCCCCTTTCGGGCAGGCCGCGGCGGTGTCCCCGCAAAAATGCATGTGCCGGCCGCTGATAGTGGGGAGAAAAAGACATGGAATTCACCGAACTGCAAGTATTGTCCTTCCTGATTTCAGCCGCTTTGGTGTTCCTTATGGTGCCCGGCCTGGCGCTGTTCTACGGCGGCCTGGTTCGCCACAAGAACGTGATCGGGACGATGATGCACTCCGTCACAGCCATCGGAGTGGTCAGCGTGCTCTGGGTCCTTTGGGGATACAGCCTGGCCTTCAGCGACAGCGTTGGCGGCCTGGGTTTCGTCGGCGACCTCGCCAAGTTCGGCATGATTGGTGTCGAGCCGGATGAACAGGCATTCATGATCTTCCAGGGCATGTTCGCCATCATCACCGTGGCCCTTATCGCCGGCGGCTTTGCCGAGCGGTTCAAGTTCAAGTCATACATCATCTTCGCCGCCCTTTGGGTGACTATTGTGTACGCCCCGCTGTGCCACTGGGTCTGGGGCGGCGGCTGGCTCGGCAATCTGGGCAGCATCCTGGGAATGAGTGAAGCCGGTTTTGCCCTTGACTTCGCCGGCGGCACCGTGGTGCACATCGCCTCGGGTACGGCCGCCCTGGCCGCCGCGCTCATCGTCGGACGCCGCACCGGGTTCGGCACGGTGAACCTCACGCCCGGCAACGTCCCGCTGGTACTGCTCGGCGCGGGCCTGCTGTGGTTCGGCTGGTTCGGCTTCAACGCGGGCAGCAGCTTCGACCTCAGCACCGCAAGCGCCGCCAACGCCTTTGTTGTGACCAACGTTGCGGCGGCCACCGCCATGTCCTCGTGGTCCATCATCTCCTGGTTCATCACCAAGCGTCCGTCGGCCAGCGGAGCTGCGGCCGGCGCGGTGGCCGGTCTCGTCGCCATCACCCCGGCCGCCGGCTTTGTCGGCGTCATGCCGGCGATCATCATCGGCGCCGGCGCTGGCGGGGCCTGCTTCATCGCGGTTGAGCTGATGCACAAGTTCCGCGTCGACGACTCGCTGGACGTGTTCGGCATCCACGGGATCGGCGGGATGTGGGGCGCGCTGGCCACCGGAATTTTCGTCGGCATCGGGTTCGGCGCGCTGGAAGCGGACGTATCACGGCTTGAGCAAATTTTCTACCAGATTATCGGCATCGGCGCCGCCTTCGGCTGGTCCTTCGTGGTCTCCGCGATCATCCTGCTGGCCCTGAAGTACACCATCGGCCTGCGTATCACCGACCAGGAAGAGGAGACCGGCATTGACCTGACGCAGCACGGGGAGGGAATGAACTAGGCGGCCGTACTCCCGGTCGGCAACCGCCGACGATTGACGCTAACCCGCGCCACAATTGGTCCCAAAGGGGGACCCACCATGACCCCGACAGAAGTCATCGAATTTTGTAAGTCAAATGACATCGGGATCATCGACCTGCGGTTCACCGACCTGCGCCGGCGGCCGCATACCATCGAATTCTTCAAGTACCTCGGCGCCTAGTCGTGGACCTGTTGGCCGCAGCAGACCAAATTCCGGGGCGGGTCGCGACCCGCCCCTACTGGTACAATGACGCCCAGAGCGCAATGGCGCGACGTGAACCCATTGCTTCAGGAGATCTCCCGTGTTGACTGACCACCACGCCGCCGAACGCGAGTACGTGCTCCGCAGCGCTCGTGACTTCGACGTCAAATTCATTCGCCTGTGGTTCACCGATATCCTCGGCAACCTCAAGGGATTCGCCATCACCGTGGACGACCTGGAGGACGCGCTGGAGCTGGGCGTCGGGTTCGACGGCGCGGCCATCGAGGGTTACAGCACCGACACGGAAAGCGACATGCGGGCTTTCCCGGACCCGACCACCTTCACGCTCCTGCCGTGGCGGCCCCGGCGCAACGCCGTGGCCCGCATCTTCTGCGACGTGCGCACCCCGCGGGGAGAGCCGTTCATCGGCGATCCGCGCCACGTGTTGAAGCGCAACCTGGAGCGCCTGGCCAGCCTGGGGTACATCTACTACGTCGGCCCGGAGCTCGAATACTTCTACCTGCGGGACGCCGAGAAACGCCGGAACCGCTGGACACCTACGGGTATTACGACCAGCTCTCCAGCCACCCGGCTTCTGACCTGCGACGCGACACCGTGCTCAACCTCGCCGAAATGGGCATCCCCGTCAAGTATTCCCACCACGAGGGCGCGCCCAGCCAGCACGAGATTGATCTCCAGTACACCGACGCCCTGACCATGGCCGACAACGTAATGACCGCCCGCATGGTCATCAAGGAACTGGCCCAACAACAGGGCGTCTACGCCTCATTCATGCCCAAGCCCTTTTCCACCTCCAACGGCAGCGGCATGCACACCCACCAGTCGCTGTTCCGGGGCAACAGCAACGCCTTTTACGACCCGGACGACGACCTCCATCTGTCGGTGATCGGCAAGCGGTTCATCGCCGGCCTGCTGCGGCACGCGCCGGAAATCACCCTGGTGACCAACCAGTGGGTGAACTCCTACAAGCGGCTGGTGCCCGGCTACGAAGCGCCCGTGCACGTGTCCTGGACCATGTCCAGCCGCCTGGATTTGATACGGGTTCCGTCGTACAAGGCCGGCTACGAAACCTCGCTGCGCGTCGAGTACCGCGCCCCGGATCCGGCCTGCAATCCGTACCTGGCGTTCAGCGCACTGCTGGCCGCCGGACTGAAGGGCATTGAGGACGAATACCCGGTGCCCTCGCCCATCACGAGCGACGTCGCGTCCATGTCCGCCGAGGAGCGGACCGCGCGTGGCATCGGACGCCTGCCCACCAGCATGGGCGAGGCCATAACACTGGCGGAAAACAGCGAACTCCTGCGCGAAACCCTCGGCGATTTCGTTTACGAAACGCTGATCCGCAACAAGAAGCAGGAGTGGGAGCAATACCGCTCCACGGTCACCGACTACGAGATTTCACGTTACCTGCCGTTGCTGTAGGTTCGGCGGCCCTGGCAGAGAGGACACTGATGCAATTTTCCGGGAAGCTGGTAATCATCGCCGCGCTGGCGGTAACGGTGCTGTTGGTCAGCAACATCATCGCCATCAAACCGGTTTCGCTGTTCACCCTGCCGTTCGACTTCATCGGCAGCAACCTGTTCGTGGTTTCCGCCGCCATTGTCTGCTTCCCCATCGGGTACATCATCAGCGACATACTGACGGAAGTTTACGGTTTTCGCGTCGCTCGCGGTGTGATCTGGCTGGGATTCGTGTGCAACCTGATGATGGTGCTCCTGTTCTGGGTCGGCGATATGATGCCCGGCGCGGTGTTCTGGTCGATCGATCCCGTCGTGATCTCTGACGACGCCGGCAACTTAGTCGCCAACCTGCCCAGCGAGCACGCCTACGAAGCCATCCTTGGGGCCACCGGGTGGATCCTCCTCGGTTCATTCGTCGCCTACATCGTGGGTGAGTTCACTAACGCCGCCATCATGGTCTTGCTCAAGAACCGCACGCAAGGCCGGATGCTGTGGCTGCGAACCATATCTTCCACCGTGGTTGGTCAGGGCATCGACTCCATCCTGTTCTTCACCATCGCCTTCGGAGTTTCGGGCCTGTGGATCGGTCCCGATGGCTCGTGGCTTCCGGTGTTCAACGCCGCCATCTGCGCGTGGATCGCCAAGTCGGTTTACGAGATCGTCGCCACGCCGCTCACCTACATCGTGGTCGGCTGGCTGAAGCGTACCGAGCAAATGGACGTTTACGATGCGCCGCGCTCGCTGAACCCGTTCGGCGTGTTCGGCAGCGGCGACACCAACGCCGCGGCTTCCCGAGCCTGAACTCGGCCGCGAGTTCCGCGTATGGCCGACCAAGAGCCTGACCACGGCCATCCCCACGACCACCAACACGGCGGCCCCGAAAGCCTGGGCGCACCGTTCGCGAACCTCCGGGGCACCGGGTTACCGTGGCGCAAGGTAGTGGCGCTGGTGGTCTCCAATACGCGGCGCAAGGTGGTCTCGCGACGCGGCTGCTGCGGAAACCACGGCCAACCCGGCTGTTGACGCCGCTGATCTCGCGCCGGCGTGACCGGCGCATGGAGATCGCCGGCGTTTGCAAAAAGGCCTGCGAACCTCGATATGTTACGATTGGGTCAGCCGCCATTGCATATCGACCGAAAGGAGCCTGACTGATGCACGCCGAACAGCGCCGGGTAGCCGACGACGGCCTCAACTATCTGGTCATCTTCCCCGACGATTACGACGCCGACGCCAGCTACCCGCTGGTCGTCATGCTGCACGGTTTTGGCGCCAACATGCAGGACCTCGCCGGCCTCGCTCCGTCGATCAACCGCAAGGGCTACGTGTACGTTTGTCCCAACGCGCCGATCCCTTTCGAGTTGGCTCCCGGGATGACCGGCTACGGTTGGCATCCGCCGCGCGGTCAGGCGACCGATGAGCATTTCAACCAGGCCGAGTCGCTCCTCGACGCCTTCTTCACCGAGGCGCTGAACGAGTTCCGGGCCGAGGAAAGCCGCGCCGTTTTGCTCGGCTTCTCGCAGGGCGGCGGCATGACGTACCGCATGGGTTTGGAACGGCCGGACAAGTTCGTGGCCCTAGTCGCTCTCAGCGCGTCGCTGCCGGACCCGGAGATCCTGCGCCCACGGCTGCCCGACCACCGCGAGCAGCCGGTTTTCGTGGCCCACGGTCTCCACGACCAGATGGTCTCGATGGACAGCGCGCGCCGCACCCGCGAGTTCCTCGACGCGGAGAACTACAACCTGTCCTACCACGAATACAACATGGGCCACGAAATACCCGCGGAAGTCCTGCGTGACATGGTCCCCTGGATGGAGGCCCTCTTGCCTCCCCTGGTAGAAGAAACCGACCGCATCTTTTAGGCACGAACGGAATATTTACATCGATGCACAGGATGGACAGGATCGGGAATTGCTGCATTCGGAATTGACGAGGGTGATAATCGGTTGTGCGTTCGAAGTACAGAATGAACTCGGAGCTGGCTTTTTGGAATCGGTGTACAAAAACGCTATGGTCGTTGCCCTCGCGGATGCCGGTATCCCGGTCAGGGCGCAGGCGCCAATCAAAGTAACGTTTCGTAATACGCGCGTAGGTGACTTTTATGCTGATCTATTGGTGCCGGACAAAGTGATCATCGAATTGAAAGCAGTGGAGCGTCTTATGCCACAGCACAAAGCACAGGTGATCAACTACCTGAATGCTACTGGGATACCAGTAGGGCTGCTGATCAATTTTGGGAGACCCAAGGTTGAGTTCCAACGATTGACGCGCTCTACCAGTTCACCAGAACTCTGAACGATGCAATATGATCCTGTTCATCCTGTGCATCGATGTAAATTGATTCGTGGAGGTATTGCACCCATGAAAGCCACTACCCAGCTGCGCCAGATGCTCGCCTCCGACCGGATGGTCGTTGCGCCCTTCGTACTCAACGCCCTGCATGCCCGCATCGCCGAAGACGTGGGGCACCAGGCCGTCTACATGACCGGCGCCGGCACCGCCGCCGAGCGCGGCTTCCCCGATGTCGGCCTGCTCACCATGACCGAAATGGTAGCCAACGCCAAGTACATCGCGGACGCCGTCAACATCCCGGTTATCTGCGACGCCGATACCGGGTACGGGAACCCCCTCAACGTGCACCGCACCGTCCGCGAGTACGAAGCCGCCGGCGTGGCTGCCCTCCACCTCGAAGACCAGGTGTTCCCCAAGAAGTGCGGCTTCTTCGCTGGCAAACAGGTGGTGCCCGCCGAGGAGCACGTCCAGAAAATCCGCGCGGCCCTCGACGCCCGCACCGATCCCGACTTTGTCATCATCGCCCGCTGCGACGCCTACGCGGTCACCGGCTGGGAGGATACCGTGCGACGCTGCCGTGCCTACGTCGAGGCGGGCGCCGATCTCGTTTTCGTCGATGGCATCAAGTCCCAGGACGACATCCAGCGCTACGCCGCCGACCTGGCCGACGTGCCCCGCATGTACAACGGCGACCTGGCCACGACGCAGACCATGGACGAACTGGGCTACAAGATCATGATCTGCGGCAGCACCATCTGGCTCATTTACAAGCAGGTGCGCGCCGCCTACGAAGAGCTCATGAGCGCCGGCAAAGTGGACCCCGACCGCTTCGGCACCCGCTGGGACGTCGCCTCCGTGCTTGGGCTGGACGCCATTTACGAGCTGGAAAAGAAGTACGGCGTGCAGGACGTGGGCACCGACGTCGCGGGCCTCGCCGCGGCCCAGGCCGCGCAGATGGCCGCCGACGCTGCCGTGCTCACCCCTGCGGACGACTAACCCCTGCCGTGAAGCCAAAGCTTCACTGGGAGGCCAGCGATGGGGGAGGCCAGCAATGACTGACCGTTTCCGCATGCTATACGACGGCTCGTGTCCGATGTGCAGCCGCGAAGTGCTCCAACTCTATCGCCGGCGGCCTGATGCAATCGAACCCGTGGACATCTCCGCTCCGGACTTTGACGCCGGGGCGTGGGGGTTCGACGCCGAACAGGTCCAATCCGCCATATACGGCATCAGGCCGGACGGCAGCGTCACCGTGGGCATGGAAAGCCTGCGCGAAGGCTACCGCCTGGCCGGCCTCGGATGGATGCTCGGGTGGACCCAATGGTGGCCGGCTCGCCCCGCCTTTGATCTTTTCTACCGTGGATTCGCCCGTAACCGGATGCGCATCGGCAAATGGCTGGGCCGGTGCGACGGTCATTGCCGCGTCTGAAACCATTGGCAAGCCCCGCAACTGCCATCGACGGGCTCCGAGCAGCGGACGATCTGTGCTCGTGCCGTCGACGCTAATCGTTGCGCGCCGACCAGTGCCTCGCGTTGGCGACCGGATTCACCGCGAGGCGGTGCAATCGTAATGTGGCCGGTACTCGCGTTGGGCTCCGCGCTGGCCTTTTGCTTCGTCAGCGTTTGCGACAAGCGGCTGCTGTCATTCCACCTGCATGGCGTCCCGCCCCTATGCCTGTGGTGCGGGGCCACCGGACTGATCTACGGGATGATCGTGGTCATCATCGTGGGTGTGCCGGCCGGCACCGCGTGGCAAGTCGCGGTTGCCCCCGTTGGCGCCGGCCTGTTCATGGGGTGCTCCGTTGTGCTCCTGTTTCGCGGCCTGCGCCTCATGGAGGCTTCTCGGGCGGTCGCGATTTCTCAGACCAATCCGATTTTCGTCGCCATTCTGGCCCTGTGGTTCCTGGACGAGCACATCTCACTGATCCAGTGGTGCGGTATTAGCCTGGTGGTCGGCGGAGCCGTCCTCATCTCCGTGCGGCTGTTCCAGGAACGACCCTTTACCCGCATCGACCCTGGCCTGGCTATCCCCAGCACCACCGTCTTCGACTTGCGCGATCGTGGCGCGATTTACGGCCCGGCGCTCCTTTTCGTCAGCGCCTTTTGCGCCGCGTCCAGCTTCGTCGTGACCAAAGCGGCGCTCAACGCCGACCTGCCAGTGTTGACCGTATTCGGCATCCAGCAGGCCACTGTGGGCGTGGTCTTCCTGTGCGTTGGGCTGACCGGTGGTCCACGGTTGATGGGCGCGGTGAAGGAACCCAAGGTCCTGGCGATGCTCCTGTTCGGCGAATCGCTGATGCCGGCTATCTCGATCCTTCTTGCCGTCTACGCTTACAGCCTGGGACCTGCCTCCCTGGTGGCAGCGGTGCTCGCGACGCGGCCCCTGTTCGTGTTCATCGCGACCACCCTGCTGTCCCGTATGCGCTGGCAGTTCCTCGACGAGTCGCTGAACCCCAGGGTGCTGTCGGTAAAAGCGGCGTCTATAGTTATGATTGTTGGCGGTGTGGGCACACTCAGCGTGGGGTGATCTCCAAAACGGGAACTCCCCGAGATCCCAGTATCTATTACGTTTATGATGCGTTGAAAGCGGCGAAAAAGCAGCGAATTCGTCGCGAATAAAACGATAAAGTATATCATTGTCCCATTGATGATTGACAACCGCAGTCCGAACGAATAATATCGTATGCCGAATATCTACGCTGCCTGGCGTAGAAATGTGATTGCATCCCGAGCACGGAGTCTGCCAACCAATGGACGAGCTTGACCTGAAGATTATCGGTATCCTGCAATCGGACGGGCGTGCGTCCAACGCCAAGATTGCACGCGCAGTGGGCGTGAGCGAAGGCACCGTGAGACGTCGGCTGCGCCGCCTCATCAAAGAAGACATCGTCCATGTGGTGGCAGTCCCGAACCTCGAAAAAATGGGTTACGGCACCACCGCCCTCATCGGCCTGGAAACCGGCCCGGGCAAGTCCGACGCCGTCGCCGAATGCATCGCCGACCTCGACGAAGCCCACTATGTCGTCGTGGCCACCGGGCCCTACGACGTATTCGTGTGGACCGCCCTGGAATCCGCCGAAAGCCTGGGCGACTTCCTGCGCACTCGCATCGGTGTCATTGAGGGCGTGCAGAAGACCCAGACCTTCGTAACCCTGTCCACCAAGAAGCGTTTCACCCGGGTATGAATCGGGCGCGCAAATGGGTTCCGCCAACCCGGCAAACGCCTCGATCTCGTTTGCATTGCCTATACGCCGTGCTATAATTTTCGCACCCGTGAGTTGTGGCCCCAAGTTCGATTTGCCACTGTTAACCCGCACCACATCACCCGAGGGAATGCCGCTATGACCTACATCATTACCGAGCCATGCGTGGGTGTCAAAGACGCCGCGTGTGTCGACGTTTGCCCGGTGGACTGCATCTACACCACCGACGACGATGACATGTACTTCATCAGTCCCGATGAGTGCATCGACTGTGCTGCCTGCGAACCGGTTTGCCCGGTCACGGCGATCTTCGCCGAGGAAGCCGTACCGGGCATGTACGAAGATTATATCAAGATAAACTACGACTACTTCAGCAAGTAGTCGTCGCGCCGCCCGGCGTACACCGACTCCGTCGTGCGCCCGGCGCTTGGCTGCCGGGCGCACGTTTAACGGTTCACACTTTCTCTGATGTTCGCATCCGACCCGCAGCGGTCTGCTCGCCCTGAAGTGAACGTTGTCGTCTGCACCGACGAGTACGGGTGCGGGCGCTGGTATCATCGCGGCCGCAATGCTGACGCCGTGCTGAGCGATCTTCGCTCCGCCGCACACCGCGTGGGCGGCGAACGCGTGCAGGTCACCACGGCCGGTTGCATTCTCGGCTGCACCTACGGGCCGCGTTTCGATGTCGTCCGCCGTTGGTCCGGCGAAAAGGCGCTTTACGGCTCCATCGAGGGCGAAGCCGCCGTCACCCGCCGAGGTCGCGTGCGTTTCGCCGCCATCCCAGACAATTTGAACCAGGCGCTGTCCGACAACCTGGCCGAGACGGCGGTTCCCGTCGACCAGTCTCGCAGGACCCAATCCTCCGGCCGACATTGACCTGCTGCGCCGTATCCTCGCGGACTGTAGCTGTGGGATGGACGATGCCGCCGTCGGGCTGGACGAAGCCGTGGTCATGGTGCACAACTCGGCTGCCACCATCTCCATTCCGGCCACGCTGGCAAACTTGCAATTCGTAGACGGCAGCGGGAGGGTCCACCCAGCCGGTGATATCGCCCTGCTTGCCACCGACGGCGACGGCCAGGCGGCCTTGCAGCTCGGCCGCATTCGCCAGATCGAGTTCCTGTACCGCACCCTGGGCAACGGGCTGCCCAGCTACGCCATCTGGCTGCGGGACGACGATTTGGCAACCGTGTACCGCATCTACCTGCGCCGCTCAGAAAACCCAACCAACGACCCCCGGCGTCATCGCCTCTTCATGAACCTCACCGAAAAGTATGGCGAAAAGGTAACCCTGTAACATCTCCCCGGGCGTGGTCGCCCGCCGCGGCATTCTGTGTCACAGTTCACTTTCGTGGTTGACAAAGCGCCGGTCGGGCCGACCCAGCGGGGCTACACTCGAGGAGGAGCGAAAACAATGAGCAACATCGATTCCACTCCGGAATTCGTGCGGGAAACCTACCGCAAGATGGACGAAAAACTGACCCAGGTGCGGGCCAGGCTCAACCGCCCGCTGACTATGACCGAGAAGGTGCTGCTATCCCACCTGGACGACGTCGACGACGCCGATTTGCGCCCGGGCGACAGCTACATCAACCTGCGGCCCGACCGAGTGGCCCACCAGGACGTCACCGGGCAGATGGCCATCCTGCAGTTCATGCAATCGGGCCGCGACCGCGTCGCCGTCCCGACCACCGTCCACTGCGACCACCTGGTTCAGGCTCGCGTTGGCGCGGACTCCGACCTCCAGGATGCCCTCAACGAGAGCAACGAGGTCTACCAGTTCCTGGAATCCTCCAGCCGCCGCTACGGCATGGGCTTCTGGAGGCCCGGTTCCGGGATCATCCACCAGGTAGTGCTGGAAAAGTACGCTTTCCCCGGCTCCCTCATCATCGGCACTGACTCCCACACCGTCAACGGCGGCGGCCTGGGTTCCCTGGCCATCGGCGTGGGCGGGGCGGACGCGGCGGACGTGATGGCCGGCCTCCCCTGGGAGGTGCGCTATCCTCGCATCATCGGCGTCAAGCTCACCGGTTCCATGAGCGGTTGGACGGCCCCCAAGGATGTCATCATCAAGTTGGCCTACGAGCTGACCGTGTCGGGCGGCACCAACGCCATCATCGAGTACTTCGGCCCCGGCACCGCCTCCATTTCCGCCACCGGCAAGGGCACCATCTGCAACATGGGAGCCGAGCTGGGAGCCACCGGCGACGTGTTCCCCTACGATGAGCGCATGGCCACCTACCTCCGCGCCACCGGCCGCGGAGACCTCGTTGCCATCGCGGAAGAGTATGTCCACCTGCTCCAGTCGGACCCAGAGGTCGAGCAGCAGCCGGAACAGTTCTACGACCAGATTGTGGAAATCGACCTGTCAACCCTAGAACCCCACGTCACCGGACCCCACTCGCCCGACCGGGCGCGGCCGATTTCCGAGTTAGCCGCCGAGGTGCAGCGGGAGGGTTTCCCGGAGCGAGTATCCGTGGCGCTGGTCGGCAGCTGCACCAACTCCTCGTACGAAGACATGGAACGCTGCGCCGACGTAGCCCGCCAGGCCGCTGCCCGGGGTGTTTCCGCCGCTTCCGGCCTGCTGGTAACCCCCGGTTCCGAGCAGGTCCGCGCCACCATCGAGCGCGACGGACAGCAGGCTGCGCTGGAAGCCATCGGCGCCACCGTGCTGGCCAACGCCTGCGGTCCCTGCATCGGCCAATGGAACCGACCGGAAGCCCGCGGCACCGAAAACAGCATCGTCACCTCCTACAACCGCAACTTCCCCAGCCGCAACGACGGCAACGCCGGCACCATGAACTTCATCGCCAGCCCCGAGTTGGCCGTGGCCATGGGGTTGGGCGGCAGCCTGGCGTTCAACCCGCTCACCGATCCGCTGGTGGATGCCAACGGCAACGAGTTCATGCTCCAGCCGCCGACGGCGGCCCCGGAAGTGCCGCCCACCGGCTTCGACCCGGGCGTCGATATGTACGTAGAGCCGCCGGAAGATGGCAGCGACGTCGATGTCCGCGTCGACCCCAGCAGCAACCGTTTGCAGGTGCTGGATCCGTGGGCGCCCTGGGACGGCAACGACTTTGAAGACGTGCCCATCCTGGTGAAGACCGAGGGCAAAACGACCACCGACTCCATCTCTCCGGCAGGTCCGTGGCTGCGCTTCCGTGGTCACCTCAACAACCTGAGCGACAACATGTTCCTCGGCGCCAACAACGCCTATACCGACGAAACCGGAACCGGCAAGAACCAGCTCTCCGGCGAGGAGATCATGCCGATACCGGAGATCGCCCGCGCGTACAGCGCCCAGGGCATCCGCTGGGTCGCCATCGGCGACGAGAACTACGGCGAGGGCTCCAGCCGCGAGCACGCCGCCCTGTCGCCCCGAATGCTGGGCGCCGCGGCCATCATCACCCGCAGCTTCGCCCGCATCCACGAGTCCAACCTCAAGAAGCAGGGGCTGCTGCCCCTCACCTTCGAGGACCCGTCGGACTGGGATCGCATCCTGGAAGACGACCGCATGAGCCTCGTGGGCCTCAGCGACCTGACCCCCGGTCAGCCGGTGCAGGCGGTCCTCAAGCACGCCGACGGCTCCGAGGAGACGCTCAACCTGCGTCATACCCTCAACGACCCCCAGATCGCGTGGTTCCGGGCCGGCAGCGCCATGAACCACATGAAGAACCTGGAGGGAGCCGGCAGCTAGCCAGATTCGAACCTGGAACGACCCGGGGCGTCTGCGCGAGCAGGCGCCCCTACGTTTTTACAGCGCTGCCGCGCTTGATCCGTTCCTTGCTCGCGTTCGCCGGCCGGTGGTATGGTATTGACCATGACCACGCCAATCACCAATGAAGACATCGTCCAAATGTTCAACAACATGGCGGCCATGTTGGAGATCAAGGGCGATACCGTCTTCAAGATTCGCGCCTACCAGCGCGCCGCCAACACCATTGAACAGCTCAGTTGGTCGCTGGCCGCAGCGGCCGCCGCCGGCGATGACCTGAAGAAAATCCCGGGTGTCGGCAAGGCCATCAGCGAGAAGGTCCAGGAGTATGTGGCCACCGGACACGTGGCCGCCTACGACCGTCTCGCCGAGGAACTGCCGGCCAACGTTCTGGACCTGCTGGAAGTTCCCGGCATGGGCCCCAAGACCGTCAAAGGCGCCGTGGTCGAGCTCGGCATCGGCTCGGTCGCCGAGCTGGAGCAGGCTGCGTTGGATGGCCGTCTCGCCCAGCTGCCGCGCATGGGCAAACGCTCCGCCGCAAACATCCTCCGACACATCCAGGCCCAGCGATCCCGCTCCGACCGCACCCCGCTGGGCATCGCTTCCGAGACCTGCGCCGCCGTGACCGCCCAGTTGTTCGACGCCTGCTCCGGTTTGGTGAGCATCACCCCGGCCGGCTCGCTGCGCCGGTGGGAAGAAACCATCGGCGACCTGGACCTCATTGCCGTTTCGGACAACCCGGCCGAAACCGGACCAGCCCTCGCCGCCCTGCCCTCCGTCCGTGAGGTGCTGGTGCAGGGAGATTCGAAGACCTCAGTGGTGGTTGACCCCGGCATCCAGATTGACCTGCGCATCGGTGAGCCCGACGCAATGGGCGCGATGCTCCAGTATTTCACCGGCAGCCAGCAGCACAACATTCGGCTGCGCGACTACGCCAACCGCCGGGGCCTGTCGCTGAACGAATATGGCATCACCGTAATCGAAAGCGGCGAAACCGAACGCTTCCCGGACGAGGCGTCCTTCTACCATCGGCTGGAGTTGCCCTGGATCCCGCCGGAACTGCGCCGCGGCGCCGACGAACTGGACGCCGCTCGCTCCGGAAACCTTCCCAACCTGGTCACCGAGACCGACCTACGCGGCGACCTGCACCTCCACAGCGACTGGAGCGATGGCAAGTTCCCGCTGGAGGAGATGGTTGCCGCCGTCGCCGCCATGGGTTACGAGTACATGTCGCTTACCGACCATTCCCAGGGCCTTGGTGTCGCCAACGGGCTGACGCCAGACCGTCTCGCCCGCCAGGTCGAGATACTGAGGAGCCTCCAATCCCGGTACGACATGACCATCCTCTGCGGCTCCGAGGTGGATATCCGCGCCGACGGCGCCATGGACTTCCCCGACGACGTGCTGGGCATGTTGGATTGGGTCATCGCCTCCGTCCATAACGCCATGAGCCAGGACCGTGAGACCATGACCCGGCGCATCACCCGTGCCATGGAGAATCCTCACGTAAGCGTCATCGGGCACGCCTCGACACGCCTGCTCGGCCGTCGCGATCCGGTTGAGTTCGACATCGAGGCCCTGCTGCAAACCGCCCGCGAAACCGGCACCGCCATGGAAATCAACGCTGCTCCGGAGCGCCTCGACCTCAAGGACACGCACGCGGCCCGCGCCCGTGAACTCGGCGTACCGCTGGTCATCAACACCGACTCTCACCACGTCGACGGGTTGACGAACCGCACCTTCGGCGTGGCCGTCGCCCGTCGCGCCTGGTGCGGCCCGGAGCACATCCTGAACACCTACCCGGCGGAAGAGTTTCTCGCGTGGCTCCGCGCGCCCAAGAGGCAGCGACCCGACCGTTTCGCGGCTATGGCAGAGGCTCGCAGCGCCGCGGCATCCCGACCATGACCTTTACGGTGGACGACACCGGTGTCACGGTCGTCTCGCCGGCGCTTGGCGAGGGTGGTGCGCTACCCGAACACGACCACGTCATTGCGCGGCTGCGTTCCCGCGCCGGCCGTACCGATCCGTGGCACATTGCCCTGCTGGACGCCATCGGCCGCTGGAGCCTGCCTCACGAAGACCTGTGGGGCAGGCGCTGGCACTACGTGATCGGCGGCGAAGCGCTGGACTGGATTACGCTGGCCCATCGTCTTTGCCTGTCCATCCCCGACGCCGTGCCGCCCGAGGAACTGGAACCTCTGCTGTTCTACGGCCGCTTGCCCGAAGACATCGGCCCCGAGCGGTTCCGCCAACTCATCGGGCCCTACCGATACACCGCCCACTTGAATTTCTGGTACGGCGTGGTGGTCGAAGAGGCTCTGCAACTGGTGACCGAAGACTCCATCCGCAAGACCCGATTCGCCCGTTGCTACGGCGACAGCGACGACGTGGTCGAGGAATCCTACCGGCATCTGTACGGCGAGACCCGTACCAACCTCGTTCCTGCATTCCTCTCCGATGCCGGCGGAACCTGGGGGTCACGAACCGCAATCTCTTTCCCTGGTCGCCTGGCAGGAGTTCACCTACTGGCTGTTCAAGCGTCGGATCCGCAAGTGGCATCCCGCCCGCGTGGCCAGTGATACCCGACGCGGCCTGGAGCGGCTCCGCGAGCTGCGCGACGATGAGAGTTCCTCCGACCCTGGCCACCTGATCGCCAACTACGCCGACCTGCCCGCGTTGCAAGCAATAAAATAGGGGCGATGTAAATCGCCCCTAAATCGTTGTAACCGCGGTGGTGAGTGTGCGTTTACAGTCCGTACACCTTGCGGTAGCTGAGGCTCATCCGCTTCCGTTCGGTGTCGATGCTCAGGATCTGCACCTTGATCAATTGGCCCTGGTAGACGATCTCCCGCGGGTGCTCCATCCGGCGCGCTGACAGTTCGGAGATGTGCACCAGGCCCTCGACCCAGTCTTCCAACTTCACGAACGCGCCAAAGTCCATCAACCGCGTAACCGTCCCGTCCACGATGTCGCCAACGTGGTAACGTTCCGGTACGGTGTCCCAAGGCTCCGGCTGGGTCCGCTTCAGGCTCAACGAGATCTTGCTGTTCTCCCGGTCCACCCGCAGCACCTTGAGCGTCAGGTCGTCGCCCACGCTGACCACTTCCTCCGGCGACTTTATCATTGCCCAGGACAGCTCCGAGATGGGCACCAGCCCTTCCGCGTCGCCCAGATCGACAAACGCGCCGAACCCGCGCATCGACCGGACCGTGCCCTGCACGATCTGGCCTTCCTGCAGCTCTTCCAGCAAGCGCTCCTTGGCCGCGTTGCGCAACTGACGCCAGATCCGGCGCTCGGTCAGCACCAACTTTTCACGCTGGGCGTCCAACTCCAGGATGTTGAAACGGGCGTCCTCGCCGATTCGGGCATCCAGGTGTTCGACACGGCCTTCCTTTGGCACCGGCGCCATTTGGGAAAACGGGAACAAAGCCGCGTACTCCCTCCCAGTCAACCACCAGACCGCCCTTGTTGTGCTGAACCACCTTGGCCGCGAGCTCAGAGTCCTGCTTGTGCATCTCGATGAGTTCTTCCCAGACCTGCTTTTCCTGTGCTTGGTCGTAGGAGAATACGGCCATTCCTCCGGGCCCGCGATTGTTCAGGTGAATGACAATCACGTTGGAGCCCGGCTGCATCTGCTCCCGCTTCTCGTCGGTGAGTGTCCGCATCTCCTGCGGCGGAACGATTCCCTCGGTCTTGAGGCCGGCGCTGATGACCATACCCTCATCATCGATGCGCACTATCTCGCCGGTCACCAAGTCGCCCCTCCGGTACTCCCTCGGCGAAAACGCCGATTCTGGGAGCTGGGACATGTCGGTGATTTCGACTACGTTCGGGTCCTGGGCTACCATCAGTTAAGCTGCTCCTTACTCTTGCTTACGGCCGGTTGGCGAGGCCGCATAGGTCGAGCAGGTACTTCGTTCTCGCTTGGATCACTTTCCCCACAATTCGCCTGCCTAATAATACTTATACCGCACGCAAATTGCAACCGCAAAACCCGAGGGACGCTGTATGCCCCATTTCATGGCTGCCTGACCGCGATCCGGGCGGGCGAGACTATTCGTGGCGGGCACATATCCAAACCAACAGCAAAGGTTCGAAAACATGTTGGGAATTCCAGTATTACAAGGAAAGGTTATGGAGGGGCGTTGGTAGATGCGACGGTTGCAGCGCGGCGTTTCTCCCGGGGACAGCCCATCCCCCGATAGGGCAGCTTGTGCCATCAATGACACCATCCTGTCGCCATGTTACGAACTTACGCTCTATCATTCGCTCTATCATTGATCTGCAGGTGATAAAAACCTTTCCACGACCAGGTGACTGGCGCTCACCGCCAACCCTATCAGCGCCCAAGTCGCAATCGGCCTGGCAGACGACTGTCTCGGTCGGATCAATCGAGGTAGGCCCTCGGCCACCGCGCCCGCCACCGCGCGCCATGCTCGGCCCGGTGCCCAATCCATTGAAAATGAGAGCAACCCCCACGGCGTCATTCCTACGGCCGTAGGGCTGATGTTCGCTGGGAACCTGGGCAGCACTCTCTATAACATCGCTGGTACACCCTGACATTTGGGACGCAGTCCATAGCAGCACCTGCTTGGATACTCTCCGGCGGCAACGGCCAATCGCCTGTTGCTTGCCGCCGCACCGATCCCAACCCATACGCAAATCTGCTAGAGTGGCCCGGTGACATATCGCCTGCAGGAAACCCCAATCGACCAGATCCCCAAACGTGGGAGGTTCAAATGGCAAGAACAAGTGGAGGCGGATTCCGGGGTGGTGCTCGTGGGGGGTCGAAGAGTAGCTTCGGGGCTGCCAGCAACGGTGGTCGGAGAAGCACGGGCCGAAGCAGCTCTGGTCGCAGCGTTAAGGGGAACAACCCAAAGCAACGACGGTTCCGCCAAGAAAGGTGCCCGAAGCAGCGCATCCGGCAAGAACGTGGTCGCGTATTCGCTGTACGACTCCAGAGGCAAGCGCACATATATCGGATCTACCAACAACCCGGCCCGCCGAGCAACGGAGCACTCAAAGTCTGGCAAATTGAAAAGCGGAGGGTCGTTGGTGGTCGAATCGCCGCGCATGAACCGTTCTGATGCCCAACGTTTGGAAGCGAAAAAACTGGACGGTTACAAACGCCGGACTGGAAGGCTGCCTAAAGGGAACACAGCTCCGAACGGGCAATTTCGCCTGTTTTGAAACCGGGACGGGCTGTTCGGCTTTTGCCGGCTGCCACCTAGTTCCTGAGTTCGTCCATTACTCCCGCTTCGGTAAGCGACCTCCCATTCTCGTCTTTGAGGGCCCTTTGAAAACCCTCACGATTCGCTGTTTGCAGTCGCCAGGTGTTGTGGCGTAACGGGTTCGGAAACGCGGTAGTGCAAACATGCTCACGCTTGACATCCCCAAATGCCCAAACATAGAATGGTAGGCCGTTTGGGAGATTACCGAAATGGATTACGCAATCGTTAAAACCGGCGGCAAGCAGTACCGCGTCTCGCCCGGCGATGTGCTCGACGTCGAGTTGCTGGAAGTCGAAGAAGGCAACACCACCGAGCTGGATCAGGTGCTCGCCGTGTCGCTCGACGGCCAGATGCGCTTCGGCGCGCCCACCGTGGACGGGGCCAGGGTCATCGCCGAGGTCCAGTCCCACTACAAAGATCGCAAGATCATCGTTTACAAGTACAAGGCCAAGACCCGATACCGCCGCAAGAAGGGGCATCGGCAGAACTACACTCGTATCCGCATTCAAGACATCGCGACCGGATACGACTCCGAGCCCGAGGCCGTTCACGAGCCCGAGGCCGTTCACGAGCCCGAGGCCGCGCACGAGCCCGAGGCCGTTCACGAGCCCGAGGCCACGCACGAACCCGAGGCCGTTCACGAGCCTGAGACCGCGCACGAACCCGAGGCCACGCACGAACCCGAGCCGCACGACCGAGATCGGCACGAACCCGAGGCCGCACGAACCCGAGGCCGTTCACGAGCCCGAGGCCGCGCACGAACCCGAGGCCACGCACGAACCCGAGATCGCGCACGAACCCGAGATCGCGCACGAGCCCGAGGCCGTTCACGAGCCCGAGATCGCACACGAGCCTGAGGCCGTTCACGAACCCGAGATCGCGCACGAGCCCGAGGCCGTTCACGAGCCCGAGGCCGTTCACGAACCCGAGAACGGATCCGAGACCCAGACCGGAGGATAGAGACATGGCCCACAAGAAGGCCGGCGGCAGCACCAACAACGGCCGCGATAGCAACGCCAAGCGACTCGGCGTCAAGAAATACGGCGGCGAACGGGTCACCGGCGGTTGCATCATCGTCCGCCAGCGCGGCACCCGCATTCACCCCGGCACCAACGTCGGCATGGGCCGGGACCATACCCTGTTCTCCAAGATCGAGGGACAGGTGACCTACGAATGGCTCGCCAGGGGCAAGCGCCGGGTCAGCGTGTATCCGATGGCCGACGCCGTCGCCACCGCTGCGTAGAGGCTATAACCAGAGGCTACAACATGAAAGCAGAAATCCATCCCCAGTACTTCAAGGCCACCGTCACCTGCTCCTGCGGGAACGTCTTCGATACCGGCGCCACCAAACCGGCGCTCCGGGTCGAGATTTGCGGCAAGTGCCACCCCTTCTATACGGGTGAGCAGCGCATCGTCGACACGCAGGGCCGAATCGAGCGTTTTAGCCGGCGCTTCAACCTTGACGGTTAGCCCTACGCGCAAAGACCACCATGCTGCGGGAGCCTCAACCGGCTCCCGTTTTGCTATTGCCCCGCCTCTTCTCGCTCACCGCCAGCAACGACCATCCCTGTCGGACATCGCTTGAACTGCTCTCCCCGTGCGTCGTCGTGAGGAACCCTCAACCCTACCGTCATTGCAAGGTGCGCAGCGACGCGGCAACCTCGCCGCGCCACGCTCGTAACCGCATCCCACCGACCCGGGAGGCAGACCGATGACGCGCTACGTGCCCAAAACCGTCCGCGAGTACGGTCGCATCCATTTGGCGGAACGCCTGGCCGAGTACGGCTGGCAGTGCTTCATCGCTCGCCGCAGCCCCAATGAGGACGAAGTGATCGCCGGGATCCCCGAACAATCTCGAGAAGTCCGGTTGAAGTTCCACTCACAGGAACATCGCCAGGCCGTGCGTTTCTACGATGCCGACGGCCTCGATTGGGACTGGGAGTACCTGGTCATCAGCACCGAAATCCTGGCGGACCTTCCGGTAACGTACCTGCTCTCTCGGAACGACGTCCGCGACCAGGGCCGGCTGGAGGAGGAGTTCGGCGGAGCCCTGTGGCTGCAGCCCGACGCCTTCTCCGAGACGCTATTCCAGGAAGCGTGGCACAAGCTGGATGGCTAGTTCCCCCACAGACTCCCAGCCCGCCGGCCCCCGGTCCGCTCCGCCGTTGTACGGCGGCCAGGCGGTGATCGAAGGCGTGATGATCCGCGGGGTGCGCCACTACAGCCTGGCGGTGCGTCAGCCCGATGGCGGCATCTTCTGCGACACCGAGCCCGTCAGCTCCCGTTTCTCCGGGCGCATCCGGCGTGTCCCCTTTGTGCGGGGTGTCTTGATCCTGTCCGAAACGCTATGGTACGGCATGAAATCGCTGCAGCGTTCCGCCATCATCGCCGCCGGTGAAGCCGACGGCCCTGACGCCGGCGGCTCGTCCGCCAGCAAGTGGGTTATGGCACTGACCATGGCGGTTGCCCTGGCCCTCGGCATTGGCATATTCCTGGTGCTTCCCCTCCTGGCCGTCCGCCTCATCGACCCGTTCCTCGAATCCTCCGTGGTGAGCAACCTCATCGAGGGCGTGATCCGGTTGGTCATCCTGGTGGCTTACGTGGGCGGCATATCCGCCATGAAGGACATCCGCCGCGTCTACGCCTACCACGGCGCCGAGCACATGGCGGTCCATGCCTACGAAGCGGGTCATCCGCTCACGGTGGAAAACGTGCGCCGGCACCCCACACCTCACCCCCGTTGCGGAACGGCCTTTCTGCTCACCGTGGCCGTGGTGTCCGTCCTGGTGTTCGCCCTGCTGGGCCGCCCGGACCTCGAGTGGCGCATCCTCTCCCGCATCGCGCTGATCCCGGTGGTGGCGGCCGTCAGCTACGAGATCATCCGGTTCGCCGGCGCGCACCGCCAGGCGTGGTTCGGGAAGGCCATCGCCGCGCCCGGACTAGCCCTCCAGCTGATCACCACCCGCCAGCCCGACGAGGACCAGATCCAGGTCGCCATCGCCGCCATGGAAGCCGCCCTGGCAGCCGACCGGGCGACATCGCCGGACCTTGCCGAAAACCAGGCGTAGGCCGCAAACCAGCATCCGCCCCTGCCCGATGGGCGTTCGTTGGTGTGATACAGTAGCGCGAACCGGTTGACGGTGTCACGCCCGACAGTGCAGGTGCAGCATGGCCGACGTTCCCGACATGCAGATGATCCCCTACCTCACGGCCACGGAGCCACGCAACTTCGTGGAGCAGGGGCTCCAGCGTTACAACGAACTGCTGGAACGGCTGGCGGAGCAGATGGACGTGCTGCTGCTTCGGGCCCAGCAGGGCGAGCCCATCGACGCCGGTCTGACTGAGCAGTTGTCAGCCCTGCGCGAAGCCCTGCGCCCCAGGCACGGCCTGTGCATCGACCGCGCCTGCTTCTCCTGCCGCGTCCACGAAGAAGCCATCAAGGAACACGTCCTGCTCTACGTCGACTGGAAACTGCCGGGGACCGTCCAGCAGCTGGAACGCCTCAAGAACCGGAACTAGTCCCGTTTCCCGGAACTAATCCCGTTTCAATGAACCCTCGGGGAGCGCGCACATGGTGACGAAATCCGGCAATAAGGTTTTTGACACTCCGCGCGTGCCGGAGGAAGACTCCAATATCTTCTATCCCGAGGATGACGATGAACCCATGGCCGAAAACGACGCTCAACGCCGGGCACTGATCGATACCAGCGAGACCCTGATCGAGCATTTCGCCGAACGCACGGATGTGTATGTGTCGGCCGACATGTTCATCTACTACGAGATGGATAACCCCAATCGAAAGGTGGCCCCCGACGTCTTCGTGTCCTTCGGCGTTTCCGACCACTGGCGCGGTTCTTACTTCACCTGGCGCGAGGGCAAGGCTCCGGACTTCGTGCTGGAAGTCGCCTCGCCGGGGACTTGGGCCAGGGATGCCGCCGAAAAGCGTGACATCTACGCGGCGATGGGCGTGACCGAGTACTGGCGATTTGACCCCAATCGCGGAGAGTTTTTTCTGCCTCCCTTGATCGGTGAGCGGCTGAACTTACGCAGTGAGTACGACCCCATTCCCTTGACCGAGGTCGATGGCATCTTGCGTGGGCACAGCTCGGCGCTGGGGTTGGACATCTGCGTGCGCGAACATGAAATCCGGTTGTACGACCCGACCGGTGGGTCTTGGCTGCGCAACCATCGCGAAGAGGCCGCAGCCCGTCGCATCGCGGAAGAACGCGCTGAACATGCCCAGGAGCGCGCTGAACATGCCCAGGAGCGCGCTGAACATGCCGAGGAACGCGCTCAACTCTTGGAGCGCTTACTCCGCGAGCGCGGGATCACCCCGCCCGGCGGCGGATGAGCCTGTTCGTCCGGCTCGATAACCCGGCGCTCACCCCGCCGGCTGACGCGCCACCGCCACGATGTGGAACATGTGGCGGAACAGTTGCAGGGAGCCCCGCAGCAGCGACTTGAGGTCCCGGTTGGCATCAGGGCGGACGTGCCGGAAGATGTCGGTCTCGGTGTAGTACACCTCGACGTCGGGCCGCTGCTCCTCCAGCGCGTCAACCAGTCGTCGCGACTCCCCCACGGGTATCAGCGGGTCGCCGACATCGTGCATGACGCGCATCGCCGTGTCGCTGCTCCACTGCTCCACGTGGTGCGATGGCGCTATGGAATCGACCCGGGTGCGGAAGTTGTCCGACAACTGCGCGTACCGCCATCTCGCCATGCCGATGTAGTCGACTCCGGCCAACATGGCAAACGCCGCCTCGGTGGATAGTGGGAGCCGGCCGTCGGGGTCATAGCCGCTACCGCCGGCAATGGCCCGCGCCGCCTCCTGATGCGCCGGGTCGTCGATGGAATCGATGAGCATGTTGTTGTAGACGCGGCGTGTCAGCCGGTCCACCGCCCAATCCCTCTCGCCGCGCTCGTCCATGGCTTTGCCCGCGGCAATTTGGACGATCAAATCGGCCGCATCATAGTACCCGCCGAACGCGTTGACGAACGCGATATCGTCGGCTATCCGCGGGTCGGCCGCCGCCACCAGGGCAAAGGACGCTCCCACCGAGAAACCGGCCAGTCCGACGCGCTGCGGGTCGACGTAGTCCTCCTCGCGCAGGTGTTCAAAGGCCGCCACCAGGTTGCCGATCTCCCCGGCGTCGACCTGGGCCTTTTCTCCCATGGTCGGCGACCAGTAGTACATCACCGCAAAGCCGGCCCGCGCCAGCGCCTGCCCCAGGTTGATGACGTCGGGGTCGTCGGCGCCGGCGGCGTTGGCTCCCAGGAACACCAGCAGGCCGGCGCGTCGCTTTCCCATCGGGAATTACGTAGACGTCGGCCTGCCCATCGGTCCCGTCATCCCGACGAAACGATATTTCCCGGTGCTCCGGTTCGGACGCCAGCCACGGCTGGATCTTGACCGGCGACGGCAGCACCTGGGCGGCGAATGCGGCGGTGTGGATGGCGGTGGTAGCCGGTCGGAACAGGGTCAGCACGGCGACCATCACAACGCCGGCCGCGATGGCAATCAGGTACCAACGGTAAGCAATCCGTCCCAGGGTGCGTGACATAGCCTTTGCAGCTTGCCATGCTACTACGATCACGGCAAGAGCGTATCACCTACCCCACGAGATACTGACGAGTGAGAATCATCCGGGCGAATTGCGGATGATCGTCCTGCAAACGTCAGTCAATCCCGGGGAGCTACGTTCACCTGCAGGTAGCTGGGGTCCCGCAAATCAGCAGAACTGATCTTTGTTGTGATATCGCTAATATCACCGATTTCCAACGTAAATGGTTCGTCACCCTCCTGACCGGTTAGTAACGCAAACCGATATTCTCGTTGGCGTTCATATTGATCCTGTTTCAAAATGCCGCTTCAATGTCACGGAAACTACCGTGAAACGTCTCGGGGTCGTAGTACTTGACCAATCCCCGAAAGTAAAGGTAATTGCACGTCTGAATTGCTGCGTCCATTCTCTTCAAGAATTCAGTCACGTTGGTGACCAGCACAGCGTATTTGCCGAGTTGCAGGCAAGTTTCCGGAATCAACAGCGCACTCCGCAGTTCCTCGATATCATCCGTTGACAGACGCCGCACGTCCAGGGTGCCGGTATGCCCGGCAACCATACAGAACAGACGGACGTGATTCAACCAGTACATCTGCAACTGTACTGGCGCAGCCAATCCGGTGAAATTGATGCCAGACATTTGGATGTCTACCTCGTCCGGCTGCAACCATGCGGTTGTGCCTTCATCATTATCGAAACGGCCGGAAGCATCCTTGTCCTTCATCTTTTTGAACGTGCGCAGCGTGTTGCAGTAGACCTTACCTCTGACAAAATCGTCAGCATATTTCTCTTTCTCAAAGAATTTTGCCAAGCTGATTATGGTGCTCAACAGTGTACCTCCGTATCCGAAACTCCCTGAGCGAGTGTCCCTCTAAACGAACTGGCAAAAAGCGTACCAGCGTTAGTTGTTCGACAAATAAGCGTACCACTCAAAGACATTTCATCGGTCGGAACACAAGGGTGAGCGTGAACCCTACACCCGCACCCGGCTTATCATCGCGGCGGAGATCAGCCGCGTCGCCGCCATGACCAGGAACACAATGGGCCAGGGGCTGCCGGCCATGTCCAGCAGCACGCTGAACAGCAGGGCCTGGGCACCGGCATAGAGGTAGCCGTGGGCGTCGAGCACTCCCGCCCCGGTGCCGGCCATCTTGCGGCCCGACAGGTCCACGGAGATGGTGGAGATCAGGGATACGCCCATGCTGATGCCACCCCACAGCATCAGGGCCGCGCCCAGCCACGCGTTGGACGGCGGGGCAACGGCAATCACCACCAGCGCGGCGGCGGACAGGAAGCACGAAGCGATCACCAGCGGGCGGCGCCGGCTGCCCAGCATCCGGTCCGATATGAATCCGGACACCGGAGGCGCGATCAGGTAGCCCAGGGGCAGCAGGAAAGTGATCAGCACCGTCTGCGTGATGTCCAACCCGCCAGCCTCGAAGTAGTAGAGAGGCACCCACGTGGTCAGCCCGTAGCGGGCCACGTTCTCCAACCCCTTGACGTGGCAGGCCAGCTGGAACCGGGAGTTGGTCAGCAGGACCTTGTACGGTCCCAGGCCCTTGAGTTCCTCCTCGCTCACCGACTCCGGCGCGGCGGAAATCGCGTCCTCCTCGATGTACTCCGGCAGGCCCACGTCCCGCGGCCGGTCCCGGGTCAGAAAGTAAAAGGCGATGCCGAGGACCATGATCATCAGCGGCGGGTAGCGGAAGGCGGCCCGCCAGCCCCATTCCGCGGCGACCCAGCTGCTCAGCCACCACATCAGCAGCATCGCGCCGCCGGTCACCGTGCCCAGGATGCCCATGGCGATGCCGCGCTCCCGGCGAGGCCACCACTGGCTGATCATGCTGATGGCCGGCGACCAGCACGCCGCGTTGACAAATCCGGCCATTGCCCACGGAATGGCCATGGTTATCGCAGAGGTGCCGAAGGATGTCGCCCAGTTGAACACCGTGGTGAAAACCGCGCCCAGCATCACCCAGAGCCGCAGCCCGTAGGCCTCGGATAACCTGCCGTGCACCAGGTCGCCCAACATGAACCCCCACAGCAGCATGGCGTTGATGATGCCAATCTCGATGTTCGTCAGCTGCAGGTCGTCCTTGATCAGGGGCGACGTGGGCCAGAAATTGAACCTCCCCGTATAGACGAACAGGTAGAAGGCGCAGAACGAAACCAGCACCCGCCACTTCCACCGGTGGTACCGGCGGGGCAGCGCATCATAGGCGACCGGGCCGGATACCTCGGCGGCTGCGGACGGCGCGGGGTGGTGCGGGGATGCCACGAAAGGTAGCTCCGAAAATGATAAACCGCCGCTGCCGGGTCATCGGCAGCGGCGGTGATGCCTGGGCGCTATCTGATTAGCGCTTGGTGTGCAGCAGTTCCTTGGCCTCGCCCAGCAACTCATCGTCGGTGCGGCTGAGGTCCAGCGGGTCGCCGTGGGGCTGCGGAACCGGGAAACCGGTCTTGTAGTACAGCTCAACGCGGTTGCCTTCCGGATCAAAGAAGTACATTCCGAAGGCGTTGCCGTGGCTGACGATCCGGTCGATGGTCACGCTCTCAGCGTCGATGCGCGCCTTGTATTCGCGCATATCCTGGATGGAAGGAACGGCGAAGGAGATCTGCTGGATGACCTTGGCGTCGTCGGAGGTGACGCGGCCTTCCATCAGCACGAACTCATGGTGCTCGGCCACGGGGTCGGAACTGAGGAACACCATGCGGCGCTGTTCCAGGTCTTCGTCGGCGATCTGCAGCCCGAGCACACGGGTGTAGAAGTCGCGCATGTTCATAAGGTCAGTGGCGTAAATGCCAACGTGGCCAAGGCCAGCGATCTGTGCCATGAGGGTACCTCCTGCGGAGTTCTGAATGTTGGCGCAAAGGTAGACAGGCAACGCCGGGTGTCAAGCCGGCGGCCGGGACCACTACCGCAACTGCACCACCGTTACGCCGCCGGCGTTGCCGCCCTCTCCTGGCTCGGTGGCGGCTACCAGGGGGATGGCCGGACAGGTATTCGCGTATGGCCCGGCGCAGCGCGCCCGTACCCTTGCCGTGCACGATCTTGAGCGACGACATCCCCTCCAGCGCGGCATCGTCTAGCAACGAATCGATCACGTTCAGCGCCTCATCGACGCGGTAGCCGTGGAGGTTGACCTCGGGGCTCAGCGTGCGTTTGCTTTCGGGCCGTCGGTAGACCACGCCGGCCTGCTCCGCCGCCGGATGGATCCGCTCCGCCGGACGGTCGAGCTGATAGACCGGCAGGCGGGCGCGCATGCTGCCGATCAGCACCTCGACTTCCTGCTGCTGGTCGGGCGGGGTCACCACTTCCACCGGACGGGACACCCCACGGATGTACACCAGGTCGCCGGTGCGAAGATCGTGGTACCAGGGCGGCCGTTCCACCGGAATCGGAGCCCAATCGGGGGACACCACCTCCCGCTGCGCCTCCGCCAGCCGCTCCCGTTCGGCGCGCAGATCCACATCGCGTGCCGGGGCGTCGACGCCGACGGATGAACGTTCCAGGGACCGCTCGGCGCGGCGGATCCGGCCGGACAAGTCGCCGATCTGCTCAGCGAGCTCGCGGCGGGCATCCTCCACCAGCTGGGCCTTGGTGTCCTCTACGGTCTCCAGCTCGCGGGCGATCTCCTGCTCCCGGGCGCGGGCGCCGTTCAGGGCCTGCTCCGCCTGCTGGCGCAGCTCCGATACGGTGAGCCGCTCGTCCTGGAGTTCCTGGAGCAGTTGGTCGGTGCGAACGTGGCCCGGTTCCAGGTGGGCCTGGGCGCCGGTGATGACCGCATCCGGCAGGCCCAACCGGGCGGCTATGGTCAGGGCGTAGCTGCGGCCTGGGATGCCGTGGGTGAGCCGGTAGGTTGGTTCCAGCGTTCGCGGGTTCAGGTCCACGCTGGCGTTGACCATCCCCGTCTCCTCCTGGGCCAACCGCGCCACGTTGCGGTGGTGGGTGGTGGCCACCACCATGGCTCCCCGGTCGCGCAAGTGAGACAGCAGGGCGATCGCCAATGCCGACCCTTCTTCAGGATCGGTTGCCGAACCCAGCTCGTCGATCAATATCAGGGAATGGTCGGTGGCAACGTCCATGATTCGTTGCAGGTTGCGGATATGGCTACTGAAGGTGGACAGCGACTCGAAGATGCTCTGCTGGTCACCGATGTCGGCGTACACCCCGTCCATCAGCGGCATCACGGCGTCGTCAGCCGGCACCTGGAGGCCGGCATGGGCCATCATGGCCAGCAGGCCCACGGTTTTCAGGGCGACGGTCTTGCCGCCCGCGTTGGGGCCGGTGATGACCAGCACGGGCTCACGCGCCGCGATGGAGATGGTGGTGGGCACAACCTCGCCGGTCAGCAGGGGATGGCGCGCGCCCGTGATCTCCATGCGACGCGGCTCGTTGCGTTGCAGCAGCGTGGGGGGCACGGCCCGCAGCGACGCCGCGTAGCGCCCCTTGGCCGCGGCCAGGTCCAGCCGCGCCAGCAGGGACAGCATGAGGGTTATATCGTCCGAGTAGCGGCCCACCATTTCCGACAACTGGCGCAGCACGCGCTCCTCCTCGCGTCGCTCGGCGAGGCGGGTCTCGCGCCAGCGGTTGCCCAGGTCGATGGCCGGCATGGGTTCGATGAACACGGTGGCCCCGCTATCGGAAACGTCGTGGACGATTCCGGGAGCCTGGCCCTTGAACTCGGTTTTGATGAGCAGGACCATGCGGCCGTTGCGCTCGGTGACGATGTCCTCCTGGGTAACGCCGGACCGCTGGTGCCGGCGCAGCGAACGCTGCATCACGTCGTTGAGGGAAGACCAGGCGTTGCGGGATTCCCGCCGGAGACGCCCCAACTCCGGTGAGGCGTCATCGAGCACTTCGCCGGCGGGACCGATGGCGCGGTTGACAGCGCTCTCAAAATCGGGCAATTCGGGCAGGTTCTGCGCGATGGCCGCCAGCACGGGGAGATCATCGCGGCGGGCCAGGGAACCGTGGTTCCAGCGGGCGGCCGCGGCCAGCGCGGCCACGAAGCGGAGCTCCTCGCCGCGCAGAACGCCGCCCAATACCGCGCGCTGGACCGCCGGCCGGAGATCCTCCTCCGGGCCGAGTTCCAGGGCGCCCGTGGTATCCATCAGGCGGCGGGCTTCGGCGGTTTCCTGCTGCCGCACGGCAACGTCGCGCGGGTCCGACGCTGGCGCGAGTTCGGCGGCGGCCTCGCCGCCCAAGGCGGTGCGGGTGGTTTCCGCCAGGCGCAGACGGATCTGATCGAATTCCAAAAGCCCGATGGCGCGCTGAAACCCCACCTCGGGCTGAAACCCCACCTGGGGTGGAATGGATTGATCCTCCGCCAATGTCATGGCGGAATTATAGCACCGCCGGTGCGATTACCTCGCTATTCGGGCCAGCTCAGGGGGTACAGTCGGCACTGGTAGAGCATGGCGCCAACTTCGTCCAGGGCAGCGCGATTGGGCTCACGGACGTCCAGACGGCGCTCCAGCGTTATCTGGGTCAGGCGGGACAACATCGGGCACTCCCGGAGAAAGCCGTTGACCGTCGCGGCTTCGCCTCCCAGGGCGACGTAGTCGAAACGGTGCATCCAGGGCCGCCATTGCGTCTCCAGCACGCCGGATGCCTCCGCGTACAGACGGTGGATCTGGTTTTCCCGGACGCGCTGGAACCTGCGCTGCGAGGTGCCTCCGGCGTGATGCTTGCCCTTCACGTAGCGGGTATCGGTCTTGGATACGGCCAACTTCCGGCCCTCGTAGACGGCGATGGCGTAGCGGCCCAGACGCACCAGGGCGACGCCGATGGTCAACTGCGCGGACAGCATGGTGCGCAAGGGCCAGTCATAGATCATGTCCCCGGCCCACATGGCATTCAGAGGAAACGGGGGAAGAACGGCCAGCCCGGCATTGCCGATGCGAAACGCAACCACGCCGGTGGGAGATCGCAAGACACGACTGCCTGCCTGCTCCAGCGTTGTGATCCAGGAATCCGGCGCCCTATCCCGTGACAGGGCGGACATGGCGGAGTCGTCGCCCGCGGCCTCGCCGGGGAAGTACAGGGTCGCCGACAGGCTGGCAGTCTCCGACCGCGCGCGGAGTTCGGTCAGCAGGGTATCCATGCGCTGCACCGACACCGTCTGTCCAGCGCGAACATTGAGGTCGGACAGTACACTCTCGTCGCGCATGACTAATGATAACCGATCGCGCGGCCGAAGCGCGTGATGGGATGTGCAATAATGCCCCGCCAGCGATAATGCACACAAAGTCGAAGGGGTTTTTCACTCGAAGGGGTTTTTCACTCGAAGGGGTTTTGCAATGGTTTCCCACGACATGCCCACCGATGCCGGTTCAGAAGCCCTGCCCGCTTACGAGCGCCAGCAGCGGACATTGCAGCGACTGGATGACGGGCACGCCGCGCTGCTGGATGCCCTGGATGGTCTGGGAGAGGCGGATGCGTTCCTGGGATCACGCTGGTCGGTCTGGGAGGTGATGCAGCACCTGCTCACGGAGACTTTCGTGGAGGCATTGGAGCAGATAGCCTCGGGCAAGCGGGAGATGCTGCCACCCTTCGATCCCCGCAACGATCGCATCGCCGCGGACGTGGCCAAGCTGGAGGCCAACTATCAGCGGTTCCGCAAGCTGATTTCAGGATTGACGGAGGAACAACTGGACCTGCCGGCCACCCCGTACAACCCGGAGAACAACTATCCCGCGTTGTCCCTGCTGGACCTGATTGAGCGGGTATCGGGCCACGAGGGGAACCACGCCCGGCAGGTGGTGGAAACGCGGAAGTACGTGACCGCGTTCCGGTCTGCCGAGCGGGCCATCACCGTGGCGGGGCTGGGCGCCGGCGACGGCGCCGCAGTGCCCACCGCGACACGGGAGCTGCTGTCCAACGCCGATTATGTCATCGGATCGGCGGCGGCACTGGCGGTGGCCCATCCGTGGATACGCTCGGTGGAGCTGGAACTACGCTCCGATAACCGTGAGGAGCTGGTCAACCGGCTGGTTCGCGATATCCGGGCCGGCCTGTGGTCGATGGTGGTGACGCTGGGGGATCCCGCGGAGTCCGCGCCGGGGTTGGTCAGCGAACTGGAGCAGGCGGTAGGCAAGGTTGCGACGGTCGCAGCGCCCGGATTTTACAGGCTGGCGCTGGAGCAGGCGGGCGTTTCTCCCCTGGCGGCGGTGTGCGCGTCGGTGGAACAGATCAAGCCGGGAACACCCGCGCCGGAGGGCGGACGTGCAATGGTCGTATTGGGCGCGGACGGAGCGGGTATGTGGCGGGACGCAGCGGCGACACTGACGAGTTCAGATGGCTGGGCGAGCGTGCCGGCGAGGCTGGTCCTGGGGCTGACGGGGCAACCCTCCGTGGCGACGACTTCGCTGCGCGACATCGCGGAAACCACGGCCGGCGAGAACGCCGCGGCGGTGGACTCGGCGCTGATACTGGGCGAGACACCAGCGCCCGCCTGACGCCTGGGCTCGCCCTGAAGGGGGCCGATACCTCCGATAGGGGGTACGCTGTTCCAAAGGAATTTGTTGGTCGTCTAGGGATGTTGTCACCGATGATCAAAACTCCGTGGGATTAGAAAGTTGGACGGTGGGTATTTGGTTCAGTTTACCGACACCGCGGAAACATTGTGGTGCCTTAACATTACTGATGGATGGTAGTCCGGCAGTAACCGGTACTGGTTGAAAGTTTGTGGGTGGTCGTGTCAAACTTTGGCATGATAGTGGCTGAGGACAACCATTTTGAAAGAGACCCTCGATTGGCGCGGGTACTGGGCTTGCTGTATACGGCGGCGGAACGGTACGCGGCAATCGGGGGCCGTGTGCAGGCGTGGGTTGATCCCGTTCTGGCGGCCAGGGTCCGAGAGGTCGAGTGGCAGATGGGGTTCTTGGAGGTGTCGCTCGTGCGCGGGTTTCGCAACGACCCTGGCCCCGGGATCGGCTCAGACGGTGTGACCTCTAGGGTAGAGAGAGGGTCCGAACGTTTGTTGGTCAAGGTAGACGCATTCAGCCAAATTGTAGAGCCCGTGCAGGATCCGTTTACTGTCGATGTTCAAGGGCGGCCTCGGTCGCTCTACCCTGGTTGGGGTGGACCGGGTTTTGGGCGGATGCTTCGACCTCGTGGCCTGATTAGCGATTCGGTTTTCAGCGTGCTCGGTCAAAACCGCGTTGGTGGTCGTGATGTCTTTGCCGTTGTGGCGCGTCCCAGGCGGCAATGGCATGAGACCGGTCAGGGTGATGTTTGGGGGGTGGAAAATGAGTGGTTTTTGAAGGTTGACGCTCAGGTTGGGGTGGTGCTGGAAGCTGAGCCGTCATTTGGGGGGCGGCTTTTTTCGGGAAGATCAATGGACGATCTAGAATATGAGCTGCGACCCAGACGGTTGGATGAAACTCCTTTGGAGCGCATTGGGGAGGTCGTATACTTGCTGTACGGTGCCCAGTTCAGTTTTCAAAGTGCCTATATTGCGCTTCGCCATTGGGATAAAGTTCGAGAGTGGCGCAATCGAATCTGGGCGGCTGCTCCTGGAAGGTTCCGTGAGGAACGGTTGGATGCGAGCGGAAAGACCGTGTACTGGTTCGCTTATGACGGCGAAGTGTGGTGGCATGGTAAGGGTGATGGGAGCCGCGTTTCTACCAACGCCCATATTGGTGAATTCGGCATAGCGGGTCTTGTGGTTCGTAGGGAGCCCCCTTTGGATTCGGCGGCGAGGTACTATGGGGTGAAGGATGGAGAGTATGCGATCATTGCCGAGATAGCGTTGAATCCCTCTTTTTTCATCTCCGGTTTGCGCCTAGAAAGGGTTGATACGATCCATTACGGCGGGCGTCGAGCATTCCGCGTGATTGGTGTACCGGTGCCTTCGGCTAGTCACCGCTGGGCTTGGTGGCGCGGTGCGGATAGCTATGAACTGTTGGTGGATGCCGAGCGCGGGGTGTTGTTGCGGTTTGCCGCGGTCGCCGATGGTGTTGAGTTCGCAGGCCACGAGGTGTTGGAGGTGAAATTCGATGACGAATTGCCGGAGCACCTTTTCCGGCATACCCCTCGACCGGGAACGGTTGTTTCGGTTCATTGAGGGAAGGAAGAACCGATCAGCGGCCGTAGGGGTTGATCCCGGTGGTTCGGCTTTATGTTAGTTGGCGGTGACGCTTGTGGTTGTGATGATGGCCTGTAGTGGTGTAGCTGGTGAAGGTTGCCACACGCGGGGTCGTGCCGGTGTGGTGGAAAGCGAGATAGCGTCGCGGGGCTTTGATGAAGTCAAAGGTGCTTTCACGCCTCCACAGCAGGCCGCGCAAGGACAGCTCTTGGTGGTGAATGAAAGCGGTGGCCAGGTATCTATTTCTTTTGGAATAGTGTAGCGGAGTAACCGCGGGGCCGGATCGGTTGGCGGAGGTGGATCCTTGGAAGGGCCCGGGATGAGCGCGTGACGGGTAGTCGGATTTCCGCGCGTAGCGTGGTTCTACGTACTCACCGTGCGCTGATCTTTCGACAGGCTCAGGATGAGCGCGACGGGTAGCCGCGTTTTGCGCGCGTAGCGTGGTTCCATGTACTCACCATGAGCCGATCTTTCGACAATGTCATGATGGGTGCGGCGGGGTGGTCGCGCGCCGGGCACCCGGCGCAGACGTTTGAAATCATCTGGCCCGTCCGAAGGAATGCGGCGGGTATAATAGCGGGACAGTAACGGACATCAACCGGGTTCGCCATGCGGCGAACCCAGGACGGAGGAAGAACAATGGCAGAGCGGATTGGATTCGTCGGGTTGGGAATAATGGGCAAGCCGATGGCGCGGAACCTGATGACCGCGGGCTACGAGCTGACCGTGTACGACATCGTGGGCGAGCCGGTTGAGGAGCTGGCCACAGAGGGAGCGACCGCGGCATCAACACCGGCGGGAGCCGCGGCGGGCAGCGCCAAGACCATCACGATGCTGCCGGACTCGGCCGATTCCGAGCGGGCGATCCTGGGACCGGCGGGAGTGCTGGAAGGAGCGGAAGCGGGCTCGGTGATCATCGACATGA